AAAATTTGGGAACTGTATTTCGCGGGTATAAAGTTCTGTGAGCTTTGGTAAAACTGAAGAAAAGTGTATTTCATTTTGTAGTTTTCAGCCGTTGCTTTTATCACCCATTGAGCCCTACACTTGAGACGATCTCTCGATCTTTTATACACGGTTATCCTAAGGGAACTTGAGTCTTTTCGGAATTACAAGGGCTTCAGTATTATTTTCCCTAAAATTTTAGATGCAATTTAACGTATTTCGAAAGTGAGAATTTTTCGGACTCCTTTCTCCATCACATTTTCAAAACTGAAAAATTTAGGTTTCCTGTTTTGTAAGAAAAAGAACCTAACCTGGGCAGTGAAATGTGAATAATTAAACTTCAGAAAATCGTACAGAATTCTTTAGATAAGCGCCGAAAATTGTACATGAATGGAACGATTATCTAGAAAGCTTAAGCCGTCCTCTAGTAATAGAAAATTCTTCGCAATGCTAGATTTGCTTCTCAGAGCAGATATTTTACAGGAAACCCTCGTTGGGTGCCCCTGCTATTTGCTCCGAGTACTGAAACTCATTCAGGGACCCACATGTAACTTTCTACACCTTAAGCCAATGTAGCTAGTCAACTAATCTCATGTATTGTTTTCTTATATAATAAGCCGGTCTATCCGCGCGTCTTTTTATGTTCGCGACTAAAATATTTGGGCGCCTTTTTCCTCAGGCGCAAAATTTGCGAAATTCAGTATGCACAAAAAATACAACGTAAGACCTTGAAACTAGTAAGTAACGCACGTTTCAGATATTTGCTTTGAAGTCGGTTTGATAACGGAGAATTGCGGGAGAGCTGTGAGAAATAAGTTGAACGGCAAACTCATAAGCAACGGTGATGTCTCGCTCTTTGCATATTTGTACCGAGTCGCGCACTTACGGTATGCTTTGCTGGTAATTTATGCAGGCCTAGTTTTCGCATAACCGAGGTTCTGAGTAGAAATTGCAAGAAGTTTTGTGGCAACACGAGGGCCGAAAAAAAACAGCTGTCTAAATTACGAAAATTTGAAAAGTTTCCGTAAGGAGCCGAGAGGAGGCATTGGGGTGATTAATCTACTGGAAATAAGATTCCCGAATCAAGACGCTCTCTTTTGCTAATTATTTTTTGTAATAGCTAATCGAAAAGTGACTGCATAATTATGCAAAATTTACACGGCGTGAAGTGCATTCCACTGACACACTCATTTCTATATATAACGCCCTTCAGTTTTGAAGCGCGAAAAGTAATTTAGTCAGTATTTCAGTTAAGTTCAATTTCTTTCTACTGCAAACATGTATATTAAACAGTTCTGCATTCTCGACGATAATTTTAACAAAACTTTGGTAAACCAAAATGGTCCCCAATGTGGAATCTCTAACGCTAGCTTTGGTTGTTATAATAAGTGAACGAGTAATCCTATCGTCTGAGCAAATTAACGTCAAAAAATATTCATGAAAATTGCCGTTTCACGGCGCTAGTCTGTGAAATAAAGTCATATTCGGAAACTCGTAGGTAACTCACTGGTAAAAGTATCAATCTCAGCAAGTCGTTTAGAGAAATACAACAAAGGATTCTTGAATACTGTGAAAGAGAATTTTTTAAGAAAAGAAAATTGTCTGAAATGTCGAACTTCTTCGAAAAAGTTTGTTCTTTCTGACGGGCGTCGAGTTTAAGGCGGGAAGATCAGTAGCATTCAAAACAAAAAAGTAAGAAATTAAATTGTAGGTAACAACTTGATTTGGAAGAAACGTATTGAGTATAAGTAAAATGAAATGCCCAATGGAAAAAAATCTCTGTAAACCTAGGGAAATTGAACTAAACTAAATTACCTTGACTGTTCTGGCTGCTCAAACTAATCTTCACTCCTCGAACTCTAGAAGAAACTGATTGAGTTTATTCATAAGCGGTATAGTTTAGTAAGTTGAGTCACAATGGACTATTACTGAAGAGAAGTCCCTTCAGAGAGTTGGAAATATCAGTGCGCAAAACTCTAGTGGTTGTTTACCATTTGCAAAAAGTTTCCGGAAAATCCGGTCAGAAAGTAAATGGAACACGACTTTTTGGGTCGTTCCAGCGGGAAAATTTCCGGGAGCGACGCAACATCTGAAATAGCCTGTGACCACTGGCTCCACCGTTGGGGAAGGCGAGAGCGAAGCGAGCCGGGCGGCAGTCTGGCTATGGAGGGAAAACAGCTCGGCTCTTTCAAAGCCGTTTTACTCCGGCCCGTTTTTAGCCATTTTTTCCACACAGGGGAGCCTGGTCCCAGGCTACTTCTGAAAAGGTGGTCCCTTTTTTCCCAACAGGCTGTTCCAGATGGGAAAATCGTGTTCCATTTTCATCAAAGCCATCTTTGATATACCAGTTTTAGGCCTTCACGGCCGTTTTTCGGTAGATGGAACTGATTTATACACAAGGGGTAAACGCGATTCTTGGACGAAATTTTGAATTTTTTTAATTTTGCTTACCATTTACCCAAACCGTGAACCTACCGGTTTGCACGTGTAGTGATAAACAGTTATAGGATATTCCTGAGCACCGAGGCCTACCTAAACTTATGACTGAGGGCTCACCGCGAGGTAGCACTGCGTAGCTGGCGGTATTGTGTAGTAGTCGAGTGAGATTTGGCGGCGGAGCCGTTGTAATATAGTCGAGTGAGATTTGACGGCGGAGCCGTCACGAGCGGCGAAGCCGCGAGAAATTCCTCAACCGCCTCGTCCCTACTCCCTTTTTTTGGAACACGGCTCCGCCGCCAAAACTTTAATCTCGCACCCACACAATACCGCCAGCTACGCAGGCTAACCACGAGGTCATTAATCACCTCGCGGTGAGCCCTCATGTTTTGGGCCGGAAATGTAGTTGTTTTGGAAGGAAAGAAATGAGGATAGAAAAGGTATACTCATAAACCAGTTAGTCCATTAATGCGCTCAGAGGCATGTTGTTTCGGTGGTGGACTACGTGTTAGTTTGTCTACTAATTAAAGAATTCTGTATTCTCTTAATCTATTGAGATTCAAGTTTACTGCAACCGCCAAACGTCAGACACAAGTTGAGAATTCCTCAGAATAGAAAATAAGCAGATAAAAACTGTCCTGAACGATTCCTATGGTTAAAACTGGCATAAAACTACTTATTTTTTGTGTAGAAGCAATAAAGAGTAAACGGAAAATAAGGGGAAAACTTGGTCACGTGGTACAAATTCACGTCTGCCGCTTGGCGTAAACGTGAATCTTAATCTCTCTATTAGAGAGTACTGAGTCACTTTTACGCAAAGAATCGAATTTGTATCGCGTGACCAAGTTTTCCTTTTACTTGTCTTTTACTGTTAATTACTTCTACAAAAATATTGGTATTTTCAAGTTATTTGCATCCATAAGACCATAAGAATCGTTTCATTGGTCGTCTGTCAGTTAAGCCGTGATGTTATTGGCTATGAAGACTCGTACTGTAATTGGTGTGTTTTGATCCCTCTATTGTGCCAGTCAAACAGTCGACTATTGTTAGTCAAACTGCCAGTTGTCCACTCGTTCTCTCGTAGTTAGCTTTGCTTGATTTCGTCAATAAGTCGTTTGTACAGTGCCAGTAACTGTTGACTACGATTCAGTGGCGTTTGTTCTAAGACTAGATATGTTCTCTATAACATAACGAGTTTTCGTCAATTCGAGGTTCAAGTTTTCCATATATTTTAGTATTACTGGGGCAATGAACATGGATGCAGAGATTCCAACCCTCCCGATTTGATGTCTTGCCTCCCGCTCTCCCGATTTTTACCAAATTCTCCCGATTTATTATAAAATTTTGAAAACTAGGGAAAAATTGCTAATCTCTAGAATTTTTGGCGATCTGTCACTATGAAACACTCATATTATACTTACTTTCTTCGAGAAGAGCATTATGGTATGTTATAACTCAGGCCGGAATGATGTCAAAATTCAAGAAATGGCACTTGAGAGAACCTAAATTTGCAAAATTTCCCTGGGGGGCATGCCCCCGGACCCCCCTAGAAGCTCGCGCCTTCGGCGCTAATAATTACTCCCTATTTTCCATCACATGGGGTTGGAATCTCTGTGGATGGTCATCGAGGACTTCGTTATTTGGAGGTTCGTTATATCGAGGTTCTAATATATTCGTAATAATGACCTCCTGTTCCACTGCATTGACAAGCTCCTCCATTTGTAGCCTGTTCAAAACAATGGAAAGGCTAGACTGCAAAAAAGTCCGTATTTTTGCGTATTCAAGTGAGCGCGAGCAGTCAAACAAAAGGTCTGGAACGAGGCTGAAAACAGAGAGCGAGACTGGGGAGAGACTTTTTTTCTCTCGCCTCACACGCTTCGCGCGCGTAAGACTCTTATGCCACGCTTTACCGATTTCTTGACTTATTTTGCGAAAAAAACCGACTGTTTCGCAGTCTATGGAAAGGCACATTTATTAAGTCACCCATGAACAAGAAGTTGTGTAAATAATTTAGATATATAAGTATCATCGTTCTGCTGCATTTGGGAAACTTGCATGTTTGTGGACTGGGTCTTATTCCCCCAAAGAGATTTGTGCCTGGCAAATAAGTAGTAATACTGGCTACTTCATCACACAGCCAATCAGAATCGAGTATTTCAAACACGTGACTGAATTAATTTACTCTCGACCAATCAGTGTCCAGGATTTCAAATAGTTCCCAATCAAAGATTTGGGAATAATAAACCCGTGTCTGGCAAACTCTTCGGGGGACGGAGTTTTCAAAGTTCTCAGGGAAGAAAAATGCTTTTGTTCTTCACTACCAACATGGCCGCCGTGACGTCACGTGGAAACCAAAGCCGAATAACCTTTCTCTAACTCTAAAGCTGGGAAAACTCGTATTACCGTTGTGGGATAAAGCTCGATTTATGGTCGATAAAATACGGTAAATCTACAAATACGAAAATCAGATAACTTTTTTTTCTTTCCTCTTTGGACAAAACCTCAGAATGGTACCTCGTTTAGATTAGAAAGTTTTAGTTCCTGGTAGATCATAATTTTCTCTAGCGCGAGATTATTTTATTTGAGGCTTAAAGAGATCTTAAGAGTTACAGTTCATGTTGCCATACAGTTGTGATAAAACGCCATTTCAAACAAAGACTGAATAACACCCATATTCTGAATTCCGGCATGACAAACAGTTGGAATCTTTGAAAATAACAAAATTTAAAAAAATGATGTTGTTAAGCCCTTTGCTTCAATTTTTAGCCTAAAAAATGCGATTCGTGCCAGTTTTATCTATAAGAATAATTTTTGCACAGGCTATCATTATCTGATCATTTTTCATAATTTGGGAAATTATCAATTTGAAGCTGAGGAATACCGCGAAAGTGATCCTTAACATGATCTATCGGATATCGACAGATGATGCAATTCCGGCGAACTCTCTGAATTAGGGAGCTTTAGCAACGACGGCCGCAACAGCAACAATGACGTCAAGAAGTAACTGGTTTAATACGCAAAACAACATCTCTGCTTGCGGATAACGCTTATTTGTGCGTTTATCTGCCCTAACTGTACAACTACGACGTGAAATTCCCTCACGGGGCGTTTCATGGAGGGCTAAACGAATTTTTCTGTCTTCTTCTAAAGTCTCTAAACGTTGGTCCAGTCCCCAAGAATTCAATTCCAGTGACGTTTTCGCTGCCGTCGCCGTTCCTAAAGCCCCCTGTTACCGCTATCATTTCGGCTTTGTCGGTGAGGACAGCAGTATCAAAGATCACATAAAACTGTTTGATCTTTCGACGTCAGTCCTTATATACAGGGGTTTTCTTTGTTTAGCAACTCGAGCTGACAATGCCGCGCACATGAATGCTATCCCAGTGCCAGATACATATACAAAAAAAGCCCAACTTAGTTTACAGTGGCCCAGTTTATAAAAATTCGCTTCATCGCCACAAACTTGCTTGAATTCAACACTGCCCCAGCCTGATGGATAAATACCGCAGGATATGGCAAGAAGGAAGCCTGTAAAAAAAGTAAAAGAGAAATATTTCTCGAAGCCCTTTAGCCTGGAAAACAGCCGACTTTTTCGCGACGCTGGCACAAGCGCAGAAATTCCATACTGATGACGTGTCACTACCCAGAGCTGGGTAGTGTTTCTGATTGGTTGAAGCAAAGTTTCCCCTGGGCATGACCAATCAGAGGCGTCATTTCGCGGAGAAATCGCGAAAGGTCGGCTGTTTTCTATTTCCATTGCCGCATAATTTTGACGTCCTTACGCAAGTAGATTTTACGCCGGTAAATAAAATAGAGGCAATGTATTGAAGGTCGCGCGAAGACGTAAAAGTTGAACCTCGTTCTACTGGAAAACAGCCCTTAGGCTAGAAGCCCTTTATATCTGTGGTTTTAAAACTGGCGTTTTATAGTTAGTCACAGCTCATGATAGGAGACGTAAAACTTTTACAGTCCGATATTACAGTCATCTAATCTTTCCCCGAGGGAGGGAGGAAACGGGTACTCAAGTTAGTTTTATACTGGGTGGTTCAGTCAGAGTTTAATAGTAATTTAATTTTGAAAAATCCAATGGCTATGTTAAATTTGTCCATTATCCTTCTGGAACTGTCTGTATGACAAGGAGCATTCGTTGCACAACGAATTCACCGCCGTTAGTTTGCAGATGGTCAAAAGTTATTTGAATATTTTTATCTTGGTTTTGGAGGCAATCAAAACACAAAAGAAACTTAAAACCGGAACACGAATTTTGTTTGAAACACAATAGTTTATATTTCAATTACAACAAAGGCCAATTTCTGCCGTTGACCTCCGTAAAGAGAATGAACACACATTTTAGACATAACTAAAGTCTGGAGAAAATATCTGTCCATTCGTTAAAGTAGTATCCTGGATTATAACTCGTTTTTAATATCAGGGAATCGAAAAGTGGGTGTTCCTTGAATTTGTGTTCATCTACGGTGGAATCTTTCTCGACTCTTACACGGGAAATGGATCATTAAACTATAAAATTGCATACTTTCCAAATGACGGGCTTTGTATAATAGCTTATAATATTTCAATCTTTTATTAATTTTTGGGTGTTTCAGCCGAATGGGAAGCTTAAACGACTATTAGCTCAAGCAGTAACGAGTCAACCAACTAAAGAAACAAAGTAAATAAATATAAGTGCAATTCATTCAAAAGATGAAGTGCAGCTTTAAAAACAGCATGTACTCATGATCACGTGAAGCATTAAGTATTCTGAGTGATCCACCCTAAAGGATAATAATAATATCGTCTTTTATTTATAGCCCGAGCCATATGGCGGTTTATGTTTACCAACAAGACTCGGGGATAGATTATCTAGAAAATGTTAGCCGATTTTGGGTCCGTAATTGTAATATCTCAGATAATGCGGACTCGATGACTGATAATATTTGGAACATCTCCGGATGACTGTCAAAATTTGTCAATTTATTGGACATGCATATTTCCGATAACACATTTTTCACAAGCTTGTTATCGATACTTTGACAATAGTTTGTAAACAAAATACTAGGCAAGATAATTCCCAGAAGGAAAAGAAAATCCTTTTCTAAGGCATACAAGCAGTTGTAAAGGCGGACATTATTACGAGCACCACGGGTGTTTGCCTCAAGAGCTAAGCTGAAGTGTTTTCTAAGTATTTTAGCACTTAATTATTAAACACGACACGCAAATAAAGATACTCACCAGCAAGGAATTGAAACGCGCCTCCAATCCGCGCCGAACTTCTCGTGACAACGTCCTTGCAACAGCACGCTACGGCGGCTGTTAATGCAACGAGAAGCAAGAAACCGCAGCCGATTCCACTCATTACAGTGCAAGCTTTCCACGCTTCTGATGGAATGTCTTGAAAACTAGCGTACCTGCCGCAGGCTTGCTCCATAAACGAGACGCCATCTTCTCCTTTTATTAAGAAGTTACATCGACGGAAGACCCCCAAATATACGGTGGAGTTGTATATCTTTCCTTGCACCCAGTAGGGTAGGAAAAATCCTGAGCAGGCCAACAAAGCACTTGATACCGACAAAAATACCCAAAATGTGCCCGTTGTTGTCAGATTATCAGCCATACTTTTTATGGAAGCTTATTAGTTAGTTTTGGCAGCGTTTAGAGCTCAGTGCCTAAAACTCGAGCTTATGTTTTCAATGTCCAGTAGAGAGCAGGGCTGTTTACTTTTCTTGCTTTCCTTCTTTACAGCTGCTCTTTGTGAGGCTACCAATGTTGTTTGTGGATAAAAACAGCAGGAAGGTTCAATTCTCGCTGTTAATTTACATTGTTCTGAGACTTCTGATCAAAACGAAAGACTGCTGCCCTCAACTCAACGCCATGACATGGAAACTGATGATTTGCCGATGGTTTGGGCGAGGAAAACCGAAGATTGACAATCAATTGATCTCTCAGCGTGCTCTGTTTTCTTTTCTGCTTAGTTTCGGATCTTGTTTAGACAATCTCTCTTCGGCAGAGGAACTTCAGAACACGTTCTGATTAAAATGGGATTATGTTAATAGAAATTACCTTGTCCGGACATTGAAACATGCTTTAAAAGGACTTTGCTTAATTGGTTTCGTGGTTGAGTGGCTTAGAAAAAAGGGACCCCAAATTTTTCTCAAGTGTTAAAACAGTCAAAGATAAGTAAAGCTGTTGCTGATAAACAGGTAATTTAAGCCTCCTTTTGCAAGAAAAGCTTTGTATTTCGATCAAAAGATAGATTACTATACTTGACCCTAACCCATAATCGATTATCGGGGGAAACAGCGCGCATTGGTGATATGTGTTCCCCTACCGAGGAAACACATATCCCTAGTGATATGTGTTCCCCTACCCAGGAAACACATATCCCTAGTGATATGTGTTCCCCTACCTAGGAAACACATATCCCTAGTGATATGTGTTCCCCTACCCAGGAAACACATATCCCTAGTGATATGTGTTCCCCTACCCAGGAAACACATATCCCTAGTGATATGTGTTCCCCTACCTAGGAAACACATATCCCTAGTGATATGTGTTCCCCTACCCAGGAAACACATATCCCTAGTGATATGTGTTCCCCTACCTAGAAAACACATATCCCTAGTGATATGTGTTCCCCTACCCAGGAAACACATATCCCTAGTGATATGTGTTCCCCTACCTAGGAAACACATATCCCTAGTGATATGTGTTTCCCTACCCAGGAAACACATATCCCTAGTGATATGTGTTCCCCTACCCAGGAAACACATATCCCTAGTGATATGTGTTCCCCTACCGAGGAAACACATATCCTTAGTGCATATGTGTTCCCCTACCCAGGCAACACATATCCCTAGTGATATGTGTTTCCCTACCCAGGAAACACATATCCCTAGTGATATGTGTTCCCCTACCCTAGTGATATGTGTTCTCCTGGACCTGGAGTTTCATTGTTGGAAGGCCGATTAGCGCTAACCGGGGGTTAAACTTCAATCCGGGTTTCTTTTTCTCGTCAGCCCAGCCCCCCTTGGCCCGGCCCAGTACAGTACTGTAACTTCAATTGGTACTTAAATGTCAATACACTAGTGAAAGAACTGCTTTGAAAATAATTTAAACTACATGATGACACTAACCGAGGCCTTGATTTTCAACACAGAACAAAATCGGTTCCTGGGAAAATGGAGAAGAAATCATCCCCCCCCGCCTTGCCCCGCCACCGCCTCCAACTCCGTCCTACTGACTGTCCGTCCCACTGCCTTCCCCTTAGCCTGAGATCATTCCCTCTCCCTATTATCCCTCTATATCTTCTCACGGAAAAAAAAAAACTCCTGATCGCAGGTTACCTTCCCCTGAAAAGGAAGACTGGCGATGAATGGTGACATATTATAGTCGCTTACATGACAAATTCACTGACCTTTTGACGTGGAGTCCAATATGGCGGTCGGCGAGTTTTTCTTCACTCCTTTGGTTCTTTTACTCGTTCCAAAATACTGCCACGATGAGTTCTTTATCAAGTTCAACTTCTTCGACGGTATGTAAAATAGCATACTAAAAGTTCAAGATTGAGTTTCTTTTCTGAATAGGGCTGAATTTGTTTTTCCTGCTTTTACCCTTGGGCAATTTTGATCAATTCTGAAATGGGACAACTTTTGATCTTTGATTCCATGGATTAATATTAATATTTGTTTATATATTACCTATTTTTGTAATGTTTCAGTTCCTTGTTTAAAGATCGCGCTGAGCAAAACGTTGGGTTATGGAATCGTAGCTGGTTCTTCAATAAGTAAGGGTATTGTGTATTAAAATTGACAGAATTTTGTAACTTTTTTAAATGACTTAATATTTTCGTAAACTACTTATTAAGTTTTTTTTATCCATGTGTAAATTCGAGTGAATTCTGATATTTAAATTATTTCTTACCTTAGTATTCTAGTTTTTTTTTAGGGTTTTTTTAAATTTTAGTAGTTTCATGGGGCCATAAGGGAGAGTACAGTTGGTCTGTAATTATGCATCCAATTGAAATTAAAGTGTTCATTGTAATTGATTTATTAAGGTTACCAGTATATAACACAATTTTTCAAACCGGTTAAATAGAAAAATAAGTGTCTTTAACATTTTTTTCACTATATATGTACACCCCCTCAATGTTATTTGGTGAAGTTTCATTTTTGTGTCTGTACCCCTTAAAAGATGGCAAGTTTTTACAAAGTGGTCATTGGCTTGGCATTTAATTTTCCCTCCAAGACCTTGACGCCGGCAAAAGTTAGATGTTTTGGGTCGACTTCCAGCTGTACTTACTAGGATGGAATGAGGGAGTGGTGGCAGAGGGCAAGGGTGCAAAAATAAAATGCAGTTGATCCAGATAAGATCACCCGCCCTGTGACTGCGTTTTATCATTTATATGATCATTTATGGGTAACTGGGTCTAGCAAATTGCCTAGAAATGATGATGGAGATATCTGCTAAAATTGACAGTGAAATTCTGTCAACATGAATAGAGTTTGCCATCTTTTTTATACAATTCTATACCCCAGGGCCCAGTTCCTGAATGGCCGATTAGCACTAATCCAGGATTAAACTTTTGTTACACTTTACGTATTTAAATTGAGGCCTTCCAAGGGGGGTAGCTGTGTCGCAATGTCGCTTGCTTTAGGAGACCGTTGTCGCCTAATCTACAGCTGCAAATGTCGCTGTCGTTTTTTGAAGTGTACGTAACTGTACCAGTCATTTTTGTTTTGCGAGAAACTGTTTCGCAACAGGGCTATAACAGGATTTTCATGGTGGTCAGTTGGCAAAACTTTGTGAGCGGCGAAGGATGAACGCTTCTTCTTCTTCTTTTTAAGGGTAGGCTCCAGCGAAAAAATTTGGAAAATCTGAACCCTCAGAAATGCAATTTCCTGTATTCTGAGTCACTTTTACTGATAAAATGCACAACTTTCCAATGTCACCGTCGTTTTTCACTGTTTAGTATGTCGCTGTCGCATTTTAGCAGCGTAGGCATGTCACTTCTCGCTTTTTAAAAATTCCCATGTCGCCAGTTTTCAGGGCCGTGTCGCATGTCGCTTTTACCCCTTGGAAGGCCTCTAAATTCCTATGCATTGCTTAGAGTAACATTTTGTGTTATCATTACAGAATCTCAAAGTTAAGGCTCAACAGTATTTTGTAAGCTTGAGTTACATGTACTGAGACAAGAAAACCTTGCTTAAAATCTTGCTTAATCCTGGGTTAAACTTAATCATCTTTCGAGGAACTGGGCCCTGGTGAAAGAGATGTCTCTTTTGGTACATTCCTTTGAAATGGTGTTGTCAGTGACTGTCTAACAGCGTGCTTTGTTATTACATGTAACAGTCAAAATCCCTCAAATAATCAAGGTGATTCAAGCATCAAGTGTGGAGGGTCTTAGCTTGCTCTCATTTCTTCTTGAACTTGTTGCATTAACTGCTACTGCATCTTACAGTATTGCCAAAGAATTCCCATTCAGGTATTTAATATTGATTTATAATGCAATATTTTGTGTTCTTGGATGAGGGTCATTGTAAAAGTGATCACTTGAGTGTCTTTAGAAAATGTTTCATTAATTTGAAATGTCCCACCATAGGATCTCATACACAGACTCAAAAATAATTTAGAAACACAGTAGATCTAGTGAAAGTACTTATGATGAGGTTTCATGTGAATATTCCACCAATGGATCTTATCCACAGACTCAAAACTTAGAACTACATACTGTCCCTTTGATGATAGAGTCGGTTTCTCCATTCAAACCTGCTGGCTACTTCAATTTTTATTGAAACCCCTGGTATATTGTTTTCTAAGTACTAAATTCACACCTTTTAAGTTTTGCATTTTTCTGTTTCAGTTCCTGTGGTGAGAGTTTCTTCATGTCCATTCAGACTGTGCTTCTTATCTGCCTTTATTTTTATTACACCAACAAAGCCTTGCTTGTTCTCCTGTTCCCAGTACTGTATGGTGGCATCTTTTATGTTCTAGTATCTGGCCTGACACCCATGGCTGTCTTGGTCCAACTCGTTTCACTTCAAATTGTCTTTCTAGGAGTAAGCAGGGTAAGTGCAATGTCAACACAACAATTTGTGTATGTGACAATAAAACTAATAGCCAAGGAAAGCAGCCATCTGTAGTGTGATTACATGCGTGTCCAACAAAAGGCCTTTTGCAATTGTTGGTCATGTGACATCCTCGGAGACCCAGGCGCAGATAGTGGGGGCGAGGGAAAGTCTAAACGGGTGGAAAAATAAGGTACAAAGAAAAGTAAAGAACGGCAAGAAGAGCCCCTGGGGACAATGTCTTACCAGACCAGTTCCAAACCGGTCGCTGCCGTTCTGGCTTCTGATTGGTGCCAGAAAAACACAAGTTTTACATGTGATCAACTTTCTGTAAACACATAAACAGTTCGCTTTTGGAAAATTTTGTTAGCATGAACTGAAAAAGCACATTGAAATAAGGTAACCTGTAAATTTTCAACCGTATATCTCAAAAGAAACGAATTGCAGTGACCGCTGAAAATTAGAAGGATTTATGTGGGAAAAAAACTCTTGCCACCCAGTCACACACAGTTGAATGGTTTTCCGTTCAAATCCTTGTAAATTTCATTATTGTCAAACTATTGGAAAATAACTCCGTAAGCATTATGAGGCTCAAATGCTCTTTTGTTTTCATAACAAACAATTTGAACCCTTAAAACCATGAGGAAAAGATTTAAGGACAGTTTGAAAAGTTCAAAATTTACAAGAACTTCTTTCACTGTCACTCTGTGATCATGAGATCAGGTCCTCTTTGAAGAGTCCTGGCTTTTTGCACAATGCACAGTGAGTAAACTGTAGCACTGTTGTTTTAACCTTAAAGTTTTGGCAGAGGTCACAACCAGTCTCCTCTACTAACTGTGATTACATGAAGGCTGTGCTCCAACGGATCCCGGTGGCCCCTGTCATCTAGCTTTTGCTCCTTAGCAACAAAAAATTAATACCGTAAATCCTCTGTTATGTCCTAGGTAGTTAATAAGCTGCCCCCCTCCCCTTCCCCTTATTATTCTTCTTTAACAAAATAATGATAGACTGTTTTCACCAATCACAACTGTAAAACTTTGTGTGGACTGATCCAGGATGGGTTATTCACCAACTGGAAACTCTGATTTGTATCCTCGGCTGCATGACCTCCAACTTCTTGTACTTGAGCTTTTCCACTTTGTATTATAGTTCTTTATGGAGAACTGATATCATCGTCTTTGCTAAATTAAATACCCACCTATAGCTCTTGCAGATAGTTGCAAACTTCCGCAATGGTCACACTGGGCAGTTATCATTCATCATGGTGCTGCTGCTGTTTCTAGGAGCCATGGCACGCATCTTCACAACCATACAGGAGACAGGCGACAAAGTTATGCTGTTGACCTTTCTCGTCTCCACAGTCCTGAATGGCACTCTTGTATTCCAAGTTCTATTCTACTGGAATGTCAAGCCAGACTCGAAGAAAAAGCAAGCTTAGTTATTTATTCTTAGATAACTTTCATTTACTCTGGAGAAGCCTTTTTTTTGTTCAAATTCACAAATGGGACTTTGAATTTTTCTAGTCATTATTTCAATAATTTTTGATGTTTGAATTTGAGAACTGATAACACGCGAAAACCACCCAATGTAGAATCTTTTGAAAAAATTAATGTCAGGTGATCCAAGACAGTCTTGAATTCTGGATTCCAGTTACGGGATTCGGTACTCTTTGAGGGTGGAACTTGGATTCCGAATTCCAATTGTAAGTGGCATTGTGAATTCCTTGAATTGGATTTTTGGAGTTCAAAGCCCAGGATTCCAGATTCCACAAGCAAAAAATTTCCCGGATTCTGGCCACTGGATAACCTTTCATGGGGTGGAAAATGGCTTTAGTAATTGCAAACAACAATACTTTTTTGGCAGGAGGGGGATTGGTGTGCTAAGAAGTCTGTGGGAGTTATTGATTCTCATTCAAGTTCATTAAAGTTTTTTTGGTTTCCTTTGTATTAATAACCTTGTGACCTTTTTGTGTATTGAGATCAAGATTATCTTGTTGAAAAGTTCTTTTGGGAATTGGGCAATTAATAATGAATTTTTTGTTATAAGAATTATTCAAAAATTGGTGACTTTGACTTTTGGGATGTGCTTTCACTCAATTTTGCTGCCAAATAAATTGATTAAGCGAAGTCTACCATCCCTTCTCTGACCTTGTCGCCCCACCCATATGGTAATAAACATGTAGGCAGTTAAAATTTGTGCATTTGTAGGCTTAACCAATGACACAAACACCTATACTACGATGGGAGTCTTTGACCCTCCCTAGTGTCTTACCAACAGAGTATACCTGCTGTCCAGCACCAGCAGTATTGAATAATGTGGACGGAAGTGCAACAGAGGAAAAATGCATTTTCCCTTGGCCTTCTTCTTTTCTTTCTTAACCACTTCTTTCTTCCTCTTTCCTTTCTTCTGGTTTTGATGTTATACTACCTTTGTTCATTTTTATTTTTTTCCGTGAAAAAGTGTTTAGTGTTGACAAAAACAGATCCAGAGAAAAACTCCTTATGTTTGGAGAAGGATGTCAGCCAGTTATAAATACTGTCTTTGCCTCCTCCTTCTTCGCAGCTTTAGATGTTACAAGGTCTACATTCCACTGTTTTTCCATTGAAAAAGGAATTAACTGTCAACGCCCCGTAAAAAACAACAACAACAAAAAAAAAAACACACGCTCACACACTGGAAGCAAGCGTGCATTGTAGTCATATCACGTGAACCCAGTATTTCGGCTGACATGACTTGACTTTGCTTGACTTAACTGCTGATTTTCAACATCAACCAATGAGGAAACTGACTTTATCACAACAAACAAACAAACAGAACAAATTGATGACCTTTTCACCAGACAGTTATTGTTTAACCTTTAAAAAGATCTCTTAATAAATAAAATTGACAACCATAGTGGCAAATGTGCACAATCCTTTATGAGAACTAAGACATTTTATGTGATATACAGTCAACTCTCGCCTTGCGGACACCCCGATAAAACGGACAGCAGCCAAATCCCAGGCAAAAACAAATGACAGACGTTTGACTGAAATAGACTCCCGCTATTACGGACTCTCGCTAATAAGGACACTTACTCGAGGTCCCTACAGTGTCCGCCATAAAGGGAGTTGACTGTAAGTGCATTCAATAAATACTTTTGAAAAACTTATTTTTGTCTTCATGTATAAAATTTCACCAAGGCTTTGTTTTGTAAACAATTTTATGCCTTCGATGAATTAAAACATGGAAACAAACCAACTGGGACCTGATTTAAGTGTAAAAACATGAATATTAAGTTAATATTAAACCAATCAAGGAAACCAAGACTTTGAAAGTATAAAGAATTATCATTCATTCAAAATATTTCTCTGTTCCTGGGGACAGTTTCTCGAAAGGCCCAGAAAGTTTTTGGGCCTGAAGGCAAATTTTAAAATACAAACCTGTTGAATAGTAGCATAGTTCCTTGCGCAGAAACCAGTCTATTTTGCTTTGTTAACTGATAGTTTCATTGTATTATTTTCAAAATTATTGAAACTTTGATCTTAAAAGAATTAATGCAAACACAATAAACACAAAACAGCTTTCCAGGCCCAAAAAGTTAACAGGACTTTCCTGCAACAGGCCCCTGATTGGCTATAATCCCCCAAGTAATTCTTTATATTAACCAGCTGGGGCTGAGCAAAGAAAAAACGTAGACCCGATTTCATAGTGTAATCTCACCTAACCCAACCCCATCAGACGTACAACAAAAAAAAAAAGACAGAGGCAGAAAAACACTAGAGACGAAACATCTATCACATTAGGGGGCATCTATAACCAATTAATTCATGTACACTTTGAAAGAAGCACCCTGGCAAAAGCCCTGCCCCACGAAGATGGAAGTAGCAAAATGAATTGTCCCTGAAAACCCTATCTACATGTGTTGTAACAGTTCTGTTTGCTATAACTCTTGATGATAATGCCCCTTTAAGGTTGGGTTGATCAGAAAGAGAAGAATGGATCATGTGATCTGACAAAAAGATTTCATCCACCAAAGTAATCGCCCACTTCTATTTCCATCCCAACCGACTGGTCCAAATACAATTCTGATTTAACCAGATTATTTCCAACGCTATATTTACCCACGTGAGAGGTAATCTAACCCCAACTGCTGAGACTTAGTATTTTGAAATTTCTCTGCCCAATTTTCCCTAACTTCCACTTCCTCTCTAACGTGGAGGTTAGAAACTGGTCTTTAGTGACCTCGAACAGAGTGTGTGACATCATGCCATAATAGGCCACTTCCAAGTTCCAAAAACCCTCACTTTCAAAATGAGGCTAGGTGCACAACCTTTCTTGTACAAATGAGTTTTATTTGCGTGAAAATGAAAAATGATCTCCATATCAAAGGTTGAGCACCTACCCTTGTTTTGAAACAGAGGTCCAGGGGAATTCGATTATGACCTATTGTGATACTAAACTTCATCACTTGGTTTAATATAAACACGTACACATTGTTGCAAATCACTCCAAAACCCCAGATATGGTCCACTGGCTCACAAAAGAAGCACAATATTCTCTAACATATAACCTCCAAATATTCCTAACTAGTGCGTCTCGTTGGTAGACAGAATGTTATTTATTCGCCAGCGTCTGTTATGCAAATCCGACAGGCTTGAGCTGTTCCAAGTGATATTAAAAGTGGTTAAAGTTTGATTTGCTAAAAACTCCACTCCACTAGTTGAATTTTGGTTGTAAGTTAATAACTGAATGATGTCGGCCACATGGAAGCCAAGAGTAACCAGGAAATAAGCAACCATGAAGTACTGCAGGTGATATAAGGGACGCGATAGGGGGAGTGGTACTCTTAGATGACTGAAAAAAGGCATAAATATAAAGAATGAGAAATGGTATAAATGAAACAATTTACAAGCAAGGTACCATCTTCGTCCAGGGTTTGTACTCTTTTGAGCTGTTCAAATTCCATGACTTTTTCCATGACCTTTTCCAGTTTTCCATGGCCTTAGTTTTAGCTTTCACTTTCAAAAATTTTCAAAATTATTCTTGTTTTTGGTGATATTTTTACATATGTAATTCAGTTGAACAGACACAAACTCTGGTGTCCAACAAAACGTGCTTCATTCGCGCTATTTAACTATGTGTCTCTATCTTACTTTGTCCTTGCTTTGACATCTACAGTAACTAATCTACCAAACATAATACTTCCAATTTTCCTTGAATTTCCATGACCGTCAATTAAATTTCATGACTTTCCAGGCCTGGAAAATTGAATTCTTAAATTTCATGACTTTCCAGGTTTTCCATGATCTGTACGAACCCTGTCATCATTGAGACCACCACAAACCACAATTCCCCATTCCAGAAACTAGGGGAATGGGTACAAGCTTTTGTCACAATGATTTTGGGGAAAGCTTGTAGCCAATTCTCCCTAGCGTTTCTGAAGTGGTAGGCTCGATTACCAGCCACTGTTTGGGGAATGAGCCCAAGCTCCTGCCCTGAACAGATGGCTGGACACATGAGTTCTGTCTCTTCTCGAGGAAGACCAAGAGAGAAGCGGAAACTGAGCTCACTGAAGTGGGGAATACTTTAGCTCGAAAAGAGGCTCTTCATGTTGGGGAAAAAAGGCTAAAAATCGCGAGCAGACGAGTGGGGAAAAATGACAACACTGCGATCACTTAAATAATACACATCACCATAGCATCACTGTTAATACACCAACACCAATACCGTCAGCATCATAGGCATAATCAGCATTACCAACACTACCTCCATCACTCTTGCCATTTTTACCGAGCCATCTTTGAAATCACCACTGGGCAACGAGAAATGAAAACAAATTTCAGAGGACATTCGCATGAACAGTAGTTCACTTTTACCTGAATTTGTGCTCATGTGATCGCCTCAGCATGAGAACTACGCACACTCCAAGTTCTATATTTAGTGTTAACGATGTAAAATTCTTCAATATTGTGACAGTTCCCTGCAAATCAAAGATAATCATACTCGTCAAGGAAATGATCAGGCTCCATAATGCTGGTACCGTAAAAAATACCTGTTTTGTAGGGTTTGTAGCAAAATTGGCTATCATTAGACCTTAGGTTGTAGGAAGATTGAGGTTTGATTAGCAGGTTTATGGTCATCTTGACACCAAACCATTTTGCCACCAACAGAATTGCCAACAAAAGGTGGACTAGCCACCAGCAAATAACTCAGAAATAATTGACACAGTTTAATACCTAGGATTGCTTACCTACTTTTTCGTCCAGCTTATTCGAATTTAAAGTCGAGCCATATACAAATCTGTCGATCCTAATTGACTGTCCTTGCGTTGGACATCTTATCCTCTTGGTAGTGCAAGAATGATGATGAATGTAAACTTTGACCTTTGAGAAATTTAAAAACTGGCAGAAACTAGTCATTTCTTTGAAATATGAAAATAAAGTAACGGTTAAGAAACTTCTGTTCATGAAAGTTCAAAACAATGCTGAGCTAAGTTTTATCTATTCTTGATGGTGATTTCGTTGGTAACAAGATTGTTTGGTGGTGAGGCGATCAGGTACCGATTAGCAGCCTGACTGTGGCATGCGTGGAAGGGAAATGGGAAGGGGGGAAAACAAAAGGGAAAAGAGAGGGGAAAAGCAACTCCTCTCCCATTTTCCCTTCCTTCCTTTGCCCCTTTTGACGCCTGTCAAGCAACTTACATTTAATGGTAACTAGGTCGCTGAGGCAGGAGAGAAACCTGCCGTGTACTTGTGGGCGAGAAGAGGAGCCCACAATCCTAATCTCCAGGTTTTTATTACCCATGCGTCGAACGTATGTAGCCAGCATTCATTTGGACCTCCACTATGAATGAATGGAATGCACATAATGCAATTTGATCACATGCATTTGGACCTTTCTACCACTCGTAATCTGATCACACATGCTTTGACCATCTGTCACATAAAACTTATGCAGAGGACAGCGTTGGAGCAAAAGTGTTTTGACCTTCTAACATTGTCGCCCACACTCCATAACCTTTGGTTATATTACTAGTACTTAAAAAGTCAAAAGCAGCATTGTACAGTGAACACAGTAGCAAAACACAGCTACACTCGGAGACTTACATTGGGATTTAACGTGGCTACAGCGAAAACAAGTCCAAAAAGAGAGATGAGTATGGTCACTTTTAGAAACCTGTTGACAGAGAAAGAAAAGTGAAAAATCTCAGATGACTGATCAGCTTCAACAGAAAGTAAAAGACTTACGGCTAAGTTCTCCCACCAATACTATTAGACTTACATGAAATGTTACTGACTGCATAGACACTGTGCACCTTAATGTATAGGTACCCTAACACTTTTTAAAACTTAGTTGGAACATGGGTTTACTAACACCAATTTGTTATATTTCATTTCTTTCACTCAAACGATTTTTTCGCTTAGGTGACCTCAACTAGCAGAGCTAGGGGACTGACCTCCTCATGTTGGCTCGGCAGTAGAAACCATCCCATTTAGATTTCATCTCCTGCCAGTTTGTTTGCCTTGTGGGATAAAAGGATTCAAACCAGCTGTCGACTATGTAAAAACACATGAAAATGAGAAAATTAAGAGTGCATATTAAAATAATATTGGTTCGTTGTATTTATATTAACTCCTTTTTCTTAGATAACCAATGCCAACAAATATTGTAAATATCTTTGAGTGCGGAAAGTATCGGAGGTAATAAACGAGATCAACAATAATTACAGCAGCTGCAACAGCACTTTCATTTACATTTGAAAATTCAATAGTACTACTAATTTTGTACAAAGAGGTAATGGGTTTTAAAAAAGGTTTAAAGGCTTGTTTATAATGGAAAGTGTACTTAACTCTTAACTTATGCAGCTAGTTTACAGGCAATCCACGCAGATAATTCAGAAACAAAGAATTCAAATACAACATAACAGGATTAAAAACCCCAACTGGCAGGAGGCAACCAGTTGGCTATTACCAAGCGTGGCCGAGGATGTGAACTCGAGAACGACTGAGAACAACTGGAAATCCAGCCAGTGGCCAGAGCAGGACTTGAACCAGGGAACGCCGTATTGCGAGTCCAATGCTCTGACCACTCGGCCTGCGTGGGGATGGGGGGGGGTGCACTTTTCTGAAGTCTCCCATACTTGTTCCCCTGAAAAGGCTTGTTTTTGTCACAAGGAAGCCGGGGAAATGGGAAGTTGAGGCGTGTGGATTTCTTTTTTTTTTCAGGGGGGGGGGGTTTTTTTTTGGGTCTAAGAGATATGTATGTATGTACGCAGTGGCAGGGGAGCCTTCAAAGGAGGGAGTCTGTTACAGAGCATGAGAATGGAGTGTGTGAGAGTGTACACCTGTACTGTACTCAAAGGTTTACTTTCTCACCAAAGTGCTTCATTCCTGTAGCCACTGTAAGAAACGAAGCAGTAACACTGACGATAACCAGTACTTGGATGAGTACAGCAAGCCAACTATAATCTGGAAATGTTGACTTGATAATCTATAACAAATTAAATGAGAATATTCAAGACTGAATGAATACTTAATGAATGTACAAATGACTGAAGGAATGAATGAATGAATGAATTGATACGTGATGACTTCACACAAAATGCCTCTTTGTTTTAAATAACTGTTACACAACTGTTACCTTTGAGATAAGAATGGCAGAGATGTTTCCATTTCTTGCAACCCTGTAGGTGTGAGAAATTACATTATCACCTTAAATTTGTATATATTTGACATTTAACATACATTAATTTTACACATAATTGCCACACAATTATGAAACCTGTCTCTAGTAACATTGCAAAACTACAGTACAACAGACTGTTTTCTCATCCCTTAGCCTTCCAAGTGGACGTTCTTGAGGCCTCCTAATGCTGACGGGGGCGAAACATCAGTAAAAAGTGACTTGGCGCTTGTTGAAACTTCAGTTAGCATTTCTCCGTATGTTTGTTGTAATATTTGTACAGTGTTATCTTCTCTTCTAATAACATACCCCTGACAGTGTATCTTTCTACATTTACTTTACCCGGTTAGACTGCCTTTTTATGTTATCCATAGTTTATTAATCAGCTTTATTTCAACGGACTGTCTTTAATCTGCTCCCTCTGAGTATTTCAATTAAAATAGAGTCCTAAAGTGTGACATCACAAAAAATTAAATTTGTGAAATTCTCGGGGTATTATGAAGGAACAACATCCAAAAGGCTTTACTTGCCAGGAAAATTGCCTGCGCTTGGAGATATTAGCCCATTTATGCTCTGATGACCCCATACGAATCCTAATAAAGTTGACCCACTTCGTAACATTAGGAACCAAGTCAAATTTAAAATGATTTGTATGGAGTCATCAGATCAAAGTGGGACTAGTATCTCTGAGATAAGTTGCCCCATAATGCTTTTTTTTTTGCAAGTATGTCTTTCAGATGTCGTTCTTTCAAAAAATATCCCAAAAAACCCATACTTACAAAGATTAAATTTTTATGACGTCATCACTTAAGAACTCTTGTGCAATAATAAAAAAATAGTAAGAACAATGGGAAAAGAGAAAGGGTGCGACACAGCCACTCTTTTCCTCTTCTCCGTTCCCATCGTTGCCCGCGCCCTTTCCTTTATTCCCTCTATCCTCAACCTCTGTATGACACGAAGAGGCCTCTATGGAGGAGAAAGCCATGATGATATCACAATTTATTGCAAATACCATATTTCCTCAAATAATAGCCATTGGCGATGATTATTTTTTGCACAAAAAGCGGGAGATTAATCGAGGGAGGTGATTTAAATATTTCAAATATATTGCTCCCTGGAAGTTGTGTCCTAAAGACTTTGTTTTATTGTCCCAATAAATCATAAAATGATCACATCAAATTAATATAACTGAACATGGGCTTTTTAAGTATTCCAAATTTGGTTCCTTGATTTATTTTCAATGTCAATATCCTCCACAGCCAGTATCCACATACAAATTCTCCAAACTGATCTCCATACATTTCCTTAAAGAATTGGTTGAGAGAATTTCATAATAGATTTTATCTTGGGTGATCATTTTATTAATTCTCATAACTTATCTCTTGAGAGTGCATGGATATTGGTTGAGGAAATACGTCCATCAAGATTACAAGCTCCTAAGGGCATGCGTAAAACATTTTTATCCATTACTTGTGACTGAGCATAGTATCCTTAATTTAGTGCAAAGAAATTTCAGTGGCTTACCAAAAAACACTAATCATAACACAGGTTATTATTCCAGCAATGACAGACCAGCAAAAACCACGAATCTGTTGGAGAAAGTTAACAAACAGTTTGTTAAAACATGTATTACAGAAGAGGAAATGGACATAAAAGAACACTGTAAATTATTCTGAAATGTCAGTCATCTCCTTTTCCTGACCCCTGGGGGGGGGGGGTGGTACTTTGGGAAATTTTGGGTGGGGATGTGCCACTGGGACCCTGGAACCCTTAGCCTATACCAGAGCAAGTTCAGCTGAATTTTTGCTGCTCTATACTAGACTAAAACTCCCCAAATACTCCCTATCATAGAGTAGCTGCTTTGCAGAAACTACTGAGGTCACCCGCACAGTCCAGCCAAAAGAAAACCAATATGATTTGAAAGAGTCTTTTCCAGTGATATGGTTTTAATATTAAAGAGTCAAGGAAAAGGGGGCACACAAAGCAGTGAAAACTCAGCAATTCCCATTAAATGGTGAGCTGATGCGAGCTCAATGAAAATCCTGATAGAAATGCGAAATCTAACATGCACTTTCTTCAGTCTTCATGGTAACGCCATGCAAAATTAATTGGTTTCGCAAGGTCGGGTCATCTATAAATAATTTTTCCTAAAATTACTGCTCCAATGATTCTTGTGCTACAAGAGCAATGTGATTCCTATCATGCAGGAAATGAGACACGACTACTAATAAACTTACTATTGAGCAGTCCTGCTTCCATACAATGTTCCCGATAAGAGATGGGTCTCGGGTCAATGACCCGACAAAGAAGGCTTCCTGACCCGACAGATGACACATTAGTATTAGGTTAAATAGGACAAAAAAAATTGGCATGTGGTCTTGGTGACCTCAGATGGTCTACATGACCCCCCGCTTGAAAGAATCAACTGGAATGCTGCTCCATATAGTAAACTTATTAGCAATCAAAACACCGTACCTGTGAAGCTGAAGGACGTATCTTTTTAAAAAGAACAGGAAGGATATTTACAGCAACTCCTACCAAAAGAAGCCAAATATCAATGTTTATTCCCTTAACCACAGACTGATTAGCTCTTGGTCTGCCAAGCGGCAGGCCGTGACTAGCCCGTCCAAGGCTCCAAGATGGTGCACCTGTTGTAATGTGCAGAAAATTAATAGTGAAAAATGCACAGGGACTGGGGAGAAAGAAGGTGCCTCGGACAGATGACGCGTGTCTGATTTTTGCTCTACCTTACTGTTTTCATGGTGTCCCTACTCTGAGTCTGGCACAGGACTGAGAAGAAAGTGCTGTGTTAGTTACTGTTTGTATAGCCTGCATGCACACATCTCCTTAATTTTCTTTGTTTCTTCTGCGCAACCAAGGAAATGGGAAATACATGCATCCAGAAATAAACTTCACTAGCTACAAATGCCACAAGCACATTTCTGCAAAATCTATCATTCATACATAATTTGCAGTCGACACTTAGTTTTAATACAGAAGCAAAAGTTTGTCTTCCAAGTGTGAGTACATGACTGTACAAAAATACAAGACATAGAGATGTTTAAACGCAAATTATTATTCTAGAAACCAACTTAAAATTATCTTAATGTCAGGTCATACTAACCTAAAGCCACAGTCCCCAACACAAGAGGCTGACAAACATGCTCCAGTTCACTGTGGTTACGTTTGGGGTTAAACTGACTTCCTATTAACGTGGAACCACAAACCTGCAAAATATTACATTAAATGATAGTTATTATATAATAATGGAAAAAATTATTCTACTATTCAACCATTACTATTCACTTCTTGGGATTTTACAAAATTAAAGATATTTGGAAGTTTGAACAATTTTTTGCAGTAGTCACTAAATAGAGTGGAGGCGTGGGGGAGGATAGAGGAATGGGAGTCCACCAGGAGAATAGGGTGCAGCAGGGGTATTTTGTCAGGGGCACCCAATGTCAATTTTTAGAAAATATCTGTTTGGAAGACGATTTGAGGACTAGAATTTTCGGAACATTTGTTGTGAAATTTCTTGCCTGCCTAGCTCCTAGGATTTTTGAACATCTAATGGTTTTTTACCCTTAAAAGGTCTCCTAGAATTTTTGGGAGCCCTTTTTCTGGCTGAAATTTTTGAAAAGGTAAGTTTTCATCCCTATAATTTTCGGATCACTAGACTTTCAACTAGGATATCCGAACGGATGAAAAATTTTTAGGGGATAAAAATATACCTATATCTACCGTTCAAATACTAAAATATGTTCAGCAATGCTATGTTTAAGTGGTTTTGAACTATATTCTCATTGGGTGCTCCTGCTTTGTATTAGAGGTGGGAGAGGAAAGAGTGGGAGGAAGGGCAGGAGGCAGGAGAAATTAAGCAACAATGCTAAATATTCTGCAATCCGGGAAGGGCTTAAGGGAGAAAACCAAGAAAAAAGGGGCGGGAGCCAGGAATATATGCAAACTATGGGAGGGAAGAGGTTGTATCCCTGTATCCCCACCCATAGAGATTCCACTGAAGAAGATCATAGGATATTAAGGCGGGATGTTTATGTACTTTTGTTAAATAGTTAGTGAGCCAAACTTACAGCAATAGTAGAAAATAAGCAGCCATTAAGAAATGTCAGCACTGACACAAAGGGTACAATTAAAGAGTTAACAAAGATGGTCAGGAATGCACTGCACCACACAAGCACTGCAGGTATCCAAACCAAACTGTTAAAAGAATGGTAACACACAGCTGGATTAGATAACAGACGTACACCAGATGTATAATTAAACAGCATAAAAATTAATGTAAATTAAAAGAACTCACTTCATATTCAGCAGCTGATCACATAACGTACTGGCTTCTAGAGCATTACTGATAAGAATAGAAATACTGAAAAGAACAAAAACATGTTACATAAGCTGAAAAACCCTGTAACGTATTGACTAGACAACATGATATTAATTGTGGGTATTACTGTATTTACTCAAATAAGTGCCACCTGGCACACTTATTAAATTTTTCATGCCTCAAATGTGGCATTATTAATTTTGATGGTCGCATTTATTTGAAAGTTAGATCTATATGACAAAAATTGTTTTAACTATGGTATTTTATTATATACATACTGAGAAATACTCACCAAAAAGCTATGTCGTAAATTTTTTAGAAAAATGATACGTCCAATCAGAAGCCACAGAGGTGTGTGAGTTTCGCCAAAATCCCGCCTTTTATTGCAGCTTGCAGCGCCGTCGCACACATTCAACGAGAAAGTTTTACTCAAAGAGTTTTCTCACTAAAAAGTGAAAAACATTTCGAAATGGGTGGAATAGTTTCGTTTGTTTCACTGTCGATAAAGAAAACGGTAGACAGCCGGCGAAACAACAGCGGAAAGGGAAAAACAGAACGGGACGTAAGCTTTTGTTGTTCTTTTTGTCGGAGCTACTTTGCCTTCATTTAAGCTTAAGCTTATATTGAAACCGGCCATTTTACTTAAATTCACTCATTTTCAATTGTGCATTGAGAACAAACAGTTAAGATTACTTATAGTTCTTGGATTACCCCATATCCTTACCGTCATTTATGTTTTTAACAAACATTTTTACCAAAAAGCTGATACTTCGTTTTCGTTGTCATTTTGCGGTAAGTGTGTAGCGGCAAATTTTAGCATTTTTGAAAGATTTAAAATAAAAAGGCCGCCAAAATGATGAATGTCTCAGTATGTATATAATAAACACAATACCACATGGAAAGTGCTGGCGTACGGTATTTACGCACTCGTTGTTTTTGTATCAGAAATCTTACTCATTCGCTGCGCTCACTCGTTCGATTTCTGATAAGTCAACAACTCGTGCGTAAATACCGTACGCCAGCACTTTCCATGAAGTATTCTCTATATATCCATATTAAACCACCAGAATTAACGTCTTTTGATTTTGATTATATCCAGGCAGCAGCACTTTTTCGGGGGCAGGACTTATAAACTTTTTTGTTCCAAATGCGGCACTTATTCCAGGGTAGCACTTAATCATGGGCAGTGCTAAGTCAAGTAAATACTGTAAGTTGAGAAGCACTCTGGAAATTTATTTACCAAATTTTTCATGATACTGAGATCGGTACTGTTAATAAACTACTACATGTACAACCTCCCCCCCCCACCCTCTGACTGATCATAGGGGCCTTGTTTGAAAATGGGTTGGGAGTTAGTGAACCTGTTTTCATCCAAAAAATAGCTTAGAAGAGAATATTCCATGTTGTATTGAAAATTAACCCTTTAATTAGCATTGGATACTCTGTGCATTTTGGGTTGTGTGCACTGCTTGGAATCTAAAAGAGTAATAAGCCTACAGCTGTATATGGTATTATCAGAATATATAGAGCTGTAATATTATTTGCAACTACTTGACAAGGTGCATTGTGAGAATAGCCCACCTGATGGGTTTGAAATGAATAAAGGTGGACTGATCCCTCATCCTACAAAATAACTATCTACAGACCATATTAAATTATTCAATTTACTGTCTGGTAACAAATAAAACCTTACAACATTAGAAGTATGATCACTTCAAAGATCTGTCTTAAGCCATGGCACAGAAACAGTTCTGCCAATGTGTGAAGGCTGGGCTGACTGTGCACTGTATCTTGGTGGTTCTCCCTTATTGGAAGTGGTACAGTACCACTAACCTTGCCTGAAAGATAAAGAATGATAAGAAACGATTCCCAAGCTCAAGAGGGGGCTGTCGTTTAGAGAAATGGCAATCAGTTGTAAAAGTCAGCAACTATGGTAAAGATCACTAACTTTTCTTAACCCTTTAAGTCCTAATGGTGTCCAACATCAATTTTCTCCCAACACTATCCATACATTGTTAAGAGATTAGGTTATGAGAATTAATAAAATGATCACCAAAGAGAAAATACCTTGATCTTTTACCAAATTCTCTTAACTCATTCTCTAAGGAAATGTATGAAGACCAGTTTGGAGAATTTGTAGGTGGATATTGGGACTTAAAGGGTTAAAATATATTCTCTCAACTAGTATTAACTGCCTATCAGCCTGCACCATGTCCCATGCATCATTTGTGCGCTGTCTTCAGTTTTAACAGTCATAGACAACTTCAACACCTACAGTTCATAGCCTGTGTAGGGGTGAAAACTATTCCAAAATAAACCCCTCTGACATCAATTAAGTGGAACAAACCAGAGAAAATTACAATTTTAGATCTCAATAGAAGGGTCTAGGTTTTTTTTATTCCAGTTTTCTTAGGAGTGAATTTTCGTAGTTCATGTGATTTTTTAACATCAGTTTTTGTCATTTTAGTACTGTATTTTAGCAATTTTACTTTTTATATGCAGTGCCCTATTGAAAACCACATTATCTGTGAGTACTGTATAAAACAGAAGTTTCTTCTTCTTCTTCTTCTTCTTATTATTATTAAGCAATTTGGACCAGAGAATTCTTTTCCAATTTGCAACTGTACTTACTTCCTTCAAAATAATTTCACATTAAAACATTTTCCACTAGAATAAAGCTTAGGAAATGCCCAGCAGGAAAAAAAAACAGAGAAGAAAAGAGAAAGAGTCACGAAGGGGAAGGGAGGAAAGTGTAAAATGCTAATAACGCTAAGGAGACAGCGACAATTGAAAGTTTGCCTTCTGTTCCATCCAAATTGTGTAATTAAGTTGTAATAATATTTGACAACAGGAACGTGGCAGAAGCAAGTATACATCTTAATCTTACTTCCCTTTTGCAAGGACAGTGATCAGACAACAGCTAAATTAGCTTCACACACCTTTTTTCAGCAAGCTTTCCAGCACAAATAATGGTTCACGTATATTGAGCTACATGTTACTGTATTTCCTCAAATAATTGCCGGGGGTGATTATTTCTTTTTTCACACAACAAGGGACGGTTAATTGAGCTGAGGGAAGGTGAATAATCGAGGGAGGTGATTATTTCAAATACTGCTTACTGGAAGTTGTGCCCTAAATGTTTGGTTTTATTATCCCATTAAAATAAAAAAATGATCACATCAAAATAATAAACTAAACATGGGCATTTTTAAGTGTTCCAAAATTGCTTCCTTGATTAATTTTCAGTGTCAATTATTGATATCCTCAGTGTCACAGCTTGAACAGGGTTTTCATTAAGTATTCTAGTAGCAGGAGAAAGGTGTAACATTACAGGAGAATAATTATTTTGAAAGAGGCTCCTCATCAGCTGAATAAAAAATATTCACAGGCTACCGAATGTTAACCAGAGAATTTTTCTTGTCGCAATTTTATTTTACACGCTGTTGCTACTTTTTGGGTCATGTCGCTTGTCGGAATTGACCCTGGTAGGGCCTCTTGAATTGTTGATGATCAGTTTTGCTGGATCAGATGCCACTTCAACTAGACATTTTAGGGGATAAAAGAAATGTCGCAGATGGTGAGAGGGGAATTGGTGGTTTTGGGCAATTCCACTTAATTTACAGGGAGGGATAAAAAGAAAGAGCAGTGGTAAGGGGTGGTGGGCAATTCCTTCAGGCAATTAATTAAGGGGGCGATTAATCGGGACGGCTATTATTTGAGGAAATACAGTATATGTGTTTTCAATAAGGCAGAAATCTGAGGGAACCAATTTCTCAAAAATGTGATATCGACCTAATACAGTGTAGGCTTTTTATTATAATTTTGTTGACATCTAACAAAAATTTTCAAATGCACTCTATCAATGTAGATTTTACTATAAACTGCAATATCACTTTTACTGGGTTTGCTATTCAAATTTATATTTGTGTATGGACTGTGATTGATCTTACTTACGTATCTCAAATTCCACATCTGATGGTTTGTTTACTTCCTCTTCTTCTTCTTCTTCTTCTTCCACAACACTACCCCCCACATCATTAAGGGGGATATCTTCATCACCAGGAATTAACTAGTCAAAGCAAAAATTCACACGATATTAAATACATATAAAAACAATGCATTTTCATTTTCTCTCTTTTCCACCTTGGACAGATTTTTGGTGAAACCAACCATCTGAAGCTGCCAGGAAATTTCAGTTCCCCTTCCAATCACCACACTGCATATAATGTATATCCCTTGCAGGAGGCTCTGTCCTGAGGGCCAAACGCCTTTAATTTTCCATTCATATACCATTTTGGACAGAAAAGGGACCTCTTTCCAGGGCTGTCAAAACGTTTTTAAGAAGCAGGCTGATAATTTTGGCTTTGAACTCGCAGGTTCTTGAGGCAGCGCAAAATGAATGGGCTAGGTGGAATTTTGTTTTTAACTTGCCCGACGGGCAAGTGATGTTTTATGAGGAATTTGAATAACAGAAGAACAAAAAGTTTTGGGGCTGGTTGAAATGACGTCTGGGCTAGTAAATGCTAACTTCAGCTTGCCTGAATGGCAAGCTGTAAAAATGATTTTCTTTGCACCCTGTGAGGGCAGAGACATCTAGGGGCATTTTGAAATTCAGAGTCTCAGAAATGGCATTTCCAGGGCTTTTCAAGAGGTATTTTCCACCGCGGACACCGTGTTGTTTCGTCAGAATACACGCAAGACTGGGAACAATGGCGTCAAAATGTCCCAGGCATTCCACACACAGTTAGAATGTTTCACAGATCTAAACCTGTCCAAAAATACGTTCGAAGTCACTCAAAACTGGGAAACGGATGCTTTAAAATTTTATTTGATGGTGCTTATTTTTAGCTAACAGTTATGGTAGAAGGAGATGAAAGTAGCCAGCTAAGGATGGCTAACAAGCCGGCACTTTTGGTCAGCTAACGAAGTTAGCCATAAAATGTGTCTGTTTATAGCCCTTTTAAGTTTTTTACAAACTGCCTTGTCTGATTTCCCTCCCCTTTCACCAATTTCAACTAAAGAAATGCTTACCCTTTCATATAACTGAAGCTCGAAAAAGGTAACCTTTTCGGGCGTAGCCTCTCCTTAATTATGGACCATTAGAGGGAGTACCCCCCTCCCTCCCCTCCCGGGCTCTTATTATTTTACCTGAACTCTTCAAAGACAGTCAAGTCTCAAGAAACATCACATCAAACATAAATAAATAAATAACGTAACGACAACTGGCCTGGGTGGAAAACACCATCATATTATTTAAAATGCCTTTGTGTTTTTTCTATCATTGAGTGAGAGTCCAAACGGCTCTACAACTATCAGAACAATATCACGTCCAAGGATTACTTTATACTACTACTAATATGACGATGACACACATGAACATTGGAATGTCAACTGGCTCCGATTGAATGGGCAAAGTTTTCATCGTAATAGGAAACGGCAACTGGTGCCTATAGACCGGTACTGATTCCGATCAATCGGAAAATTAATCGGGTCGGTTTCCCATGATCTGGTTCCCTACCGATATTTGGATATTTAATTGTTATTATACACGTTGTCATAAGCTTACAGTTTCTCCAAGAAGTTGCCTCTTAGCCAGATAGCCCCGCTGCAAGAGCTCCACAAAATAAAACACCACCAAAACCTGCCAATAAACCAGATTAGCGTGAAAGTAACAATCTAGCATTCATAGAAAAACAGGATTTCAGAGCAATAATATTGTGCAAATTGCACTGTTGAATAATAAGAAATGACCTGACAAGTATAGTATGTAAAAAAGTGGCAGAGCCATACCTGCATAGATGTTTGAAGAAGAACAACGGCAACATACACTGTGAATCCAGACTCATTTAGCACTCTTGGCAGCCCTAATAAATGAGGATCAACCAAGAAAGTTTTTACATTGTATTTTGCACCAATGCATGTAGCCTGAGAAAGCAGCCAACATTCACAACTGCACCATTACTTGTACTTTTCCCGTGAAATCACGTCGGAAGAAAGACTGCAGAAATTCAATAGAAGAGATGAAGCATCGCTACAAAGATCTGGGTAGTGCTTCTGATTGGCTGAAAATTTGCTGCATCCAATCAGAAACACTGTAACGCAAGACTAGACAGGGTAAATGGTAATGAACATTCCTTTTAGTTCACACTAACTGGAATAAAATCAAAGGACTACCAAAAAAAGCAGTCCTGAATATTTCAAAAATGACCATGTACCAAACTGTCATGCAAAATTCTCGGTATAAGAGGGTACCCCATACTTTTTTTTGTGAAGTGTGATTATTTTCTGTGAAAATTGTGATTTAACTTTTTACATTTATTTGTGATTCGTAATAAATTGCTCATCCCAAGTCAATTTTTATGTGCTCTTGAAAGCAGTTTTTAAATATTATTATGCTTGACGAATGAATAATATTTTTACAAGAAAGAATTTTGCCAGGAGGTTAGCTCATTTGGATAAGCACCGGTCTGCTGAGCAGGAGGTTTCTGGTTCAAGCCCCAGCTGGACCAACACTCAGAGTCTGAGGAGAAAGTGCTGCCTTTGTAAAGACATCTGCAAACGGTTAGACTTTCTTGTCTTCTAGAATAAGGATGATAAACCATGGGCCCCATCTCACAACCCTTGCACATGTAAATTCTGTGGGACATTAAAGAACCCACGCATTATTTGTAAAGAGTAGGGGGCGTTGGTGCCGGTATTTTGGTCTATCTCTCATAGGGGGAGGGACTGTTATGAGCCCGCAGTAATTGGTATCATGCTGTTGAAGTGACTGTGCCAAGAACTGACGAATCTAATAGAATAAAATATGGGACCCTCTAAAAGGAAAGTGTCAAGAGAAATGAAATAAGTGTTTTTCAAAACAAGCTGAAAAAGTGCTACATTATTATTTTTTATATCAGTCAAGTTCGACAAGATTTCTTTATATATACATTAAACACTTAATGACTGGTCCTGAGGGGAACAGTTTATTTTGTTTCCTGCTCAAGAATCTCAATGTTTCCCGAGGAGGAGCAGAGGGAAACATTGAGAAATTCATTAAACTTCCATGTAATGGCAGTCGTCAGTCAACATTCACAAGGGGAGTAGGGGAACACTGTGTAACAGTGCAGTGTTACGATATGAAGTCAAAGATTTTGCAATGTTGCCCACTCAGAGATTTTGGCAGAAAACAGTTTCATTGTTAGATGTCATGTGACCTCGAAGTCACCAATGAGAGCGTGCGCTAGTGAGAAAAAATTTCCAGCTATATAACAAATATTTTTGCTATAAGTTATTATTTATGAGCATTATTGAATGCAAAAATACCAACCTACTGTTCCATTTCCCAAAATTACAGCAATGGTAAAAAAATCTTTGAAATTAAAACAAGGATAAAATAAATTAATAATAAATTAATAATTGGAATTACTCGACTAGTACACAATACCGCCAGCTACGCAGGCTAGGGTATAATCTGAAAATCGAGGAGGGTGTTATCCAGCCTTCGCAGATAACACTTTCCAAGATCTATATAATTCTTCAGATCATACCAAAGTCCAATCCATGTTGTTTTCTAATTTTATAATTAACTCAAAATAATTCCTAATTTAAAAACAAGCCAAGTGAATTGTTGTAAGAACTATATCTACTTATTTATTTATTTCATTGTTAGTATTTGATTAGTTAGCTATTGGAGTTGTAAATTAGTTATTTTATTTTATTATCTCCTGTATATTTTGTGTGGTTAATAAATTATGACAAAAAAAAAAAGATGTCTTGCTCAGTCAACAAAGTAAACCTGGAAGTCATGTTTTTGCTTCTTCAGGGGTGTAAATTTCTGATTTTGGTCTCACTTAGGATGTTCTGGGCAAAACGCCATCATGTTTAGCCGTGAAGGTCTCGTTTAGGGTAGCCTCCCACGCGGGCATTTTTAGGGGAGCTCGTTTTTCATCCCTCCCCACAAACGCCCGCTCAACCGAAGACAACATTCCTTTCCCAAGCTTAGCCAATCACATTGTACTTTCCAAATTCTGGAAAGTTGACCTTGACCGCAAGGTAATCTGACAATTACTCGATCTGCATGAAACACTGGGAAAGCTTTCTGACCTTTTTGTCCTCTAATAAATGTTAGATTCACAGCGTCAAAAATAAGATTTAGTCAAAATTTAGAATACTCCATGCACTGCATAACCTTAGCGAAGGAAAGAAAAGAAGGAAAACGGTAACTTTAGGGTCACGTTCAGTCGTGTTTAGCCTGTCAACACTTTATTGCACAATAATAATTGTTGATTGGTCACTTACCACGCAAATAGAACAATGGGAAAGGAATGTTGTTTTCCGTTGAGTAGGCGTTTGTGGGGAGGGATGAAAAACGAGCTCCCCTAAAAACGCCTGCATGGGAGGCTACGTTTAGGGTTGCACGCGAAAAAATATAAAAACATATATTTTATATGTATATTTTTAATTCGTTTTAGCGAGTATTTAGCGTATGATGTATATGTTGAAGTTAATTTTTTATTTCAGTTAATTTTTATTTTTCCATTGTTTTTGGGTATGGTAATGTATGCTAAACAATTTAAAACAAAGGAAAAACAAAATTTAACTGAAATAAAAAATTAACTACAACATATGTATTGTTTAATGATATTTTGCAGGTACAGTTCTTTTTAACATTTTCAAGTTTGCTATTTCACAAAGATGCAAGAAGCGAGTATGGTGGACTGACAATTTATGACGATTTTAAAAAACTGAAAAGTGATGATAATGTCTTTTTAAAAATAAATTTTTTTTTCATTTGGGTGTTTTAACATGGTGTTTTTGGGATCAAAAAAGCTAAGGCCATAATGTCTTTTTAGCCATTATTAAAATCCATCCCACCGTAATTTTTGTTTTTACAAGTGAGTTTATTTTTAGATGTGTTTTACCTTTTCACATGGCTGTTTTTCGAAGATGATTTTGATTTCCCTTTGCGTGAATTATGCGTTGTCGCCGATGAAGTAGACGTTTTGCAGATCTTCCTCTGAACTGGGGTCAAAAAAGAATCCTCTGAAGCCATGCCCCTTTTTCAATGATTCTCCTGGTTACGTATTAAAAGTTTATTTTGATGGGGGTTTAATTTTTTCAAAATTTCCTACTTAGCATCCGTATGGAAGTTAGGCTCCTGCCACCATCATATGCGGAGTCTTCCCCCCCATTCCCGCGAGTCATACATGACATGATTACCCGTGACCTTGAGTGGCCTTGACATGATTATTGTATAATCTGCAGCTAGATGACGTCCCAGGCGCTGATTTCGAAAATTTACTGTATGCTTTCGGCCAATTAGAAAAGAGATAGTTAGTTGAATGTATAATAAAGCTTAATTCCAAATGTTTTCAGTTTGAGACCGAAAGGCAAACAGACAACACACAAATGCAAATCATGTCAGCTACTCAGCTCGTTTAACGCTTACACGTCAACAATGCATGAGGGAATTGGGGCGACAAGTTCAAAAGTATAAAACAAAAATAAGCTTAATATTAACTAAACATAAAGTTAAAGCTTCTAGCTAAAAAGCTACTGCATTAGTGCGCAAGCTCTGCCCAAACTTACAGCACTGTACGTATCCAAATGCTGTAATTTTCCTCTTAAATTTTGTTTCGACAGCTGAGCTATGCACTTTTGAGGAGTCCGAAAGAAGACTTTCTCCATCTGTGTCGCGTTCCCCCACATCCTCGTCCTCCATAATTTGTTAAGTTTTGCAGGGTATTCTGGGAAATGTATGCGCAGTTTCCCTTGGGGAGAGGAGTGAGGTCAGGCGAACACCTTGCGTTGTTACTAAAACATGGAACGGCCCATGGCACGACCTAAAACCACACAAACCACCTACAACTATCTACAACCACCTCAAGTGGTGCTATGTAGAGAGCAGGGGGCTTACCGACCGCACTTCATACCATATTTAATCGAATGAGGGCCGAAGTGCTCATTAATTTTCTTCTCCTCGGGGAACTTTTCCAACGGCATTCGCGAATAACAGGGGATACTTTTTTTCTTTCTTTTCCTTTGTTTCTTGACTCCTAGTTTAGAGGTTTAGTTCAAAACCGAACAAAACAGTGACGGATCCAGAGGAGGGGCCGGGGGGGGCTGGCCCCCCTTATTTTTGGAACAAAATGAGGTCCGAAGAGCCGAAAAAAAATTTTTTGAGACCGCCCCCTCCCTTCCCCGCTTATCTATATCTCAGAGTCTGGGTGACCGCCCCCCCCCTTATCTGAAGGTCTGGACCCGCCACTGCAAAAGACCCCCTCGAGTAGGCGATTGCCAGCCAAAATATAAATTATCAGCAAGTCCACAGACCTGGGTCAGTACAATAATAACTGTAGAAAATATAAAACGGCAAACTGATCCTTAAGGCAACGCGATGAAGAAGTAAACAAAAGAGCAAAACAAAAAATATATATTTAAACAAGTTTGCCCAACATCTCGGTTTGAAAACAAACCTTCTTCACTAACCAGCCAAGTGACCTGACCCCCCGGGCGAGCTGAACTGGGCCGGAAATATGACGATCACGAGCCAGGAGCCGATCCCAGTCGCGTGATCCTTACGTCATTTAGCACGCCATGTGACCCAAGGATCGGGATAAACAAAAAAAGTGAAATCCACCACCGATTGGGTTATGTAGCAACTTATACATTTTTTTTTTGGATTTTTCCTCGTTTTTTCTCATCAAACCTTTCACAAAAACAAACATCACGTGATTTCTTACTAACGAAGCGGAGGGGGTGGTGTTCTTTCTTGGAAGTTCTTCAAGTCTAAGCACCAAGATTCGAGCGAAGCCACAATATTTAGGGTCAGGCAGTTTATTACAATTCTTTGTTCTAATACAAACAATATAAATCACTACATCTAGACTACAAGGATAGAGACCCATACAAGTGCTAACACAAACAAGACAACTAAGAAATTAGAACTACTAAAACACTATGCAAAATAAATAGCAGTGAGCACTACTTACTGTAAAAATGCTACGTGAAATAAGCAAGTAATCGATAATTGATAAATTTGAGTAACAAGATATATAACCTACAAGTACTATTAGTATTCTGTCCATTAAGCTTGCCGAGAAAGTAAGAAAGGTCCAGTTCTTGATCGACGGTCCGTTCAAGCTTCCACATTTTCATAAGCGTCTACAATTTTAACAACAACTTGGAAACAGAACACATAGTTATTACTCTGGTCTTCCAACTCAAACTGAGCTACTACTGTCACGGCAGGATATTCGGATTTTACCGGCAAAGTTATTGTCAATTCAACTGGCACTCCTGATTTCAACGGACAAGTAAGGCCATGGTCGGAACAGGCGTTAGGATTAGGTAATGGAAAAGGCACCTTCACAGGTCCAAGTTTACCGTAAACCTTCAGTGTCCCATTCGATACCTCCTCCGTAGGAGTGAACGAGATAGTGCAGGTAACATTAGTTCCTTTCTTGAATTCGCATGGCGTTGTTGAGCAAGGGGTTACGTCGACGGCGATGGCACTAATGTGCTCTGTAACGTCCGAACAATTCCCAAACTCTACAGGCGTTGCTTCGGTAACGACACCATAAAATGCCATTAGGCCTAACAGAAAAATTGCTCCACCGTTTAAAGACATGTTGCCAGTCTGAAACAACGTTGATCTTCGTCCTGCTAGAGATCTTCAGCTCGAATGTCGGTAGTGTGTGTAATGTGTCTTTTTACAGCTATGCGGAAATCTGAGATGAGTATGCACGCCCATATGTTGCAATATTTAATCCCTTTATTTCGTTTTAGAAGAGTGACGTGTCTAGGAGCATACCCCTTGAGGGGGGGCACTCCCTTATTTGGCCTATACTGGTATGGGATGCTGAACAGGATATGGTTTTCAAGGTGCGGAGGAGAGAGAACAGGGTATACAATTTCACTATTGAGCGTCTTAAAAAAGATGTCTTTTTGAACTGGAAGCCTTTCAAAGACTTGCGTAGTGTAAAGACTTGCGATGAGCGGTCTACATTTGTAACACCAACAACTTTTTTCCTAAACATCTATAGCCTGCGAGCAAGCTCTCCTATTTGGGCAAGCGAAGCGTTCTCGCGAGACTCGTTTCACTCGCCCGAACAGGAGAGCTTGCTCGCAGGCTAAAACATCTATTTCCACTATTTTAGTGTAAAAGATTACTTGTCTGAATTCTTTACGCAAAACAAAACAAATCAGGGTCAGAAAGTAGTGAAACAAAACACTGACAAAAGAAGCAAGGCTGATTTTACACAGTTTACAGTCGGGAATATATATGTCACTTTTTACCAATATTTCGGAAGGCCCGGCCTTTCTTCTTCAGGGTCTTTATTTCAACGTCTTAGCTTAACTTCTTCATTATATGTATACGGACTGTTTTGCAGTCTAGTAAAATCAGCCTTGCTTTTTTTGTTTAATATTTTCACTCATTGCTGATCTTGAGATACTTTATTACAGGCGCGGATCCAGGATTTTTTTTAGGAGGGGGTGCACTCGTCTCTTGCTCTACTTCAACACCAATAAACCACATAGTTTTTTTTTTTCGCAGAATACCAGTTGTCAGGCTGACCAGTTGTATTAGAAAACCGCAGGTCATCTCAGGGGGGGTGAGTACCCCTTGCACCCTCCCCCTAGATCCACCCTTGTATTAGGATCCGATCCTTCTTTTTTGTAAGCTGGTCCTTGCCTCGATAATTGAATCAGAAAGTAGTGTCTCCTTTCTTAAACAGGGTAGCGAAATGAGCAATTTTTGTCTTAAAAAGGGTCGGGGTTTGAAGGCCTCGCGGCCCCGGGCTCGCGGCACACCTCTACCTAGAATTCCCTTAAATGCCCTGTAGACTGCTTACGCCCTCGTTTCTCGCGACAAGCGGCCTCGCCGCTCGCGTGCTTGGGTTTCGCGTGCAGTAACTTTGCAAAGAAAAATAAGAGACTGCTCGCAGTCGAACAGGCTATTCTTCGTGTCGTCACGCAACGTTTCTCCCCAGGAGCGTTGCGTGAGGACACAGACAACGGCACGCGTGGAGCAGACTACGTGGCCTCTAACCTGACTGACCAGACTGTGAGAGAGAGGGGGGGACGAGTAGAAGAGAGGGCCCTGAGGACGAAGTAGACTAACGGCGTTTTCCCATGACGTCACGGCGATCATATTGGTGTTCCAAAGCGATGAAAAGGCGGTCATGTTGGTGTTCCAAACCAATCATGTGGGAGTTGAACTCTTCTAATATGTAAACGCTTTCCTTTGTTCTAATAAGTTTGCATCGATGCCCGCCACATGAGTGAAAACGCTCTATTGTTGGTTACCCAAAAGGCCATTTGCAGGATGACGACATTTGACCACGACTGCCAGAATTCATTTAGCCTGCGAAAACATCCGTTTCTCCTCGCTCCTCGCCGCTGGGGACGTTTCGCGCGGAGGAACGTCTGCGACTCAGCGACAGAAATTCCATACTGATGACGCAATCAGTATCTCTCTTCGGGGAGGATCAAAGACCGGACCCGGGAGACGGCGGAAATCGAGCCTACAACATTCTACGGTTTAAAACTACTAAAAGAGTCATACTGTAGAATCTAGCGCTTGAATTGAAGTCATAAAAGTTAGAGGTTTTAAAAGATTCTGAAAGAGAGTTCCATAGTTTTGAAACCATGTACGGAAAGAGTGAATACCATAAGAAGTTGCTTTCGGAGACGGTAGAGAAAAACAAAACATAATCGCCGCCTAGACTATAGGATGTAGAACGGATTGTAAACATTATATAGCCCGGATAGCAGCTAAAAAAACAAGCTCTTGTACGATATTTTGATATTGAACTATTCAGTCTTAAAAGACTGAAAGCGTTTTTTAAAGGCGTCTTTAAAAGAGATTTGAGAGTGGGACTTTACTTTACTAGAGAGTCATACAGCATACAGAGAGCTATAATCCTGCCGATAAAGCTAAGAATTCGTTTGTTCAAGGTATCCATCTTTTCAGATGATTACGCGCACCACAAAAGTGGCCATAAGGGAGCTTTAGCAACGTCGACGACGGCACGTCAACGAGAACGTCAAAAAATCGGCAAAAAAAAAAAACAACAACAACAACAACTTTGCACGTGCATCACGCTTCTTTTGTACATTTCTTTGCTGTCACTGCACGACCACGACTTGAGAATAACTGCCTAATTTCACGTTTTGTGGAGGAAGTGAACACAAGACAACGACTTTCTTTTTCTTTTCCTGAACTTTGAAGCAGAGTTCCGTTGTAGACAAAGAAGTACTAGATTGCCGCTGACTGTGACAGTGTTGGCAGGTTATTCCTTTCATGGCCATATCTAGTTAAAATTCTCAGTCATTTTAAGTTATTTACACTTGGTAAAATCCAACTAGTGGTCTATTATCAATGCTGCGTTCTGATTGGTTGAGCTATTACCAGGCCATATGTTATAGCCCACCAGTAGCGAAAAGCGCGGACTTTTTGGCGGAAACTATTTATTTTTCTTTTCTAAAATTTTTTTATACTCGATTTTTTTGACCAACTAGTCGGATTTTACTAAAACAATTATTCCTCTCGCCCTCATGCTTCTGAGTCAATAGCCCATTCGGCCTTCGGCCTCATGGGCTATTGACTCAGAGCCCATTCGGGCTCGAGGAATAGTTGTTAAATAGTCGTGAGACACAAAAATAAAGGAGTATTTAGCGCAATCAAACCGGACTACGCCTACCATTATAGCATACTTTCTTTGGGTTCAGTCAGCTCATGTGTTATGCTCATCCATCACATGATGTTTAAAAAACAATCTTTTAAACTTTAGAAGGTTTGGATACTTCAGCAAACGAGAAGGGACATGACGTCTCATGCAGTTGTCAGAAGATTTAAAGGGACAGGTTCACGGTTCAGTGCATGCTCATTTATCAAAATGCTGTTTTTCTGCCAGGACATGCTGTGTCGTCTATGCAAGCAAAATGATCATGTCATAATGTTGTCAAAGAACCAATCTGCACACTCCCCTGGCAGTCACTTGCACTTGACCAACTTAAATATTTGCAAATAGCTGTAAAGTAATCAACCATGGAATAAAACCTTCGGGTCAACAATAAATTCAACGTTGGTAGTGTTGGTATAATCCTCTAATTTTTTCTGCGATTTTAGTACTCCTCCATCCTACTTCAGGTTACTCTGAAATAAATTTCTACTTTGAAATACACTCTGAGATCGCTGAGATACATGTGAGTGGGATTGTGAACCAATAGAATTAATAATAAATTGGAAAAAAGTAATTTAGTTAACGGGCATGCGCCTAACCGTGAACCTGTCCCTTTAAAGCGCTCAACCCGGATAGTTTCTTATAAACCCCCAACACTTGCGACTCCTACATACATACCTTCTTTTTGCTGGGGAGTCTAGACTTACCACAGGGGCACCCAACGACTGATTTCTGTCAAATATCTGCTCGGACAAGCAAATATTGTCTAGAATCTTCTATTTCTTGAGGACATCTAAAAACTTCTAGATGACCGTTCCTTTCACGTACAATTTTCGAAGCTTATTAAAAGTGAAACCTAAAATTGTCGGATTCAAAAATGTGGTGGAAAGAGGGATACGAAAAGTTCTCATTTTCGAAATACGTTAAATTGCATCTAAACTTTTCGAGAAATAAAACCGAAGCTCTTGCAATTTTGAAAAGACTCAAGTGCCCCTGGGATGACCGAAGAGATGCAAATTTTACAGCGCCGCTTAGAATGCACTTATAGAGATCTTAAAGCACTCTGGATAGCCAAAGTGATTTCAATGTATTTAGGAGAAAACCGACGTTGGGTGCCCTTGTAGACTTACTACAAGGTCGACCTCACGAGTTTCACAGTAGAAAAGCCGTGTAACGAGGAGTGTGGGATTTATAGGCAGCAAAGCGCCTGGCAAGCGTTCGAGCGAACGACAAATTTCGACAGATGGCAGAGATTTTCCAGCGTTTCTCAACCTAAATTACGCATGGTAGTATTTTTGAAATAATAAAACGCCGTAATAATTTTTTCGTTTGTTGTTTGTCAATACGGCTTACAAAATGGGGTAGATTCTGTTTTGTACGAAAAAAGTAAATAAATAAATAAATAAATAAACAGGAATTGAAGGCTGGCTTAGGACAGTTAGCCTACGGGCTCGAGGAACGCTCGCGAAGCGAGCGACAGCGAGCGAGATGTCGCGAGTGGACGTTTCCCGACTGACCACCAAAAACGGACTTTGAGAAAGTCTTGGAGATTTTGTGCGCGGTCTTGCAGCCAAATTCCTTCCCATTCTTCCTCGAACGCCTGCCACGCGGGCTAAGACAGTCGGTGTCTGAAGGTTTCTTCAAACAATATACATGACGCGTAATTCAATCAACAATCCTTTATTCATTCCGAAATTATATTGGATAACCCTCACTGACTCATTACAATCAGAGAAAAGAAGTCAAGGAAATGTTAAAGAAATTCTATCCGGCCAAACGCCAACAGGCGGCCATTTTTCTTGTCCCAGCCTCTGTTTCAAAGAGAGGCTAAGTGCAAAGCCATTGATATGAAAATGATTTTTTAATATCATGCAAATAAAACTCATTTTCACAAGAAAGGTTTTGCACTAGCCTCGTTTTGAAAGTGAGAGTTTTTGGAACTAGCAAATGGCCAGACCATAAGATTGTTTTATGATCATTACACAATACATATCTGACATTTTTGATCTGGAAAATTCACTAGAACAATCATCTTTACATCATGTTCATCCCCTAACATTTACAAATACCAGGAGCCTAGGCTCCTGCAAATACGTATTCCATCATGATTATTTATAAGTGTTTCTCTAGCGGATCTAGCCCGTACCTACGTTTCTTTTACGTCCACCAAAATCACCCCAAATTCAAAAGATTGCTTATTATTAAAAATAACATTTTTTTATTCTTTTGTGAAAGCTTGTCAAGTCCGCAAAGCAGGCATTGAAACACTGAAACAAACATAAACTCTAGCTAGAGTTCTCGGTGAAATCACCCGGGGGAGGTACTGCCATATATGGGCTATATAGGTATGTGCCGCTGTGAAGGGTATGGTTTTCAAGCAGTTTACTCTAGGATAGGGTATATAAATCAGAGCGTTTGGGTCTAGAATAGGGTATCATTTTTCGGGAAACTGATCAGTTGGTTGACGATTTTATCCAGACTAGGGATTGTGGTATAAGGTTTTGTTTTGGCTAGACTACTGTGCTAGTGACCTCGGTAGTTTCTGGAAAACAGCTACTCTAGGATAGGATTTGGGGAGTTTACTCTATTATAAGGTAGCAAAATTCAGCTGAACTAGCTCTGGTATAGGTTAAGGGTTCCAGGGTCCCAGCGACACATCCCCACCCAGAAATTCCTAAAGTACCCCCCAAATCAAGACAATCTAAAAGAGCTCAACTTGTTAAATTGAAAAGCAATGAAGCCAGGGTCGATGACTTCATCGACCAGTTCCTTGGTTCGTGGAGTGCAATTTAATTCAGACGATATCGGCATCAAACTGGATACACATAGCGGTCTTTTTGGCTTGATCCTTGACTTTAGCTTGTATCGTTACCCCTTTAAAGGGAGGAAAAACCCTCTTCACTTCCAAGGTCGAAAGGAACTTGTATTCTTTTCCCGGCTGCAACGGACAATCGAGATTGTGACCTTTACATACGTCAGGTTTGTCTACTGGCAAGGACATCGGAAGAGGAGAAACTACATCAAGCTTCAATTTCCCACTTTTAAGCTCTTTCCTTGTTGTGAAAATGACCGTGGTATTCACATAGGTTCCCCTCTTGAATGAACAAGGAACTGCGTCACAGGGCGTTATATCCACTGTAGAAACTTTCGAGTACCCTCCACAGCTCTTAACCTCTACCTTTTTTCCAAACACTGCAGTGCAGCAGAGTGCCAAAAACATCAGGCCAGACAGGAAAATCTTCACTTGGGACGTGTTCATCTTGCCAACAGTAGCTGGAACAACTGCTGCAAAGTATCGGTGCGCAGATGCATGTGATGTTATGAAAAGGTGTATCCGCATCACAAGACCTCGTGATGATAGCATGTGATGCAGCCGAGCACTGTTTGGAAATGATCCCGTGCTCCTCGCGTTCTTCCCCATGGGGATACTCCTTATAATAGGGCGACGGACGTCAACGACGGACATCAACCGGAAGTGGACTTTTTGCATCACTGGGCAGTGGTTTGGCTAAAACTCTTGGGTAAATCGTCTTTACAAGAGAAAAGAAACTTAGAAATACTCCTTCTAATGGCCTGTACAGGGAGACTGCCCGAAAGCTAAGGGGTATTTTTTTTTTCAGGGTTCAGGTATATGAAAGGGCAAGCATTTAACCACAGGTTAAAGCTCGAAATATGAGCATCGGCGAACATCGGCATTGTTGCGTAAGGTTTACCTTTATATAGAGAGAAAACCGTTTACCGTACAACCCATAAAACGGCCATAAATCGGTCCATTGACCACACAGGAGAGATGGGACACACATTTCATGTAAGGTAAACTGTTTTTTATTGAAATTCTTTCATTTTCGTAGGTTACGGAAACGATAGGTTTTCCCCCCAGTGTTCCCCCATACAAATCCTTATATTTCGAATGTTATGCAACAATGTCGATGTTCGCCGATGCTTATATTTCGAGCCTGGGCTACCTGTGATTTCACTAGTGGATTGAAGTGTATGAGAGGGAGGGGGAATCTGTTACTGTGGTCTGTGAAAGTGACAGGTGCATTTTGATGGCTTTGAAAAAGACACGAAACCTTTTTTTAATAGCAATCTCAGAAGAGAAGAACAGACAACCGTTGGACAACCCTCTGGACGCCCCGAGGACACACAAGGAACCAAGGAAGACCAAAGACGAGATGGAGGACGACTTATAGATAGGTTCGTAAAACATTGGCATCGTGTTGCGCAAAACGTGGTCCAGTGGAGGTCAGTTGGGAGGGCCAACGTCCAACGAGCGACATTCAACGGCTGAAACTGATAGTCGAAACCAGCTGTGTTTGATTTCATTTCAACGGCAAGTGGAGTCTCCAACGGGAAGCTAGAAATAGGGGAAGCTCATGTCATGGTTGAAATTAGAATTTGTCTTGATACCACGTGCCGCAATCAGTGCGATCTTTTGCTCCCGCCGGCGCCTCTTCCCTGTCATGTCATTCTCATGCGTCGCGTGCAGGATCAGACAGGTTGCTATGTAGGATACTCTAACTGTTGTTACAAGCAATTCGATTGAATCTGAATGTTCTAAAGGTTGGATAGAACTAGAATTTGTCTTGATACCACGTGCCGCAACCAGTACGATCTTTTGCTCCCGCCGGCGCCTCTTCCCTGTCATGTCATGCTCTTGTGTCGCGTGCAGGATACTCCAACCGTTGTTACAAGCAATTCGATTGAAATAAGGATGTTCAAAAAGGTTGGATAGCGTTACTGACCTAAAAATCTCCTAATCCTGTGATCTGTGAATATGTGTTCAGGAACCAGGGGGTTCTCAACAAAGTTTTATACGGGGAGTCTCCAACCCGAGGCCCAACGCCTTACCCTGTTACATACCGTTTTTGACTGAAAAGGAATCCTTTTGGCAAAAACCTTCTAATGACAAATGGCGGCCTTTTACATACCAAAATCAGAACTTTTAATTAACGGTCCAGAGAAGGAGAGAAGCAAATTAAACGCAATCAACACGTCGGAATGCACTGAAAGGTGCTAACTTTACTAGTGTCTCTATTAAATTTCGGATTGGTTTAAACATCAAATTTTACGAAATCTTCGCTGAACAGCATATATATTAACCCCTTGTTTTCTAACCACCTTCCTTATAACAAAATCTCGTCTGAGTCTAAGTAACACAGAAGTCCTATGTGAGGAACATGTAACAGTTGTAAACTTTTCTTGGCTATTGTTTGCAACTCTTATGATTCGTCGAAATCTTTTAACACAAAAATAACCCTTTAAAAAGTGGTCTTTAAATACATTTTATTTCGTAAACTGCTTTTTATAGGTTTATGCATTCTCTGTGTGAAAATGAAGCATTCCCATGTGAGGAAAGCGTATTGCGCCATAACAAAAGAAATTGCTTTCCGTGTTTTCCAGATCTTTACTTAACTGCTGTAAATGCACAGTCTTTTAAACATGAATGAATCACAAAATAACCAGATACTTTAAAGGAATGCTTCCTGTCACTTTTATTTTTTAAAAAAATTCTATCTCAATTTAATGACTTTGTTATCACGGTGTGCAATGAATTATAATCAGTAATTGTACTGGAAAAATTTAAATGATTGTTATTATATTATATTGTTTACAAAAGTATTATAAAAGGGGCTCTCCCAAGAGTTAATTTGTTGAGTGTCCCAGTGTCAATTAATTTTAAAATATATAATAATAATAATAATAATAATAATAATAATAATAATAATAATAATAATAATAATAATAACCATTAAAAGATTCTGTACAAGTTGGGCGTTTTACTGGTCCAAGGCAAACTTGATTTGCAGCAATTGACCTAACTCCGTGAAACTGTGAAAAGTTTGAACCCAGGAGTCATTTCAAAAGTAGGTTGAGTTTGATCGTCCGGGTGAACGTAGTCCTGAACGTAGACCTAACTCCCTTACATAGCTTGACTTCCGCGTAATTTAATCCAGTCAGAAGTTAGCCTGCGCGCAGACGAAATTAAACTCTGGTTAACTCCGTCTGCGAAACAGCGCCGAAATCCTTGTTCTGGACTTCCAGCCGTGTACCCCGATTTGAGTACGCGCCACGATTGGCCAGTCAAAAAAAGGCCTTTGTTTTGTTTGTCGTGATCGCCAATCAGGTTGAAGGGGAATTGGAAACGCACTTCCCGGAATTCGTCGAGTCCGTTGGGGGTCCAGAACAAGGATCTCTGCGCTGCTTCGCAGACGGTACTAATCAGAGTTTAGTTATCGTCTGCACGCAGGCTAGTCAGAAGTCAGTATTTACGCAACTAACAGTAACCTGATTCGTTGATTTGAACGTGGGTGGTAAAACGTGCTTCATCAGTTTTTTAGCCTGTTCGTGGGGGGCGGTGCGAAGTAAGGAGGAGCGCGAAAAAATAAAAGCGAGGGAGGAGGACTCTCCCCAGTCCCCATCTACTTTTCATCGCTTTCTTTATTTCGCACCGCTTTCCCATACCTCAACGCTTGGAACAGGCTATCAGCTATTCAACTCGTTTTGCAGCAATGTTTCAAAATAAGTGGCACGTTTTTGTTGTTCGTTTAACCGTAGCTTGAGTTATGCGGTTGAAAGCTTAAACAGCTTTCGGACGCCTTCTCTAAACTCCCTCTTTCGTATGGAGTAAACTACAGGATTCCAGGCCATTGTAGAAGCGTAAAGACAGTGAGCAGTAAGGACAGCCTCCACAGGCAGTACTTCGAAAGTGCGATAAAAATTTATTATCCAGAAGGGAAAGAAACACAAAATAAACACACCAATAATGATCATGGCATCGATGGCAGCCTTTCCTTCTTTAAGCAATTTTGCAATCCTCATCTGGGTTTTGCCAAGCGTATGCCTCTCTGAGGGAGGACGTTCCAGGGAGGGCATCGTAAACTTGTTATCCGGGGGGTGGGGGACGATATTTTCGGATTTAGAACGGTCAGACTGGCTGTGATGACGTTCTCCTCTGGTTATAGAGCTCATACTGTCTTCACGCACCTCCTTATGAAATTGTCTTGATCTCGTTGTTGATGCCTGCCCATGAGAGATTTCTTCCACCCTGTAGTTGGTATTGGATGTTTTACATTTTCTCATTCTGTTTACCTTTTCTTCACCCCTAGAATATAGATTGTTACTCTTGTGATTATGGCAAAAATCATTACCACCTTCGTCTTTGTTTCGAGTCAGGCATATTGCTCCCTTTGGCAAATCATTCCCATCAACCGAGGTATGGTTTTGGTTTTGTCGCGACGAGTGGCCTTCTAACGAGGTATGCAGCTGAGTTTTCATTTTGGACAAATAGTTTGCCATGAAATTTTTCACATCGTCGAGAACACTCGTCTCGTCATGTTCACTGGATGACATCGTTTTAGTTTTTCTCTTGTCCTCCTGCTGTCGAACTCTTTGATCTTGTGAAGGCTCGTTCTGCTCTGTACCGTTTTCCTTATTTTGGAACATACCATCTACATCGCATCGGAGTGGAAATACCTTAACACTGTATTTAATCCGGCGGACTACCGACAGTATTTTGTAGTTTAAAAAGAAGATTAACCCAAAGGGAACAAGAAATGAAATAGCTGAAAAGGGAAACAAGGTTTCTTTGTCCCATTTCGTCTCGCAGGCAAAGATTTCTGGGCGATCGGTGTACACGAATCCTCCCCATCCGATGAAAGGACCAACCGAGAGAACCATTGGTGCTACCCACAAGAACATCACACCTAGAAAGGTGCGTTTCTTTGTAAGGCGACCGGTATAGTTGAAAGGATCTTTAAAGATGGCCCAGTATCTCTCATAAGACACGAGGCAAAGATGGAACACAGTGCTAGGGTAAAGCGACCTGGCGAAATATGCTGCGATGTGACACCAGGTGGTACCAAAAATCCATCTCTCCAGACCAACGCATACTGAGCGGTTGCTAGTGATCATTACCGTAAACAGTAAATCTGAAAGAGCCAAGCTGGCCAGCAGAAAGTATCGAATGTAATGGAAACTTTCATAAATCTTGACGACGAGCAGGACCAGCAAATTTCCGAAAAAAGCTGCTAGCGCAATCAGTCCTAAAATCACCGCAAACACGATCATGTCCTAAAAAAAATTAAAATGTGATTCACCCCCGGGGGCACTTTGCAAACACGATCATTCTAGTTTTTTTATACCCAAATATTCTAAAATGGGCCAATTTTTTATACTGAAAAATTAAATTGATTTTTTAAAAGCAATCTGTCCTTGAATAATTTCAAATGGCCCCATACCCCTTTCTAGGCATCAAGGTTTCAAGGTGAGGTATTTATACGGTCTAGATAGTTGTATTTTGGCTGATTTTATTTGCCTTCTCCTATAAACATTATCATATATCACGTTATCATTGGAGTTATCTTTGTTTTTTTCCTCACGAATGCTCACTTTTGACCTGCCGTTTCCCGGCATTAACTGTCGAAGGCTGGGGAGTTTAGTCACTGGGTGGGCTCCATCCCAAAATAGAGGCAGGAGCAGGAGAGGTAAGGGAGGCGGGAGGTTTGGACGCACCAATTCCCCCCACCCTCCCCACCCAAACGGTATAGGTATAAAAACATAGAAAGTTGTAAGTTGCGGTCAAAAGAAAGCCAACAAAAGAGTATAAATCAGTTTTGGGTTTCGCGAAATAAAAAGATTGAGATGATGATGATAATGAAGATGATGATGATGAAAGCAACCGTTGTAGCGATCCAGCGATGCTGCAATAATTTGCTCTCTGAATCGTCATCGTCCGAGATTAATCCTAAGCCCTTAGACTCCCCCGACCTCCCCCCCGCTACCGAATGCAACAGTATGGAGAAATCGACTCTGGTATGTTTCTTCACTTCTAGTCTCAAATTCAAGAGTTTAAGGGCCGGCTCAGGACACACAAATGTAACTGGTTTCCGTGTTTTGGCGTAGCAACCAGTCAATTTTATCTCTTTCACTTCCGATCTATGGTGAGGGACGAGGAAGCCCTTGCCTTGGGTGTCGAGTAAATGCTTAAATAAAATCTTTCTTAAAAACCGGTGTAGCAAAACGTCGCAATGCTATTGCACAGTTTTTCTGTCAGAAAACTAAATTATCAGTAAGGATATTTTTAGATTTTAGCACTTGTGGTAGTTAGTTTTCAGTTTAAGGGAATAACTAGCCAGGTTACAGAGGTTAAAAACAACGGAAATGACCTGTCACTTTCAGTCAGAGGTGTTTTTCAGATTTATCAAGTGTGGCTTACGTTGCATACACATTGGTTTCGGCTAAAACCGAGAGATAACTATGGCGCTCACCTACCATGAAAAGGTGTAGTAACTTTGCTTAATTTAGTAATTAAAGTAATGAAAGTCGGAATGAAATATTAACGGCCCTTTCGAGTATTTTCATTTCCCGGCCACATTCATTTTGTTTGTCTTGCTTCCTAGTGATGGAGTCTATTTTAGGCTTTGTTTAAAATCCTCGAATCTGTCCTAAAATGGTCCTTACAGACCTCAAACCTCCAAAAAAGGGGCTTTACAAAAAGGACATTTATTCCCTTTTTTATACTTTCAAAGCAGGGAATTATCAGTGTTTACGGTAACGGAAGGAAATGAATCAGACGGTCTAAATTGATTATCGTTAACTGCAGATATTTTGAATCACCCATGAAGAGATCCTCTCATAACAGGGTGGGTATGGGGAGCCAAAACTGAGGCTATGTTAAGACACTCATTTCTGACTTTCCCTACTGTCTTGCACGGCATTTTCAGTTTTTAAGTTCTCTTCCGTGAAATCATACTTCGATTAACAAAAGTGTAGTACTATGAAAGCGATAAGACTCACAGACGACAGTGGTCTCCGCAGGGTTTAGCATCTTTTTTAAAGGTATCAACCCACGCAGTGAGAATATTCTCCCGGGCGTACAAATCCATATCCTCCCCTAATGATAAGGGTGTACTCCCACAAGATATATCGCATTCCCCAAAGAAAAAATCACAACCGTAATGTTCGAAAACAGATATGTCTTAATGTTGGCCTTTTCCATCGTTTGTGCTCCTTCAAACGTTTTTATGCATACATCCTTCGAGCAGGAATTATTTAGACTTTTTACGTTAAGATAGCCCTCGAGCAGGCTCACTTAACTTGTGGGTGACTTCGGGGAAAAATTTTGGCGGCAGACCTGGCCTTGCCCTATTCTTCTCGCCGGCACCGCCGCCAAATTTCCCCCGAAGTCGCCCACAAGTGAGCTTGCTCGAGGGCTATCTTAACGTAAGAAGTCTAAATAACTCCTGCTCGAAGGATGTATGCATGAAAACGTTTGAAGGAGCACAAACGATAAAAGAGGTGCCTGAAAACACGCAGTTGCAACTGATACCTTAAACAATGCTCGTTAATTACTTCGGAAGTAAACAGTTTATTTCGCCTATCGAATGAAGGCTCCAGTGCCGCGTGTTTGAGGTGAACTGAGCTCTTATTTTGGCTACGGTAGTTCTTTTTTTCTCGGAATAAAAATAAAATGGTTTCCCATTTCCCATTTATGTGAAAGATAACTCTTGATGATTAGTGTTATCAGCAAAATATAGTATCGAATGGTATCTTCTAATCCGGGCTTCTAACATCTAAAGCGTGCTCCTTTTTTCCGTTCCTGCTTATTTCCGCTCGCTGGAATAAAAAAGTATGACTAACTCACGAAGGATATTCAAAGATCTGTAAAATCAAGTGTGTCACTTTTTACCTTTCTGTGAGTACGATCCTGTAAATTTGCCCAGGCGTAGTCAATCGATGAAGCGATTATCGATATCAATCGATTAAAATTATGTTTTCAATTAATTTCGATTTCCGATAGAATTCGATAACGATTGATTTATCGACTGTTATCGATTACTATCGATTATTATCGGAAAAGACCTGATCATTCAAAAGGAGTTTAACATTAGCAGGATATTGTGTGTACCAGGTGAAACTAGGTGAACAGGATACTTTTATCGCCGCATGCGAGGGAAATCCAAGACAGTCCTGGATTCTGGATTCCATGGCGTGGAATAGGAATTCCAGGTACTGAATTCCGGATTCTTTGTCAGTGGAACTTGATTCTAAATTCCAATCGTTCGTGGGATTCCGGATTCCTTGAGCTGTATTCCAGATTTGCGGATTCCACAAGCAAAAGGAATGTAGAAGTGCCCCAGGTAAAGGAATCCGGATTCCATGGCATGAGGGGGGGTTTAATTCATTCATCTAGTAAGTTGAAAGATATTACTTGCATTTATTAAAAAAAATTTTGGATCACAACAACAGAGAGCTTAAGCAACGACGACGGCGACGGCAACGAGAACGGCAAAAAAGCAACAAGTTTATATAGCAAAACAACAACTTTGCACGTACATTACACTTTTTGTACGTTTCTTAGCCGTCGTAGGACGACTACGACTTGAAACTAGGTGAACACAACACAATTAATTTTTTTAAACTTCAATACGGTCCTTTCGGATTTAACCCCAGAAGATTTAGCCAAAATTGAAACTGAACGAGGTATGAAGTCTGAAACAGTGCGAATTCACTTTTTAAGTGACGTTTTTCGTTTTGATGTCATGCAAAAATTTTGCTACCATGGCAACGTGACGTCACACTTCTCCTCTTTATTGCGACTAACATAAAAATGTATGACGCTTATCCAGTCATCATATTTCGGTGAGACTGATCTCTTCAACAGTGATTCTAGGAGTGAAATCAACTTCTACAAATGGGACTTTAGATGCTCGCTGATGACCAGCGCAATCCTCTGCCCATAATTCCACAGACACTTGTCCTGCAGGGCGTGCGCAGTAGCCTTCCATTCTCACGTGACGGTATTCCATTCCAGCAAACGTCTTGCTACCTTCTAGCCTCGCTTCTATGTTGCCACCTTGACACTCAATACCATCAAAGGCAAAGAACCACCGCTTGCAGCACGTGGTACAGAAACCAACTCGCAAGCTCCCTTCAAACGTTACGTGCAGCACACTCCCTGAATTAATCTTGTTGAAAATACATTCCTTAAAAAGAGGAAGAAATCGGTTTAAACATTATCGTTTTATAGTTAAATTACCACTCCAGCAACAACAATGAAGTACAGAATTTAATTGTCGACGAATTTCTGTAATCGTCCATCGTTCTGCTAGTGATAAGCCAGGGGCGGATCCAGGATTTTTTTAAGAGGGAGTGCACTCTTCTCTTGCTCTACTTCAACACCAATAAGCCACATAGTCTTTTTTTTTTTGCAGAATACCAGTTGTATTAGAAAACCGCAGGTCATCTCGGGGGCGCACCCCTTGCACCCTCGCCCTAGATCCGCCCCCGTAAGCTAGCCGTTGATTCACTCGTCTTGCTTGTTTGTGGACTGAGTTTTATTCCCCAAACAGAGAGAGAATGTCTGGCAAATTGTTTCAAATCAAAGATTTTTGAATGATCAGAATGATAAACTCGTGTCTGGCAAACTCTTTAAGTGTGTATATATTTAACAATTATCCATCGAGGTCGAATGGGCTCTGAGTCAATAGCCCATGAGGTCGAATTGTTTTAGTAAAATCCAACTAGTTGGTCAAAAATATCGAGACAAAACAACTTTAGCTAGCAAAACGCGATTCAGCCGCCATTGTTTTGGTTTTCAAAGCCGGCGCTTTTCGCTACTAGTGGGCGAAAACATATAGACTAGTAGTAGTTCAAAACAAACATAGTTATACGCAACTTATAACTCCATCCGAGCTTAACGAGTGTCTTTTGGTCCATAACTTTCAAAACAGCTAGTCCACAGAATGTCACCGATAACACGTAACACAAAAGACCATTTCCAGGCTGCCCCAAGCCTCAATTTCAAAACAAGGCTAAGCTCGAAGTCATTGATATATAAACGATTTTTATTCTCTTCCCCTGTTCCCCCCCCCCCTTATCCCGTTAAGGTCAACAGTGCCGGATCCAGACCTTGAGATAAGGGGGCGGGGGGTGGGGTTGGCGGTCATCCAGACCCCTAGATAAGTGGGGGGCCCGGTCTCCTGAAAATTATTTTTTCGGCCCTTCGGGCCTCAGTTTGGTCTAAAAAAATGGGGGGAAGGGGGCCCCATGGGCCTCTCTCCTGGATCCGCCACTGAGGTAGTAAAAGGATATAAAAAAAAAAAAATGAATAAATGATTAGACCTTTAGTAGTCCGTACTCTTGTAGAGGATATACGCGCTTCCATGCGCATGTTTTCCAGCTATTTAAAGACGCTGATATCCCAGGGGGGCCTTTAGGTCCTTGGACACCAGGAAATCCCGGGTCTCCTTTGTCTCCCGTCTTGCCCCTTCCCCCCTTATCTCCCGGATCTCCAGAAGCTCCTTTATATCCGGGCTGGCCGCGTTGTCCTCTTTCGCCTCTATAACCTGTAAAACAACCAGAGAACCTCCTCAATCAGTCAATCGCCAGTTTAAAAACGAGAAGGGGACTAGAGCCGAAATGTGTCCCGCTATTCTTTCTGGGGTCGTAACGGTCAACTATTGGCCATTTTATTTACCTGTCCCATATAACAGTCCCAGAAGTCTTTGCGAAAGTTGACTTGGCCCTTTGCGAACTGTTACTTGTCAAGGGATTCTTGTCAAAAGTTTGTTAAAAAATGAGCGAGTAATTTTCAACTTTCACGCTTGGCACCTCAAAACAACAAAGAGTTTGCCAGTTTTCAATAAAATCAGTTGAAAGAAAGCGAAAAAGAAGATTATACGTAACTATCAGGTTTACCAAAATCTTATTAGATCAGTTCACCCTCCCCTCCCCTAACCCAACATTTTGTTCAAAGGGAGAAGTAAGTGTTAACATTTACATATCAAATTCTGCAATGCTGAATTCTGCATTGCTGATCGTACTACGTGGATATTAATTTACGACACCCATAGAACCCAAAACAGAGCGGGGTTGTAGCCGTCGACAGCAGTTTTGCCATTATTGTTTAGAGCCACAATAACGGCGAAACAGCTGTCGAAGGCTAACTTCCCTCTCTGTTTTATGTTCTATCGGTGTCGTGTTGATGTCTTGGACTGAGTTAGTTTTCACGTAGTACGATCAGCATTGCAGAATTTAACCCTTTCACTGCCAGAGTGCTTGATCGAGTTTTGTAATGTGACTCTAACTTTTGAGTCAGTGGACCAAATCCTATGATGTGACCACTCAAATAAAAGCTCTCTGCCTGTACTCCTACATGGTGCTATTTGTTTTTCAAAATTTCACAAAATAAAATTTGGAAATTTGGTCGAAATTTGCTTTTCGCTAAACTTGGCAGTGAAAGGGTTAATATGTCTATATGGTATTTTTGCTGATCAGGTCTTCTTTATAGATCCTAAGTTCTGGGGAATATTCGTTTGCAGTTCTTTGCAGTCCTTTGTGGTTAATATTCGTGTTAACATTTGATTAGGAGAGAGGTAGGTGGTTACATTCTATACTATATACCTGGATTTCCTTTTATCCCTTTTTGCCCAACAAGCGGGACTGGCTCTGTATTGTAACTAAATCCCTTGGGACCTCTGTCGCCTCGGATTCCTTTTGGCCCCGGTGCACCCCTGGGGCCTACATCTCCTTGTACTCCCATTACTCCACGGGCCCCGAGGAAATCCTGTCTACACTTTCCTTCTACCTGTAAAAATAGCCAAATCGAAGGTAAGCCATGACAAAATGCCCTAATAATTAAAAAAAACAAAAAAAAAAAAAACAAAAACGCCTTCTTGAAAAGTAACTGAAAAGAAAATCCCATTTATATCCTGAAACTTCCGAGGATGAGGCAGGCTGTGTGAATATTTTGATCACCATTTCGTGGTGAGAAGGCCGGTTACATTAAAACCGATGAAATGGCCATAAATTGGCCCGTGGACCACACAGGAGAGACGTAACACACATTTTAAGTAAGGTAAGCTGTTTTTTTTTTATTTTATTGAAATCCTTTCTTTTTCGTAGGTTATAGAAAAGATAGGTTTTCTTCCCCATACAAATCCTCTTATTTCGAATGTTACGCAATAACGCCGATGCTCATTTTTCGAGCTTGGACTACCTGTGGATAGGCTGGGTTGCCTGTTGGTAAGCCAGTTGTCCCTAGCAGAGCGTTTACGAGGAAGGCAGGGTACCCTCTTGCTAGGTTAACCCTAGAACCAGGGTAACCCTACGTGCCTTTTAACCACGTCGCGTAAAAAAGAAGAAATGTGGGTGATGCTAGGGTAACCATCTTCCTAGGGTAACCCTAGCACCAGGGTTACCCTCCCTCCTTGTAAACAGGCCCTAAAAATTCCAACAGAACTATGCGGGGCATCTTAAAATAGTAGAAGTCGTGAAGAGTGTTATAGAACTCACCTCGCCACAGAGAAATCTCCCCCAATGAATAGTTTGCTGTGATTCTACGGCTTGGTGTAAACAGGTTGCCAAGACCAATATTGCGATCATCATGATTCGAGTCGCTGCGATCAATTTGATCAACTACAAAAAGAACATTGGAGAGCTTTTCAAAGCCAAAACAATGGTATTTTTAACCGAGAGAGGCTTGGCCCATTTCAGAAACGGTCGGTTTTTTAAATAATCATCAAACATGTACACAGAAGCCGGGAAAGAAAGCGAAAAAAGAAGTTATTCAGATCGGAAAAAGTCATTGCTATTTCCCAACGTGACTGTACTTGCAAATTTCGCTAAAACGTAACTCATCATGGCGTACATCGTCTCAGGCGAAAAAAATTTACCAATAAAAAATTTTGGAGTTGTAAGAGCAACTCTAAACAGTATAATTTCCGTGACGATGCCACTTTCGCGATGAACGAAAATTCCGACACGCCGCAAACTTAGCGTAGTAGCAGGTAAGGAGATATTAAACACTGAAAATAGAAATGAACGTTTAATTTCCTAGACGCACAGTGAAAATAAATTGAATGAAGGTATTCATTTAACGTAAAATATGTTCTTTTGCTTTGTGCGTGCTGTTCAGTTTATAAATGGCTCGTTTGCAAAACTGCGAGAAAGACCACGAACGTGAGCAAATCGTCATGGTGAAACACGCGCGCATCGAATAGCCTGCGAACACAGCCGTCTCTACTCGATCGAGGAGAAACAGCTGCATTCGCAGCCTAGTATATAGCGCGTCGAGTTGTTTAAAGCAAAGCTAGGTGTGCGTTTCAGAGTTTATTTTACCAAATCTGTTACAAGAGAAACGCTTAAAGGTCTTTTCAAGGCCAAGCAGACTGCGTAGCTGACACACAATGGAACGTGGGAAATATTATTAGCGACGCGCACGATAGAGAAGGACGCGCTCCCTCTTTCCTCCCGCGCACTCTTCTCCCTCGCTAGCACCACTCGCTTTTTGCCATCCATATTTCCATGCGCAGGCTAAGCATGCACTAAATATGGAGTGTTTAATTAATCTCATCTCTGTAAATGGCTGGCTCTTTTGTGAATACGTCCACCTCAAGTTAAAAACCATTGAACTGATAAGGCAAGGACGTTTCACGTTTGACACGTTTGTTAGTTTGCTAGAATTTTATGTACCATATAGCTATAAAGAGACTCACCTGCTCGTAGATAAATTCTCTCAAATATCTCTCAGTAAAATGCTAGAAGAAAATTATTTTTTCACTTGTCATCTTAAGAATAAAGCGCACACCAAGATCAGAGTATTTTGTTTGACATCGCGACTGTGGAGTGTCTTGTTTCCTCGAGTTAATCATTTGTTGTTTTAATCTACTGCTTCCTGTCTGTAGTCACGCAACAGCTCGCAATCGTTGGGGTAGCCAGTGAACTTAAGCCCCCTTCAGGGGTAGCCTGGTGCGTGGGCTACTTCTCTGTCTGAGAAGATATTTCTCTTACTTCGCAGGCGGAAGCTGGCAGACTTTGAGTCTCTTCCGACAAAGTTAGTAGGCATCGACGATTGTATCTGAGAACCTCTCGCCTGACACTTTTTTATCAGTGTTTGCTTCTGAGAGATTCAGTGGGAAAGTATCCTCCTTCGCTTAATGTAAATGAGTTCTTGAGCAAATTTTTAAGGCTCCTGTTATATGTTGTAGCGACCTCGTTCCCAGGGTTCTCTCCTACCCGTCCCTACGGAGCGCGCGAGAGAGTGAGACGGGTAGGAGAGAGAACCTGGGAAAGAGGTTGACGCGGTAGAGCGTTTTCACTCACTTGACCAGTCCCTATGCAAGTTTATTTCAACAAAAGAAAGTGCCAATAAAAAAAGAGTGTAACTCCTACAGGATTGGTTTCGAACGCCAACATGGTCGTTGTTTCATTGTTTTGGAACACCAATATCTGTGCTGTTACTGAGACAGCAAAGAAAACTTGCTTAAGCTACCTACTTTTAAATCTATTTCGTTTGTTACAGCACAGGATTAGCAACAAAATGGGATCCCTGTTTTCGACATGGACGGGTACTTTTCCCTTGGTCAGCTGTAACAGTTTTCAAACCTGTATTTACAGCATCGATACAGCGCTTGTTACTACATGTACACCTTTATTTGATTATTGTCCTTAAGGAAATGTAAACTTAATAACTTTTCCCAAGGGAAGTTCAGAGTTCTCCGCCGAGGGCCAGTCAGTAAGTGATTTGTTATATAGCCCAGGAAGAAAAAGCTAATTTCAGCGAAAGATCAACATTCACGGGTGACGCTGAACTGTTTCCCTGTTTCCCAGATACCCTATGACGTCATAGTGCTTTTGTCGCCCGCGTGCCCAGGGACTTTTTGAGGGAAACAGTTTTAATTACTGATGTCATGTGACTTCAAAGTAACCAGTAAGAGCGCGCGCTGTCGGGGAAAAATTCCATCTATAAAATGTTCATTGTGACTATTATTGATAGCGCTTGTGGTTGTTCAGCCACCATGTGTGTCAGGAATAAAAAGGAAAGGGGAAAGAGACGCACAAAACGTAATCTCTTTTTTCTCTCATCCCTTTGAGGCGTGCTCAGTAAGCTATTGTACTGCAGCAGGGATTGAGCGATATACACATACAAAAAAAACATGAAGAAGTATCGATCTTTAAAATGCGTAGAAAAGAACAAGGAACGCGTCCCAATTCGATAACATTTTCCCCCTCAAATTGGATTTTAAAATTGCGGGGCGGGAACTTCTTGGATAATTATTCGACTGTTAAGCTGGATAACACTTTGGACGTTTTTCCTATCACTGGAATACCCGGGGCAGTCGTCTAGTGATAACCCCACGCGAACGGATCCGCTTGGGACAGAATTGCAATATCCAGAGATACTTCCGTGCATAAAATCCGGAAGGATATTTTTCCCTTCATTTCCCGACAGTTGTAAGGCGCTAAGGACAGCGTTAATGCTACCAGGATCGGTGCATGTTAGGTTGTCAAACGTGAAGTACCAAATCTTGCAGCAGCTGTCGCACAATCCCACGTGTGTCTGGCCTTGGTAGGTGACGTGCAATGAGGTATCACCGCGTTCCTTTAGAAATGTGCAATACTAGGAGAGAACACACAAATCAAATTAGAAGACTTTCGGTAAAGCAACTAGGGTATCCAATTTTTGGCAATTTAAGCATCTAGTAAATGATACTAATGCAGTTCTACAATGAAACCTCTAAATATACAAGGCTAAATGTTTTCCTACGATTTTTACCTTAGCTTTTCTTCACACTGAGAAAAAAAATCAATAGTTCTCTTAGGCTCTATTTCCGGTGCTCTCTCGGGTCCGCTCCTCCCCGAGAACAGACGGTTGGAATTGTAAGAGGCCGACTGTGCCTGGGGCAAACCTCAAACTGCAACTTTTTCGGGGGATTAGCGCGGGCTCATTTTCCTGACCCCGGTTGGAAGTCGAGTTCACAATTCCCTTGGTAACAACAATGTTAATATTTGTTAGGCATGACGCCTGCATATTTGTAACATAAATCCTTTTCTGTCCCCAGAAAAGGCCTGTAAGCCTGCATTGCGCATGTATGCTAACCATGCAAAATCAGCGTCTCCCGTAAACCTACCGTTAACTCTCCTCTTGGCGTATTGATATCCGGCTTAAACAAACACTGCTTCCAGTTCAGTTTGGTCATTCCAGGGTCTCCGTCTTCCCCAGGGGGCCCAATATTCCCCCTATCCCCTCGATCTCCCCTTAATCCCGAAGATCCCAATGATCCGATGGCTCCTACACTTCCCTTGCTTCCAGCCACACCTTTCCATCCCTTCACGCCCTTAGCGCCGGACTCTCCAGGTTCTCCCTTCTGTCCTTTCACAGAGCGACCACTGCCTGGTCTCGGGGGATCTCCAGGGAGTCCCACAAAACCTTTTTCTCCGGGTGGGCCTGGTGGCCCCGGCTCCCCGATGGCTCCTTTAGGTCCAGCTGGACCCGGGAATCCAGGAAGGCCTGAGGTTAACTCGCATTGTTCCATCATCTGGATTAAAAAAGGGGCGTGGAGGTGTTAGTGATGTCAAAATAATTTACCATGACACTTAATTTTCTCCTCAAAAATCAACCATTTAGGAGAAAATCTGTTCCGGGTAAAAGGGTCATCCTCCCAGCCGCGTTTATGATATATGAGAAAGGGGGGAGGGGTAGGGTGCTATGCTCTTCCTTTTTGTCATCAATTTTTTCGGCAATGAAGATATCAATTTTCAAATTTCTATTTTCCTTAAATGGGGCAAGGGTTTTCCTAGGGGACGGACCATTAGAAAAGTTATGGGGAGGAGGGGAATTTTCGAGCCGCAGGATTTTTTTTCGTTATCAAATTCCTTGTATAAATTTTAGTTTAGGCCACAGCATGAATATTTTTTAGCATGAATTTTTTTCATTTAACTTTCCCTTGCGCGAATATTTTTTTTTGTACTTCGTCCCCCCCCCCCATAAGTTTTCTAATGGTCCGTCCCTAAATTGACAAAACTACCCTTTAGCAGGGGAGAGAGGATTTTTTGTTATTTGGTGGCATTGTGTTCATCATATTACTCCCTTAGTGAGTGATAGACTCTGGATAGAGTCCGAATTTCATGTCAATCGAGAACGAAAAGAACTCTGTAAAATATAAAATGACAGTACGTTTTGAGCCGCAATACAGTTTTGAACATTACATGGCCTAACTATACAGGGAAATGGCTAACAAAGGCTCATCAAATCGTTATAAGAAATGTTTAACACTTGGTTTTTACTGCATATTACATACCTTACGACACTGCTGGTCTGTCCACACAATATCTCCTTGCGAATCTATTATCTCAAAGATGGCAAAGGACAGGAAGATAAACGAAGCTGTGGTCATCATTGTTAATGCATCGATCTCCAATTCACACAAGGCTAGCGTAGGTTGACAAAATGATAAAGACGTCGAGTAGTAAGATGAGATCAACTTGCGTGACGTTTATTTCGCTGCACACAAAACAGGCGTTCTTTGTAATACTATTATGATCGTGAGGATTTCCGGATTAAAAGGACATTGCATGAATTCATTTCGTGAATGCACACAATGGCCCAGTTGTCATCACAAAGAAGTGATTCTTTCATTTTTGAAGTGGCGCCACGTATGGATCGCGCAGGAAGTGAGCGTCCTCTTTGAAAGAGAATTATGCCAGCAGCCACGCGCGCGGGCTCTGGGCTTCGTGGACTTGGTTAAGTTTCTTTCGCATTGGGGTTCATTATATAGTATTTACTATAATCAATCGTAATCGAGGGCTGGCATTTTCAAGCTTGGCGCTCATCCCGAATTAGCATGCAAATGAAATTAACGTTCTTTGATAACAGTATTTAAGTTTAGTTCAACGATTTTAATTAGACGGGGTAAAATAAGAAATAGGTATCTGCTTTTGATGTCAATTAGCTAAGATAAATGAAAGAGGGTAACCATTTTGATCTGGAATAACAAGAGGGAGAAGTTTTTGAAAATCCCTAGCCTGCAGTGGAGGCGTTTTCTTCAGGAACGCAAATATTTTTCCTCTCGAAAGCGCCATGTTAAAACTCCAAAAGAGAGGAGGAAATGAATCTACTCTTCCCAATCTTCCTCTGTCATGAAATCAAAGATAACGGCTAATACAGCAATAAAATACGCCTGCACGTTAGGTTAGGAGAGGGTTAGGTGGACAGTTTCCCAGAATTTTATTAGATCAGCCCTCTTACCCCTCCCTTAACCCAACATTTTTCCCTAAGTAATAAGTTCATAGTGTTGACGTTGGGTTAGAGGAGGGGTAGTTGGTCGGTGGTCAAGAATCTTATACTGCCCGAGACCTCAGATCGCGCGCTTTCTCGCAAGTTGCCACAACCTTTATATGTTCTGAGTCACATCTTATTGTGATGGCGAAACCTCTTGAATTAAAATGCTCCCATAACGATTGTTCAGCGGCAGGTTATATGGAATCAATGAACTTGAGTAAGTAGGGCAATTCTTCATGTGTAGGCCCACTCTTACTGGACCAGCGGAAAATCTCGTCTCGCAGAACCCTTCGATTCTACCTTGAGAATAAAAGGGATAATCAAGGCCCAGACCCCCTGACATCACAGCATCGACAGGACCAGGGCTGCTACATTCCAGGTCATTGAACATGAAGTACCAGCGCTTGCAACAGGTTTTGCAAAGACCAATGTGAAGATTGCCTTCGTAAACGACATGGAGGACTGAATTCGAATCTTGTTTGGTGAAGATGCATTCCTAAGGAGAAGAGAGATTAATTGAGGCTGTTAAGTTAACTCTTTTAATCCCAAGAATGATCAAAATCAATTTTCTCCTAACAATAATCAAACATCATCAAGAGAAACGATTATGAGAATAACGTAAGCGACCACGAAAGGGGAAAATGCGTTGATCTTTTATCAAATTTTCTCAACTAGTTTATTACGAAATGTATGTGGATATTAGGGCTAAAACGGTTAAACAAGAAAACAGGGGTGTGGAATCTGGCGAGGGATGTAACCAAAAACCATCCAAGAGCTCACGCAATACTTTTTCTTTTCGAGTTTGCGACTTGGAAACAACATAACGGTCTCAAATCTGAAGAGCCGAAAAATAAGCTAGAGTTACAGCGAACGTTACAAAATAGTTAAGAAAATCCGCAATCCGCAAGCGCAACAAGTAGTTCTTTAAATTTCTCCTATTGCTTAATAAACAGACGGGTTAGACGATAGTGCTATTGATGTTTTATGGGGCCACGTAAAGTACAGTGATTCTATTAAATTCCATCCTCGTATAAAAACAAAACACAACTCAAACTACCTAAATGGGTGCGTGTAAGATTCAGCAAGCTCTCGACCTACCCATTGTTCAGGGTAGCAAAACGGAAACACATTCATCCTTCAGAGATCTCGAGCGATGGATTACCTAGTCAGTTAAGTTATTCGCTTTCTTTTGCCCTTGCATGAAATTAAACAGAAGTAAGGGAACTTTTGCGAACGTTTGCCGTGGGTTGTGAAAATCAAGACTGAACACAAGTACAGAGGGAATCAGGGAAAGTTCTACAAAATAATAGTATTCTTCTTCAATTGCCAACCTTAAGTAGGCCATTGTCTTTACTGCGATTTATCTCCCAGGAGCAACGCGACCAACTCCCCATTGTTCCTGGATGTCCGATATTCCCAGGGGGACCAGTTCTTCCGGAATCTCCCTCTATGCCTTTGGCACCCTTAAGCCCTCCAAGACCTGGATATCCTTTTCTTCCCTTCTGACCCGGGGACCCTGAATCCCCACGATCTCCTGCTTGTCCTTTTACTCCACGGTCACCAGGGTCCCCAGGGGGGCCGGGTCGTGGACGTTGACCAGCGGGTGGCCCTTGAGACCCGGGACCTCCTGGCCTTGATCTTCCCGGAGGTCCTCTAGCTCCCTTGGGACCTATGGCTCCGACGGAGCCAGGAGGTCCCTGTCCCCCAGGAATTCCTTTGGGTCCCTTCAAGCCTTGAACTCCCCGTGTGACTTGATCGCATTCTCTGGTCATCTGAAAAATCACAAAATCGTTGCCATCATAAACCAGAAATCTTTGACGCGGATTTGTTTCATGGTATCCCTATACTTTTGTATTTGTAACATAACATCTAATTTAGCAACTAAGTTAAGTACAAGAAACATTGTAAAGATCAGTGCTCTAGTTTGGTGCTGATTTGCGCTGATAATCCTCTATTTTACACGCACTCGTACCCAGCCCCCCAAGGCATGAAAACAGGCAATCGGAAGCAAGCCTGTCTTGGCCTACTGTCTCAAGCGCAACCCACCTGAGAACTTACAATTATTTTAGTTGTTACCTGGATACTTTGTTCTTTGATATTTATAGAATGAATGCTAGTTAAATAAGATTTCTGTTTTTCTTTCATCTTTCTCTTTAGTACTGCTTCAGGATATACATACCATAAGGGGAAAATTTTAGCGTTTTACATTTAACCCTTCCGCTTCAGCCCGCTCTTTTTCCCTGGGTGGGGGGGGGGGGTACTCCTGAAAATTCTTGTTGGGGATTTGCCGCCCGGTTCTCCAAATCCTGACCCTATCTCAGACCCAAAAGTGTCATTCATTTTCCAAACCCGTTTTCAGCCCTGGCCTCTAAAGTTCATACCCGTTTTCAGACCTGGAGGATTTCACAAAATGTAACATAGATGTTTACAAAGACAGAAATTATATCATTACTGAGATTAGAACGCCAACAAAAAGATTTCTTAAAATTCATTTCGAAGTCGCATATTATGGGTTTATTTCTTATTCATTTGAAATCAATCGACAAATATGTTCATAGACCACAGTAGCTCCCTCGAAAGCCGATTCCAGACCAAATTGGTCCAAGTCTATACCCGTTTTCAGACCAAGACGGTGCAAGAACCCTACCCTTTGAAGCGGTACATACCTATATGGATAAAGGAGTACCCCCCCCCCCCCCCACGGGTGAATGGGAGTCGGGAAAAAGGACCTGCTTCCCCTCCTCAGCTCCTCCACCTTCCCACATGTCATCCCCCAAGGGAAGTCAAAGATCTAACGCAGCAAAAGGTACATAGATAATGACAAGAACAAGAAACCCTGCCGCCAGACCAGCCTAAGGGAGTACCCCTCCGGGCATTTTTCTCGACTCCCATTCATCCGTGCTTCCCCTCCTCAGTTCCTCCTCCTTCCCACCTATCATCCCCCAAGGGAAGTGAAAGATCTAACGCAGCAAAAGGTACATAGATAATGACAAGAAACCCTGCCGCAAGACCAGCCCAAGGGAGTACCCCTCCGGGCCTTTTTCTCGACTCCCCTTCACCCGTGCTTCCCCTCCTCAGTTCCTCCTCCTTTCCACTTATTACCTCCCAGGGACGTCAAAGATCCAAGGCAGCAAAAGGTACATAGATAATGACAAGAAACACTGCTGCTAAATCAGCCTAAGGGAGTACCCTCCGGGGCCTTTTCCCGCCTATCATCTCCCAGGAACGTCAAAGATCTAAAGCGGCAAAAGGTACATACGGTACTAGATAATGACAAGAAACGCTGCTGCAAGACCAGCCTGGAGTGAAAGATTTTCCTACCTCTTGGCAGTCCCTTGCAGTCCACGGCCTTTGAAGCTGACCAAAAACAAGCAAAGTATTTTGAAGAAACAACACAGCATGCAACTTCATGGCTTTTTGAAGGAAGATTCACCTGAATGAAAACGACAAAAGATACATCGTGTAAGCAATTGCTTGTTTTGTTGACTATTCCTGTGGAATTAGACAGATAAAACGAGAGAACTATTGCAACAGTCGCTCCGAAAGGCGAAATCTGAATTCCGAAATCAGAGAAAAGCTGTCTTACGTTGGGCGACGACAGGTACTGCACAGGAGAGGAGTGAATAGTAACGAATCTCTCAGAAGAGTGAAAGACAAAAAGAGCGAAACATTAAACTCGGTTTTACTGCTGGAGGAAGTGAAAACTCGCGTACGAAGGCCGGTGCCAATTAAGTGTGAGCGTGGTGCGCGCAGGACCTTTTCCTCGCGCATTGCGTGTGATCCGTATGTCGAGTGTGTATCGCGTGGCAGGAATTTTGTGAACCGCCAATGCCCCCGGCCAATTTCTTTATGATGGACAGTCATTCTTTGGGGAAGGAAAGTCTAATAGTCTTCCATATTACAAAGTTAGCAACATTCTGTCCGATCTACTGAAATAACGAAGCCTGAAACAGCGTTTGTAAACTTCATTAAAGATCGAGATCTTGGGGCACTAGTGTTGATGTCTGTGGAGTACACGAGTGACATATTTGAGGAAATTTCTTTGACAACTTTAAAATTCTATAATTTCCTTAGTTATTCTAACGTCACAAGATTTTCTTGATTTTCTCGAAGCAAATTGTAATTAAGTGGATGCTACTTACCTAAAACAAGGCAGGATATCTTACACAGGGAAACCTGATTTGCTCGGACTGCACGTCGTCGGTGACCCTTAGGCGGAATTTGATCTCCTCTAAATATGAACCGAAGTTTCCGGTTTCTCATCTTACCACGAGTTTCCTCACGATATGTCTTGCGTGCTGGAGCTCAAATGTCAGCTGGAGTGGGGATCAGGGAGTACCCGTGGAGGTGGAGGGGGGGTCTCAACAAAGTTTTTGACGGGGAGGCTGGGTCCCGAGGTCCAACCCCTTACCTTATAAAAAAACTATTTTTGACAGAAAAGGTACCCCTTTCCTGTACTTTCTATTAGCTTCTATTGACAAATAGTACCCCTTTCAAATACGCGGATTCAGAGCTTTGCATCCCTTTTAACTGGTGTAAATGCGCGGTCTTTCAAAGATCAATAAATCACAAACCCAGAACGTTTTCTAGACTTTTCACAGCCGTAAAAAGCATATGTTAGCCCTTTTGGACATTTTTACAGGCCAAAATGACAGATCTCCCTACCCTTTCATATATTCAAACTAATGAAATCCCTATTCTTTCATACAGTAAAAACCCGCAACTAAGAACCTAAAAATTAAGAACCTGTTAGCCTAAAATTGGTCATTTATACCCCCTATAAACAAGAACCTATTTAGCCTAAGAAATTTAAAACAGGTTCTTATTTGCTACAATCATACTAGTACATTACAGCTGCATTGCAAGAATCATATTTGAAGCAAAAAAAGCAGATTGCCATTGTTGTAAAAATGTTTTTTAAAGAAAAATGAGTGCAAGATATGTAGACTTACAAAGCATACTAAGCAATATGTAGATCGGCACACCATTATCCATTAAAGCTAGTAATAATAATAATGATAATATAAAAATATCTTTAAATAATTGATGTAGTTTCTCCAGGATTAAGAACCCATTTTAAGAACCTAAATAGCCTAAAATTCTGTTAACTACCATTTATGTAAGAACCTGTTTAGGCTAACTCCTAAAAATGTAGGTTCTTAGTTGCGGGTTTTTACTGTATAACTGAAGCCTGAAGAAGGTACCCCTTTCGGTCAGAGCCTCCCAGTATATGACGTAAAGACGAAGAGAGAAGAGAAAAAAGGAGAAAAAGAGGGGAAATCTCTCTCTTCCCTCCTCTCCCATCAAATCTCCAAACTCCACTCTGCTAACCTCCCAAGGAAGACCTGATATTCAGGCTAGGGATTAGGGTGCCGGGAATCAGCCGGTTCACCACCTGATAGCGAGTTCACCTTCTAAGTTCTATAGAGTGTAACTTAATATGGAAACGCATAAATAATTACCTATCTTTTTCTCGGCATCGAGTTTGCACTCTAAGTTCTATCAATTGTAACTTGATATGAAAACGCATTGTGGTGACGGTCATAGGTGTGGTCATAAGAATGAGAGAGAGCGTTTTTTATGCTCCCTCACTACCACCAGCAGTTTTACTTCTACTCGGCAAGTAGGCTCAAGTTTCTTGGAGATGCGCAAGCGATTTTATAACCAGGGTTCGTGCCCTCTTTTGAAGAAAAAGTTCTAGGACTTTTCAAGGACACATTTCCCATTTCTCAAGGACTCCTTTCAATGATAAAAGAAGCCTCGAGTATGTGTCTTTTTTAGTTCTTCCACAACATGAGCAATTTTGTCCTGAAGGTCTTCCTATGTTTGCTCCTTTAAGGTCCTTGAGAATCTGGGTTGGACAAAGGTAGCACCAATATTCAAGGACTTTCCAGCACCGACTGCAATTTTCAAGGCCTTGAATTTTAAAATTCAAGGACTTTCAAGGTGCGCGCGAACCCTGCATAACTTTTGTTCTGATGATGAGGATTTTCTTTTCTGCTTTCTTGCTTAAGAGCATGACGTGCTAAGAGAGCTTTCTGGTTGACATAAGCTTTCGTTGAAAAATATACGAAAAAAGGATGAATGCAATATGGTTCACATGATGAGAAAGTTTTGTCATGCTGTCGTTTTTCCCCCAACTGCAGAACCTTGTCCCCATTAGCCCTTTTTGCGCAACTTTTCGCTCAAATAGTTTTTCACATGTAGTTTGGAGGCAGTGTGACTGAGCAGTTGGAGTGCGGGGAGTGAGTTAGGAGGTGCCGAGCTCAATTTCCGCTCTAACAACTACATAGCTGGATTGTCAGCTGTGTTGCTAGGCCATGTTAAAACCCGATTTGGGGGTGCACAGTGTAGCTTCTGCATGCAGATAACTGGAATCTTCCTATCATGTTAATGACACTAATTTTTGTGGTTTTGTAACAACATAAATGTAATACTGCAATAAATTCACTTGTAAATCAGAAAACTTTATTGTTACTCAAATGTTGCCTGGGCTATTATTAGGCACTTGAAACCTGCAAAAAGAAACATGAAACAAAGTGATGAGATTCAACAGTTATTAATTCTTTTATCATATCCATTTTGAAATCACTGGTAATCCCTGTACTGTGATTGGCTCTCAGCAGTGCGATTTATTCACAAATCACACTACTTTTTGCTCTAAATCACATCTGTTATAAATCACATCATTCATGTTCTAAATTATGTCATTTCTGTTTTAACCCTTTAAGTCCCAATTGTGACCAACATGGATTTTCTCCTAACGATAACCATACATAGTCAAGAGATAAGGTTATGAGAATTAGTAAAATGATCACCAAGAAGAAAATGCCTTGATCTTTTCTTTAATTCTCTCAACTAATTCTCAAAGGAAATGTACAGAGATAAGTTTGGAGAATTTGTATGTGGATATTGGGGCTTGAAGGGTTAAATCGCACCATTTTTTTTTGCTCTATATTGCATCATTTCTGTTTCAGGTACAAAATGAGATGTGAGAGCCTTTTTGTTTCTGCTTTTCAACAAAACAGCCACTAAATCAAATAAATATTGGCAGACTGAATTCTGCAATTTCAAAACAGCCGTAAATCACGCTTATGGTTTCAGACCAAAAATGCATTACAAGAAGTTTAATTACTGTTATTTGTTTCATGGTTTCTCAGAAAATTAATATTATCTGTATACAAGAAATCCTTACAATATTTTATCAGCAAAACTCATGCAAGCAAACTTGTACATTATTTCAATTGGCTTGCACAAGAGGCATTAAAATTACTACAAACTATGAACAGCTAATAATAATAATAATAATACAATAATAAAAAAATAATAATAACAACACTAATAATAAAATATGAAGTGATGAAAGTTTTGATATTTCCTCACTTAAAAGAGATTGTCTCCTAAAAGTTTCCCTCAAAGGCAAAATAACACCCCTTTGAACAATGGGATCATAGGTGCAACAATGCATAAAAATAATCTATAAAATACTGTAGACAAAAAATTTTCCAACCATTACCTGGCATGCAATGCGGTCCAAATCCCTCTGTCCTTGGCTGGTGAGAGATCGGCCACTGAAGTAAAGAAATCATTTTTGAAAATCAGTATGGCTCATTATTTTAACCACAGCCCTCTTTGTGTGCAATGGAGTTATATGACTTGCTCTTGGCAAGTTAGACTTTTGCCTTTGGGGAATCTTAAAATGGTGCCAAAAATCAGAACCGGCCAATTTTCTATACAAATTGACCAGTATGGCCAGCTTTAGCCTGCGATACAGAAGTTCCTAGGGCTTCCTTCCCCATGAACGTCTCCTGAAATGAGCAGTTAAATTCGTTTCCCTTTGTTTACAAGTATCAGCTGGAGATCACATGCAAATTACCAGAGAACCAATCAGCACTTAGTGATTATTTAATAAAAGGCCAATCACTCTAGAAGTGTTGACAGACTAAAAGCAAGTCACAAGCTCGGATAGTGTCATATGTGACCTTAGTGTTTAGATTTTCCTTTTTTTATTCAAGATAAGCTAATTATTTTAACAGAGGAGTTTGTTCTACATTGTAAGCAATCTGGGAGCTTTTGCTTTACGAAGACCTGTTCGGACTTTGTTGACACTTTCTGGAGTCTTGCGACCTGAGTCTACACCCTTAATTTCTCAAGGTCTAAAGTGCACTTCCCCTGATCTGGAAGAGTGCTGTGATAAGTCTATGTTTTTCACAGCTCATTTCAGCAGAAGTTTGTTGGGGAGGATTGGGTGATGAGCCAACAGAACGTCTGTGTGGAAGGCTATGCCAGCTATGTCAGACTACTGTTTAGAGCCCTTCTTTGTTTACTGGAGAAGGTTAAGAGCTTTTGGCATCCGTACAGTAATATTTTTCTTAGGGCAAAGACTTGCGTCTTTGCGTGATCTATGATTGTGGAAAAATTAATGCAAGATATCACCAAAGAAAAATGAACACAATGTACAAGCACCTGTAAACAATTATTATAACAAAGCTGACAACAAAAAAGTTGGCCAAGCATTACACATGATTTGTTAACAGGATTTTAGGGATAATTAGTCATTGTTTTAAGAATTTTTAGAATTAGGATTTGTACTAGGAATGTATTTTATTGATATTATTTTTTTTTAAAAAAATGTAGATTTTTTCAATAGGATTTTTAAGTAGGATTTATGTAATGCACAAACAGATGAAAATTTTTTCCAGATTGACATTTGAGCAGTACAAATTAATAAATATTATTATTATACTATCATTAACCCATTCGCTCCTGGAGATTTTGCCGAAAAACGCGTTTTGAAGCTAGTCGAGTGGTTTTCTGGTCACTGTCGTGCTATAAAGAGCTAAAACTTACCACAAACCGGTTTGCAGGTCGTACACTTGGCGGCCTTCTGATCCAGATGCAAAATATCAGCTTGCGAAGTTCGGGCATGCGCAGAAAGCAAAATTTCAACATAGGTTTTGGGTTTAAAAGTGACACAGCAGTCTTGACTTTGACTTTTCGCTTTCTCTCCTCCCTTCTTTTTTCGCTTTTCTTGCCTCATTTTTTTTTTCTCTTGCTGGGCATTTAGTAGGCTTCATTTTGGTGGGAAGAGTTTTTAGGAAAGCTTTTAGGATCTTAGGATTAGGTGAAAGGAAAAGTAGGTGGGTAATGGAACAAGATTTTCATGGAGATTTTCAGGTCCTTGTCACGTGGTTTTTTGCTTCTTTCTCCGGTGTCCTTGACTGAATTGTGCTCATTCTGGTATGGTTTGAAAGATCTCTTCACTCTGCACAAGTTAGCAAAGAAAGTTGTCCTTGACCGTTAAAACTGATGATATCACAAAGGGTAGAAAGGACCTGGATCCGCACGGGCGGTTACGGGCGGTTCAGGGGCGAATGGGTTAACTTAACACAGAAAGCTGTTGCCAGGTTTGACTGTATAGAGAGGAGAAGTGTGACATCACGTTACTATGGTAGCAAAATTTCTGGATCACAACAATAGGGAGTTTTTGCAACAACAAAAAAGTAATAAGTTTAGAATGGCAAAAGAACAACTTTGCTCATGCATCAAGCTTTGTTGTACATTTCTTAGCCGTGGCTGCACGACTGCAACATGAACCTTCGAAATTTCACTTGCCCGCTTTATCCACTAGGTGAGCACAACCAGGGTTGGCAGAAAGTTTTTAAGTAGATGACTGGGTTGTCAAAGTAAGCGGCCAGCGCTTGTGGCACTGCTGAGCACCAAAGGTGCAAGCCTCTTGGGGGTTCTGGGGGCGCCCTCCGCAGCAAACTTTTTATATTTAGATACTCTGAAATGCTGTTTTATGCACTCTCCAGGCTATTTTTTTTCCAAAATTACTGAAAATCCAAAGAAAATTATGCTCTTTATCTTCCAATCTTGTTGGTGAACAGTGATATCTCATTTAAAAAATGCCTCCCCTAAAGAAATGCCAAGCAGAGTACCTGGCTGATACTAAACAAATAGGCGGCGATTTTCGCTGGCAGCTGGCTACTTTTGACAACCCTGACAACACAAAAATTTTCTGTTTCTTTTTCTAAACTTAGATATGGTCCTTTCAGATTCAACCCAGAAAATTTCGCCAATATAGATAAGACATGATAAGATCGATGAAGTGCGAATTCATCCACTTTTTAAGAGACATTTTGATTTGTTGTTAACCAGAAATTTTGCTACCATGGCAATGTGATGTAATGACTTCTCCTCTCTATTATCGACAATGTAGAGCATCAATAAATTTACTGCATGTTCAAATAACTTACCCACTGCTGTCTTTCTCAATGAGCTTCAGCTGTTCAAGGCCTTTCAACACACTGCGTGCTACAGATGATGAGCTGCGCTCAAAGTGGCTCGGTCTTGAGCCTCGTCGCTTGCGCCCTGTTTAACAACAACAGGCAGTTTGATTAGCTTGTTTCTTGCTTTTCAAATAAATATACACGCAACATAACGGTGATCAAAAATTTATTTTTAACACGCTGTTGATACCCTTTTCAAGTGTGCACACAAAAAGGGGCGGTCATGGCCCCAGGCAACCTTAGCGGAGACTTGTGCAAACTGGGGATAAGAAACGAAGCGTGACCGGCGCCATGCATGTTTTGTGAAGAAAGCTTAAGGCAGATTAATGAGAAAGATGTAAAGCTTTACCAGAATGGGTCAGTCCACGAAATCTATTGCTTGAAAGCATTGATAACCATGGAACAAGTGAGCATGTCAGTAGTGAAAGAAAGAAGAATTTTAATGAGCAATGGTTAAAATAATGGTCAGGTGTTGTAAACTTTCATTGTATGCAAATGAGTCTCGTGAAGAGCATGCGGTTCATTTTCGGCAATGATTGAGGTGATGCGCCATGTTCATCACGGTTTGCTCTTTGGCAATGTAATTTCTCTGTATCAAGGCCTTTGATTTTTGTGTAGTTATGCACGCATACTTATTCAATTCATAAAAAAATCATCAAATGATACAAAATACTCAACTGTCGATAAAGTATGACACAAAAAACTTCTAGTGAGGTAATCCTCTTTTGTGTATTAATTGCCTTTTCATTTCTTTCTTATCTAATCTCCACACAAGCTCGGTTTAATGCTATCAAAAGAGTTCTTGTTAGAATTATGTTTAACAGATCAACCAAAGCTTTCATATTGCTTACAATCTGAAAGATCAAAGACACGATTTTATACATTGTTGAAAAGAGTTCTACATGTGCTGCACAGATTTGAACATTTTCGAAATTGTGACCCTCCAAGGGAAAACGTACACTAGCAACCTTCCGTTAAACGTTAGAAAACTAACGGATACTTAACGGATTGCTAACGGCTCTGAAGTCATTCTAACGCTTTGTACTAACGTTCTAACGCTCGGCCCTGGCCTTCTAACGGTTTGTCTTAACGCTCTAACGGGTTGTCCTAACGGTCCAACGGTCCGCTCTAACACTCCAACGGTTTGCGTTAACGTTCTAACGGTTTATACTAGAGTTCTAGTGACTGATCACCACTAAAGTCTTAATTCTATAAAATAAAAAGATCATAAGTTGTGAATGATGTATAATAATGAAATAACACATGAACTGCGGAAATTGAATCAGAATGAAATGAATCGAATCGGTCACGTATTATCTCTTGCCTTTTAGCGAAGTCTTTAGTTAAACGGTCGATCAAAGAAAGGAAGCGTGGTTTTGCAGCGGCTAAAACTGATAACAACATTCAATCAGGACTTCCAAGGGGTAGAATCGACAAGTGACATGACTCAATTCTCCCAAAACATCGACAAAAATACTCAGAAAAAGCCAGATAGTTTGTGACAGTTACGATTCTGACAATTCGCTTTCCATTCCTCTTTGTTTTCTACGTGACATTGGCAATTGTCCCTAACGAAACAAGCCGAAAAACGGAGTCGTAATCGAGCGAAAAAGCGACACCAGACCACCATCCAGGGTTGTCACTAAGATTTCAAGTTGCCAGGTAAATACAACAAGTAGGCGGGGAATAAAACAGCTAGTCATTTCGTTTGGTTCTATTTTCTTCTATTTTCTTATCAAAGTAGCCGGGGGCCACGTTTATAGTAGCCGGGTGAAATCCCCGGCCCCCGCCTCTTAATGACAGCCCTGACCATCAATAAACAACTGCGGCTGACAGTCAAAAGCGTCTCTTGTTGAGAATCCGCTAACCAACTACAGCGAATGTCTGGCAGGTTATCTCAATCCATCTTAGTTATGTTGTTCCCAAAATGCATCAGTGGACCTTTGAGTTTCGTGGAAAATTAAAATAATATTAGTCGACTCTCGCTCATTGACATTTCGAACTAAACAACTTTATGCAAATTTTGTTGAAATTTGATCCACCGGGAATGAAGAGAGCGGAAGCGTTGCGTTGCGTATCTCCGGTTAATTGACACTTCATGTTCACATGCTTTATGCAAATTTCTTTGATAACCTGATGAACTGAAGCCAGCATATCAAAGTATTCGAACCGCTTTATGAGTTAACTTAAGGAACGGAATTATGCAGTGGGGGGCGTTGAAGAGAATATGGTAGGAAGCCGTTCGAACAGCTTGGGTTATAATTCTCCATTCAAAAAATTTGTTCATTTGCCGTTTCAATCGACTTGGTGCACCTTGTAGAACCAGGGATACCACATTCTTTTTTCTCGTGACGCCACAAATTCACGCTCGGCAACACATGCCAAATAAACAATTACTCATCAATAAATGGCGCATCATAAACACTTTCGTAACGAAATTCAGCGTTTTAAACACAGTATTTTGCCCTTTCAATCGAATTTGTGTGCCTTGTGGAACCAGAGATATCACTTTTTTGTTTCTCATGACGCCGTAAATTCACACTCGGCGGCACATGCCAATAATTTTTTATATCAATCACTTGCCTGTGAATTACTCATCAATAAATGGCGCATCATAAACACTTTTGTAACGAAATTCAACGTTTAAGACCATAGTTAGTAACTATGTTAAGACAGAGTATTTTGCCGTTTCAATTGTCTCTGTGCATCTTGCCAGAAATATCATTGTAACAAATAAAGCTGAGACTTTTGTCACTGGATGTTTTTGTGCAAGAGAGCACAAAAACAGAACTCTCAGAAGCTCTCTTTAGCATCTTTCGAGTTTCCATTATCAGAAACGAATGTTAGTTGTCGCTAAGTTTTCTAACGAGTAAAGATCATCAGACTAACGGATTGACTAAGGAATGGATACGGCTAACGCTCTAACGGGCAAGGATCGGGTGCTAATGGAATAATCAACGCCACTAACGGATATGATTAACGCTCTGACGGGCAAGAGTCACCAGCTAACGGATTTACCAACGCTACTAACGGTTTTCATCAATTTTTCTAACGGATGACTAACGGATAGCTAACGTTTTAGCCCGTTTAACGGAAGGTCGTTAGTGTACGTTTTCCCGTGGAGGGTCACAATTCACTTTAAAATTGCAAGGCTTAATTAATGTGACATGCATCCCTGCTGGAATGAATCACTTGAGTCAAGACAGACAATGTCTTAAAATATCAAAAGACATACATGAACTAAATCACTTTAAAATGAACAAGTATTTTTTATGAACCAATTCTTGTTACCTCCATATACACGTGTAAGGTGACCCACACCAATTCCACTGCGAAGGTACACGTGACGAAGGATGGAGGCTAAAACCAAAGGAAAATAAATGGATGATTAATAACATTTATATGATACAACTTTCAATGTGATATGATACTACATAAAATACAACTTTATTCACTTTTCCCTTAAATCTCTTTTCGTTACAAATGTACACTTTTATTCAATTTTTTTTACAATTCTATTTGGAAACATGGAAGTGCTTACAACCTAAAATGTTAGACTCCAGCTTATGTTTATGTTGATTGCTTCATAATCAAGCATATATTAAAAAAATTCCACAGTGAATAAACAAATACAAATAAACCCAATAAATAAACGACAAAGAAAGCATAAACAAACCTAGAACAAAGAAGAAAGCAGAAAGCATGAAGCATACGCATGAGAAAAAATGAAGTAGAAGCAACTAATGTTAGATGTCAAACAGAAGCTTTTGTTTAGGTACAATATCCAACCCTTTTGTTAAAAGAGAAATTGTTAAGCATCTGACGCTAAGAAGTTAGCTTACCAATATATAATAAGTATCAGGGCTCAAAATTAAAGGTAACCCATTAACCAACGGTTTGTAGTTTCTGATGCTTGGTTACTAAAAATGAGCCTTAGTAACCTGACACGGTTAGCCAAAAAAATTATTAATTTTGAGCCCTGAGTATGAACGTGCTTTAAGTTTAAATTGTTCCTCTTAAAGGGGCTGTGTCATGGCAGTCCAGTTCATTTTGCTTAGTTTTGCCAATTACTCGCCTTTAATCGCTTTGGAACTTAAAGTAAGCAAAGAAATTACAGGTAAATGACAAAATCAGAGATCTGAGACAAACAAATATGTCTCCTGAGCAATATTATTTTTTTAAGTTGCGAGCAGCAGGGATCAACTCTGAAAAACTGCTGGGCTGAACAGTTTTCAAAAACCCTGATTTCAATCCGTTTCAGTCTTCTTCAGTTTTGCCTATCCATGGTATCTGTTGTTTCTGTTATGTTATTTTAACCTTCCTTTAAAGTTTTAAGCAGTTATTTTTATGTTTCTCTCAATTTAAGGTCTCGGTAAAGGAAAACGAGGTGCCCACAGAAAAAAATTCTAGTTGCGCGAGTATTTTCGCTGCAAAGGCAAGTTATATATCAAATTAAAGCTAAAAGGCTAAATTACCTTATAAAAGATTTTATTTCATCGAATTTTAAAAGACGCTTAAGTTTTTTGCTCTCGAACTCAGAGGTATCGACTTTACTGCTGAAGCTCCAGCCCTTTCACGTTGTTAAATATTCACTTCGTTTTTATTGCATCTGATTGACAGATAAAAGACCTAAAAAAGGGTGTGAGGAAATTTGCATATGTCTCGTATTAGCGCAATTATTGCATTTCAAACTAAAAAGTCGAATCTCAAGCGCGATTTACGCAAAGAAACTGACATAAAATGAGTTACAAAGGGAAATCGGAAAATTCCTCACACCCTTTTTTAGGTCTTTTATCTGTCAATCAGATGCAATAAAAAGGAAGTGAATATTTAACAACGCGAAAGGGCTGGAGCTTCAGCAGTAAACTCGATACCTCTGAGTTCGAGAGCAAAAAACTTAAGCGCCTTTTGAAATTCGATGAAATAAAATCTTTTATAAGGTAATTTAGTCTTTTAGCTTTAATTTGATATATAACTTGCTTTTGTAGCGAAAATACTCGCGCGACTAGAATTTTTTTCTGTGGGCACCTCGTTTTCCTTTACCGAGACCTTAATGGGCATTTTGTAATTTCCTAATTTGACTGAATTTCGTGACACAACTCCTTTAACAGTACCTTTTTCCCATTCAATGAGGATTGACAAATTCCTGTAACAATGAAATAACATAACTTTCTTCCTCAATGTTAATAGGTGCAATACTGCTAAACAACTTACATAACTTAACTTATTAGTGTTTTCCCCCTCCAGTGAGGGATTGACAAAATCCAGTGAAATAGAAATTAGAGTATAGCACTGTTTCTTCTTACGAGCTAACAAATGCAATATCACTCAACAAAACCATTTGCATTAACTTCTGCTCACCTGCTCGGATAAAATACCAGTCAGGATCATAAGGAGCAAGTTCTTTGCTTTTCGCAGTTTTCACCAGGTCAACCCATTCTGGTACTTTCAGCTTTCCACCCCTAATCACAAACATTATTCAGACTGTACATCAGTATTTACTAATGTATGACTACAAGGATGATGCTTGGGCTTAAAATTAATCTAATGTATACACAGCAGTTTTAAATGTGGCTAAATAAAACTAACTTAGGCTAAGTTTAAATTGAGACTTGGCTGGCCAGCAGTCTCTAATAGGAGTTATTTTTGGCCGGGTATCCTAATGGTGTCGCAAGGGCATACAGCTTTACTTTACAGCCTTTCTCTTAAGGTCAGGCCATTATGTTCATGTGTCATTGCCTATCATGGCTTGTATTTGCAAAGTGTTTTTCTGTTCTCTACCCTTCTCCCCCCCTCCCCTATAAACTACGTGGTAAGTACGTTAGGTTCCACTGATATGCTAGCCTGCGAAAACAGTCGTTTCTCCTCGCTCTTCAAGTTACATTGTTTTAGATATTGTGTACGAATGACCGACAAAAGACAGAAGGCCACGAAGGTCAAATTTAAACGCGACGAATCTGTAACAAAACAGCCAATATTTGTGGAATATATTCTTCTCTAAAAGAAGCATTTAAGTTTCGCTGGAGCTCGTTCGCAGATGAACTCGACACTTAACCAAAACTGACCAGGAGAAATGTAAAATTGAACAAATCTGCATTTGGAACCCCATGACTACCGGATTTATTATGTAAACATTGATTTACGTCATCAGTATGGAATTTCTGTTGCTGAGTAGCAGACATTTATCCTCGCGAAATGTCCCCAGCGGCGAGGAGCTAGGAGAAACGACCATTTTCGCAGGATACTGATAAGCAGTATCACGGTGCCTGGGTGGAAGAACCTGGGTTGTCAAGGTTACACAATGCACTCAGCCACAGTTCATAGGTCTAACAGCCTCTAACACTCATCTCTCTTGATGAGTTTAAGAACTCATAAAGAGAGCTTTAGAGCTGCACTGTAGCCAAGAAGGGGAAGCAATCTAAGTAGAAATTGCAGTGAAAATCAAGACAAAGAAGGCAGAGGATTGGGTTCAGAGAGATTCCTGTGTACATGTACATATACAACCTAAATAACCACCTCACAGCAACAATTAGAAAAACTACCATAGAATGGGGTGGCAGTGGCATTTCCTTCACACGCTTAACAGTTAGAACTGCCCAATGTGTAAGTCTCTTAAGTGGTTGAGTGTAATAAAGAACCTTAGGCTTACAAGCACTTTTTTGTCTTTACACAAAGATCTCCCAGTGTCCATATTAGAGTCTGAAATCTCCTGGACAAGTGCCAAAGTTTGCCACTTCTTCAGTAGCCTTAAGTAACTTTCCGACGATAAAATTTCAACTATTTTGTGCTGTTAACATCAAGCGTTTCCTCATAAAATCCAGTATGCCTTTGTCATATAATAATGTGATTAGTGGGCAGTAAAACAATCAGGTCAAATGTTACAATGCCAACAACATCTTTTTCAAGTGTTTTGTGTCATTGCCAATTCACTACGATCGCAGTCAACAAGTATTTTTGTACAAGTGAAGTCAAAAGTGAAGATTTGGGTGGTTGACAGCCTGCATTACAAACACTCTCGAGAGATGATTGGAGATTTGCATGACTTCAGTTTGGTTTGATCAACTAAACTTTTATTTATAAAACATTGATGTGGACATGTCAGTTTCGTTTGTTGCCATTAGCTATGATCTCTAGAACGTTAGTGGCTTTTTAATAAGATCATATATCTGATGTAAGCAACCCTGATCATGAACAAAACAAATTAACCTCCAAATCAACAAACACAGTAAAAAGTAGAGCAATTTAATTAGCCAAACATGAAGTAGGCAAATACCTTCAGAAAGAGTCTTTACCTACACTAAATTTCCGAAATAGCAAAGGCGTATCATATGAGCGATCCATAAAGGAATTTCAACGCGAAAAGTTCAGCGATAGGAACTACACTACTCACTTTTTCAAATGGGCCGCCAAAGCCTTGATAAATTCGTGAGGACAAACGTCTTTTACTGTCACACCACCGGGCATCTAGCATCAAAAATACACACGTTACTGGTAAGTACACAAACAAGTAGTTAAAAGCTGTTTGATGATGTGTAAAGATGCACTTTTAGTTGAATACACGTGGTTTGTGAGAAATTACGTCCGCCATCTTACCTTGCTGAAGGAGAAGAGAAAGAAAGAGGGGCGCCCCGAGGATAAGTAAGGGGCGATACCAGTCTTTCGCGGTATCGTAAATGGAAAATTGGAACGTGGAAAATGGAACTGGGATCATATCCTGTTAGAGCTCCGAGGAGATAAACTGTAATTAGTTGCTATCTTTGGCCTGTTCTTTAAAATTACGATTATTCAAAAGATTATGTAACTTTCATAACTCTTTACATCAGATTATTATTAGGGAGTTGACGCAACGACCACTGCGACGTGAATTTGAAACTTTATCGCGCTTATTCCATCTCGGCGTTTAATTCGTCAAATGCTGGCAGACTTTTTTGGAGTTGAATTCTAAAGAACTGCATCAAAGTTCAGGAAAAGAAAAAGAAAGTTGTTGTCTTTTGTTCCCGTCCTCGACAAAACGTGAAATTAGGCAGTTTCACGTTGTAGTCGTGCAACGCGGTACGACGACTGAGAAATGTACAAAAAAGAAATTTCTAACCTCCTTCAAAGTTCAGTCCTTGTTCTTAAGTTATACCCAGCTGTATTTAGAAAGTAGTAAATAAAATGTGAGTTGCCAAGCAACAACAACGATAACAAAAATACAGTTTATCCAAATGATACAATTTGCCTTTTCAAGCTTCTAAATCACCCGCCAGTTTTAGCACGTTGTGATAATATCCGAGAGACTGAAACAGATACAAGTTTTGGTAAAGCTGATTAAACGACTCTTGACTGACCTGAAAATCACAAAGGTTGGCACGGCTTCTGTAACAATAATATCTAAGCATTTATCATTAAGATGTTTTGGTAGATTACATTAAGAACAGGTAGAATTTAGATGACTTTAAATAATTAATCTAGAATCATCCAATACAGAGAAAATATTACAGTTTCAGAGTTCATTGCGCAAATTATGGAAAGCAAAGCTAGCAGAATTCATAAAAGTTTGTAAATATTACTGGCTTTCAACGCCGAAGTTGGGTAAATACGGCCTCATTTCTTGAAACGAACACTTCTCTAGTATCGGGGCATCCTACGTATCTCCAGCTAAGAAGCGCTTCCGTCACACTTTTCACCCTCAGTCACAGCGATAAAATAGCACTAAACGCCGTATAACTTAGTACGAGCTGTGACCTTGTAACGGCTCAGAGCGAATGGTCTCCACAATATTGAAAAACACAATTTAAAATTGGAAAATTATCATATAAATAACTAGGCACATTCAGTTATTCTCACCCTAAAAATAATTACTACAATTTTTACTGCTCGTCAAGCGGAGCTGTACGTATACGTCAATTTGGGACTTGCAGTTATTCTTACAACTCACAACAAATCAGCCAGTTTGGGTACTTTTTTTGGTCGTGTATTAAGTGTGTAATTAGAAGCGGCAGTGTAAAAGCAAGAACACCGGCAACAACGTATTTAAAGACGCAGTTATAGAGGACATCGGAAATTGAATATATTAAGATTTACAAAAATAATTGCGAAATTTGTTTCAATAATGATTGCAAATGTGTACCGTAATTGTCTTTCAAAGAAGAGTTCCGGTTAACGGTAAGTTACTGTTTGGATTGTTAAAACATACATTATAACCTTGCGCTTTTACCTCCCGGCTTTAGCTACTAGTTAAAGGCTAAGCTTATGAGAGTGTTTAAACTCCCAGTAAGTCAACAGAGCTTATTATTTTGGCGGCATGGAACTGTATTCAGTACAGTGAATTTCTTTAAAGAAGTGCCCTTTCCGGATGGTTTTAATACCGCACAGCAAACAACCCTTTCATAAAACGACGCTTTTTACTTTTGTTTCACAAAAAAGAAAACTCATCATCTAAAGCTGACATAAACTTCCATTAACACTAGCTAAGTGAAAGCAATATTTCTAACTAATGATTAGATATCCAGGACCCAATGGTTATGGACGCTGTTTGACAAAAAGGAAGCTACCACTGGTTTTTAGTTTTGATTACAATTATTGCAAACTCAGGATGATGTATTGCGTAGATATGACTCAGGCACTGAGCAACCCAACACCACTGTTCAAATGAATCCAAATTAAAACTCATAAACCTTTGCACCTGTGCACCTGCTTAGCCTTTGGATAATTACTAGATTTGCAAGTTCACGTTGGTTTATGAGTATCTTATCTTGAGGGAAAACACTCTAGTTGATTGCGCGTAACTGGCACACCACTGTATATCGAAAACAATCGACGTAAAAGATAAACGATAGAGTACGTTTCAAGGTTATCATCACTAAATAGTCAGTCGCACTTGATAGACTCAGCAGTGCACTGGTTAAAGTAAGTTAAGCTATCGTTACAGCCATGGCCGCGTCAAATGACTGCACGGGAGAAATATCTTCCTTTTCGGCCATATTTCTGGGAGTCTTAAATGGCGTATCGGGATTTGCTGCTGTCGTTGGAAACCTTTTTGTGCTAGTAACGTTTATAAAGAGCGGGTCACTTCGACAGCCGTGTTACTATCTGATGGTATCTCTAGCGTCAATGGATATCTTAGTTGGCTTAGCGGTTAATCCTCTTTACATTGCCTTAACGAACTTTATCCCCTGGCAGTACAGAGAAGAGCATCTTCTCCAACTGGAAAGCTTCTTCGCCATGACCAGTTCTATGATAATCATGCACAATTTGACGGTGATGAGCGTGGAGCGGTACATCGCTGTGACATACTCATTGCGGTATCGCACACTCGTTACAGACAAACGAAGTTACATAGCCATTGCTTTCGTGTGGACTTTCGGCTTTACTCTTAATGGGCTGTATTTCGGCACCAGCAACGACGACCTACCAAAGTTGTGGATAACGTGCGGAGTCTTGACCGGCTTTGTACCTATGGCGATCATCTTCTACTGCTACGCAAAGATTTTTCGAGCAGCGCGCAGACAGTCCCGAAGAATAGCGGTTGCTGAGCGCTGTGTTTCTAATACAGGCTCAAGGAACGATCGCGAGGAGAGCACAGACATTGGAAGTGAAAAATCGAATGTAAAGGAGATAAAGAGAGCCAGAAAGGCTGCGTGGGGTGTCGCCATTGCATTTTTGATAGTGATGGCCCTTTCGATGCCTGTAACTGTTATCAGCATTCTGCAGATTGTTTACGCGGGGGACGTGTGTCGCCGAAGAAGTAACAACCGAGCGTGGTTTTGGGGAGCAACTGTAACACTCCTAAGCTCCGCTTTAGACCCTTGGATCTATGCGATGCGGATACGAGAGTTTAGGCAGTGTTTTAGGCGAGCATTTCGCTTTAGCTGAGTTCTGTTGCGATAACTTTGGGGGGTTACTGAACACTTAGCGCGTATTTAAGCCCATGGATTTTACGCAACGCGGATACCAGAGCTTAGACACGGGTTTGCTAACATTTCGCTTGAACAAACTAGCTCGTGTTGTGTACAAAATAACAAGCACTGCGATGTGAAGATCAGTACGTTCAGAGCATAACAGGCAAATGGATCTCTGCAATGCGTCGATTGATGCGACCATTTAAATCGCGATTTTAGCGAACATTTTGTTCTCTCTCACAACCTATGCTAGCAAATATTAGATGCGAGGATGAGTTTGATCTAGGCTAGTCGATTAAAAACAGCAGAAGAATAATTAAAAGAAAATGGGTCCATCGTGAATAAACTAGATAGCTCGCATAGCACGCGGTGGCCATTTTGCCGATAAAAGGCTTCGACTATTTGCAACCTCATTAAAAGGGAGCCGAGATAAATCACATTAAAATGAATTGAACGTTGGAATAAATAGAACATCGTTGAATCATTTAGATGGTACGTGCAATTAACAGGTAGATAGGTTCTAAATAACTGCTTAGGGTTTCTGGATTAGAAACCAAAAGGGACTTAAAATACAAAATAGGATACCCTATTTAAGTACTCTGTAAGAAACTTGGAAACCATAGAGACCATAGCCTATAGCTATAGCCTATCCTGCGACGCGGCATAAACCTATACAACTGACATTCGGACCCCTCCTCGGCGCTTATGAGGTACAAAGCACCGTGTTTTAAAAATTTTGGTAAAAAATCAATTTGCGAAGAAAATCACACGTCCCTCTTTGAGGACAACATATATCTCGTTATTTACCTGTATATATATGCCCATTAGTTAACGCTTTTACTGCGGGCGTGAGTGATGGAGTTTCGTATGCTGTAGCTCTACATACTAGTCACTAAATAAATAGTACCATGTAAAAGTCCTGCTGACGAGGTTTCATTTGAATGGAAACACCAGAGGATTTCATCCACAGACTCAAAAATTAGAACTACAAACTAAATAAATAGTACCATGTGAAAGTACTGCTGAAGAGGTTTCATATGAATGGTAACACCATAGGATTTCATCCATAGACTCAAACATTAGAACTACATACTAAATAAATAGTACTGTGTGAAAGTACTGCTGAAGAGGTTTCATTTGAATGGTAACACCATAGGACTAGTTGTCCAAAGACTTAAAAGCATGGTACTATTTATTTAGTATATAGTTCTAACTTTTGAGTCTGTGGATGAAATCCTATGGTGTTACCATTCAAATGAAACCTCTTCAGTAGTACTGTCACAAGGTACTATTTGTTTTACAGCATTTTGTTTGATGATGTTAAGACATTTTGGTAAATTTTGACATTGGTCACCTTTGGCAGTGAAAGGGTGAAAATGTTATCCATAGAGAAACTCAGTTCGCAACTTCCCGACGTGACGTCGGGTCATAGTCATACAGAGAGGGTATTCACTTGGAATGCATTTTAAGACTTTCGTATAACAAATAGTAACATCGCATGGCTGCAAATAAATTCTGAATTTTTTGTTTTAAAAAGCGGGGACAGTTCATTATTTCAGGTTTGCACGAATAAGTAAGATACTCCTTGTTCCTAATGCACCTCGTATTGTGGCTATAGAAAGATTATCCCAATTTCGATTAAAACGGCCCAGCGGGGGACTTTATGCAAAGTCAGTATAAAACAAGTTATGGAACTGAAGATTAGTTCAGAATAACAATGATAAGATATAAAAAACGCTTGTTAAGTGCGCGAGTTTAATATTTAATGAAGTAAAATATTCACACCGTTGCACCTTTGCTGCATGGTTAATTCTGTTACCGTCGAGGAAGTGACGGACATTATAATACTGATTTTCTCGAACGCTGTTTCCATCAAACAATTCACAACTTGGTCCATTTATTACGAGAACATTTTTGATTTCAAAAAGAGATACAAAAAGTGAAGCCCGGTTAAACACCTTATCTCTAACTTACATGGTTGAATTCTGTCGCTTACAATTAAATTACAATAAGCACACAGTGTACGTTTAGATAATTTGGCTAAGAGTTTGACACAGCTCCCGATATTCACTAGTTCAATCTGGAGCATTTTCCGGCCGCCAATGATTAATTTCGAAGTTTAATTACACTCACCCTGGAATTAAACTACGTTCGCGAATTGAATAAAGCAAGCACCTGCTTCTGTTTAAAAAAAAAACAAATACTTTTAATAGCGTAAAAAAAATTGGTTTACCTTCACTGTGTTCAAGTATTTGTTATGGTAATTTTTTTCATTTTAATTATGATGTCCTTTTTTAAGAAAAATACCTTTTCCCTTAGTTAGAAAACATAATTTCGGATTCAGTATGCGAGCTTTTTGACTAACATAGGCTTATCATTTATTTGTCAAGCGATTTGAATAAAATCCCTGAACATTGAAAGGGGATAGCAATTAGCAATATTGTTAATCTCTGAAAATTGGAGCCCGTAGAAATTCTCCTTTAAAAAAAGGCCCATTAACGTCTTTGCCATTCAGCAATGTCGCAGTTTTTGATGAAAAAGGATAGCAATATTGGAAATCTTTGAAGATTTTGGTCCGGCCGATATACATAATAGTTTTTGAGAAAATCTCCTTTAAAAGCTTGACATTATCAAATACAATACAATGATCTTATTGATGGATCATTGAAGTTTTTACTACCCAGCAATGATGCAGTTTTTGATGACTTCTTCTTACTTAGATATTGCCCTGAAAGAGCTAAAAGTTGCACAAACTGCTCAAGTCAACCATTTATTTCAACCTTTGCTACCTCTGATCTATAACGTGGAAACCTCTGTATAATGTGGACACTTGGCTCTATCTCTTTGGTGTGTTTATGACGGTGGTTTTACTGTGATACAGACAAGACACCTTTAATGCAGACACACGGCTCTATCCGACCTTCAGTGTCCATACGGTAAGGTGGTCTGAATGTATTACAGACACCTCAGTAATGCGGACACATGGCTCTATCCCTTTGATGTCCGTATGAAGGTGCCATTTTACTGTGATACGGACACCTGTAATGCAGACGTTTCGCTCTGCCTCTTTGGTATCCATGATAATGAGGTTTGACTATAATACAGCCATCTCTGTGATGCAGACACTTGGCACTGTCCCTTTGGTTTCTCTGGAAAATTTGTTTCGCCAGAAACTAGGTTGAGTTTAATATTTGAGGCCACGTTCAAAAGGAAGCCGCACGAATTTTTGACCGGCAGAAAAATTTGACCCGCACACTTCAATCGGCACACATAACCGTTCGATATTTTCGTTCTGTTCACATGAAACTGACAAACAAGGTTGAATTTTAACTTTTGTTTTAACTTTTGTCAGTCGGGGCATGCGCACTTTAGCAAATCGAAAATGGCGTATTCCAGCTGAGTAACCACTCATCCATGCTACCATACCTTTGCCGTATAAAAATTTAGACGTTCATGGTGTTCACACCATCATAGTTAGTCAAATTTACAGGCTAAAAAATTGACCCTCGATTTTGGCGTTCAACGTTTGGAACGTCTAGGCGTATAAATAGAGACCTTTAGGTTCTTCGACGAGTACGACTACGAGTACGAGATTTTCTCAATACTAAGTCGTGCTCGCGCGTGAGCCAGCGTCATTTGGGGAGGAGGGGGGGGGGGGGAAGGTTTATGACAAATAACAAAAAGCGGCTATTCTAGACATCAAATCCCCTCAGACACACTGAATTATCTTTCTCCCTGCAACACTTTCCTTCCAAGCACATATTATTTTTTGCACATCTCCCAGCCAGCAAAAATTTCCCTGTTAGGGAGAAAGGAATTTCACCCATTTAGCCTCTTTCATATTCTACTTCCACCCCCGTAAATACACTGAACCAATCGTATGGGACTTGTAAATTAAATGACCGCTTTTTATAAACCACGGAGCTAAATGCATCCTTAAGATATTTTGAATAACTCTGGACTTAGGGCATCGATTAACGCGTTTTTATTATAGTACAGTTTTTAAATCCAGATGCGATAAAAGAAACAAAAGAAGAAGAAGAAAAGAAAAAGAAGAAAAACTTTTACCTTAATGTCCATGTCCTTTTGCATGTGTAAATTCAACCTTTCGCGGCATTTGTATGTGGGGCGTTCATACAAACCCGATTTTATTGTATTTGAAAACGTATGCTTTTCATATACCGTGGAGCTAGATGTATTCTCAAGATATTTTGAGGAACCCTGGACTTAGGTCATCGATTTATGCCACTTTAGTAAAGCTTTTAAATCCAGATGAGGCAATTTAGCCTTTTGAGGAATCGATTCCGTGGGTTGTCGGCAATTTGCGGTTCTATAGTCACGGGCAAATTTTAAAACTAGAAAGCTTTTGATCAATTTTAGGAAAGCGGAAAAACGTGATGATAACAAATTCTAATCGGGGACATTAGTGATGACTCTTGGAGCTATTTGTACATGCATTGAATTTAATGCTCCCTTGGATATCTCAAAAGCCACATCAAGTTAAAGCTACCTCAGTAGGAACAGTAGAATTTCTAAAACTGCTTCTCCATGCAATTGAACACTATCGGCCAACCACTGCTAATTGCAAGTTCCCCTAAATGGGAAATCAGTTTGCAATATGTCGCACGGTTTGTAAATAACATGTCACAGCAACCCAATGAGGAGAACCATCTGCTTTTTGAGTGGCTGATCACCATATAAGAAACTTGACTACTGTAATCTTAAACGGCAGGGTTGGATCGGGAAATGTTAGCTTGAGGCCATACGATATTACAGGCATTACAGGCGGCCGAAGCGTTATTTCCACTAGCTCTCTTTAAAATTATATTACTTCAAATTAACTGGGAAGTCAAAATCGAAAACGACAGCCAAACGAGTGAAGACGAAGAAATTTTATTTGCCATGATGACCGAGGAGTGTTCCGGACATCTTGAATATACTACGTCAGTAATTCTGGCTTTGCTCCACTCTTCCTCTGGGTTCATGTCCATCATCGGCAATCTCGTAGTTCTACTCGCTGTTTACCAAACGACCGTACTTCACACGGTTTCAAACTATTTCATTGCATCGCTGGCAGCGGGCGATTTTCTTGTAGGCATCATCATCTGTCCTTTGTGGGTAACGAAGAGTGTTTTAAACATTTGGGAAAACAGACATCCTTTGACGTTAGCTGCAGAACTTATGTCCGTCCAAACATTGATAACAACTACTTTTAATTTGGCAGCAGTAAGTCTCGATCGATATTTAGCCATTACAAATACGTATTGCTACTTACAAACTGTGACACTGTTTCGTTGTTACTGTTCTATCGTACTGATTTGGTTGTTTTCCCTCGCCTTTGCCTGTCTTCGTTTGATCATCACAGATCCAATCGATTTACCAAAGCTTTGGATAACTGTGGCCTTCGTCGGTTACACCCTTCCATTCGTGGTCATAAGCTACAGCTACTATCATATTTACAAAACCGCAAATCACCACCATCGTAGGATTGAAGCTGAAGCACGAACCGTCACGGTGGTCTCCGAAGCTGGCCCATCCAAAGTCTCGGGAGTAGCAGAAGCGAGACGAAACCGAAAGGCCGCGAATACAGTCGGAATCATCATCGGAATCTATCTTATTCTGGCTCTTCCAAGCATGGTTATTGTAGGCATTCAGCTGCTTACGAAAGACGAATGTTTAAAGGTTCGTATTATTCGATTTTGGTTTTGGGGGGCACTGTTCTCCTTTAGCAGCTCGGCAGTAAATCCGTGGATCTACGCAGCGAGAAATCGTGACTATAAACACGCATTCAAACGAGTGTTCAGGCGTTTCTGCACTAAACTCTGTAAGGTCAATAACGATGAAGTAAGGAAAGGAAACCAGTGACTATAACTCAGGAAAAAAACTAAAATACTTTTAGAGAAAGGCTAAGTGAACTGAGGACGATTCAAACTCAGTTACCAATTCAGTGACAAATACTATATAAAAAATTGCGATTTAATGCCTTTTTTCCTAAATTGTCTGTTGTACATGAAACCACATATTTCATTACAAGTTCAAAGAAGACCAAGAAAGTATTCGGAAGATTAAAAAACTTATCAGTGTGATCAATCAGGCTGTAGTTATTTATGTTCGTTATTTCACTCTACTGAAGGCAGGATTTGCATGAGAATCTGTGGAAAATAGTGGCTGGGCACGGGCTTGATTCGAACTGATACAGCGTCTTCCGATTTCGGATGATTAGGATAAAAGAAGAAAACTAAGGTCGTTTAAAATTGCTTGAAACAGTCTTTTCCGAAATGCCGCATAACTGAATAGAAATAATAATAGTCTGAATGGATGTTTGACGTTAGTGTTGACCCGTCAACCCATTGTTAAGTGCACGAAATTTACTGAAAAAGGCTTTGATTTCTTCCTGCCATATATCTAACAGCTCCTTCTAAACGACCTAAAAATTGCGTTAGATGTTATTGTACAAGGATATAGTTAAAAGTGCACGAAATTTACTGAAGAGGGCTTTGATTTCTTTCTGCTATCTGACAGTTTCTTCTAAATGACCTAAAAATATACGTTTTTAATTGAAAGATTTCACAAACAAATTACTCAGTCAACTATTTTTTCATCCGCTTTGTTTCGTTATACAATTGATTCTTTCATTATTTTCCCACAGATATATAATGAAAAGATCGCAGGTGCATATTTTCCCAGTGGCGTGAGGGGATGTTTGTTAAATCTCACAGCCTTAACATATATCCAGGGCGTTAAAAAAAAAAGTCTTCTTGCCTTTCTTGGTAAATCCTGTAACTATCATTACCCTCCTGTCTCAATTTAACCAGTGGAAAAGACTCGAACATTTTTAACATCCGGTAAAATGGATAAAAGATTTTTTTACAGCACAAAGACCGCAACGGGTGATACAAATTGTTTGAATGTTGATTCAATTCTCGTGTTTGTCTTTTCCGTCGTATATCATGTAGCGAGGAAGTTTTAATTTTCATTCGCCACTTTAGAAACGCCGGAGAAGGGACTCTGGAGTCGTTTTCATCATCCGGTCACAAGAGCACGGAAATAAAAAAACGGCTTCTTCACACATTTTCATTCTGGAAAGCGTATTTGAAAAGTTGCGTTGTCGGTGACGTTTCATCAGAAAACGTGTGAGCGGAAGGCCAATCCGCATCTGCCTCGTCCCCAGTTGTTTTTGGGGATATTTGAGTCCCATCCCGTCATCCCCTTCTCGCGCTTCTCGCTTGATGTACCTAGCTCTCACGCTTCTCACTTGTTCCATAGACGCCCTATCTTAAATAAACGCCTCCCTTACGCTTCTTAAGTTTGTTTTAGATGCCTGTCTAATAGACGCTCCCCTCCAAAATACTAGGAAATAGCCAAAAGGAGCAAAATAATGCACCTTGGTTAGTTTCTTAACGAAGGTTGCGCATTGCATCTTGTCCAATATCAAGTACAAAGAAAGGATAGGGCAACAATGTCAGCAAAACGACCCTGAATCAGAATGAGGATTCTGACATAGAGGTTGAGATTTAAAGAGCGATATGGATTTCTAGACGGCCTAGATGTAATATTTAGATTTAGCCAGGGCTAAAAGCGAAGCTCTCGTTAATATTTATAGTTTATTCAAACAAAATATAAAATCGTGTAATAATGCGACGGTAACGAAAACGGTAAAACAAACAAACAAACAAACAAACAAAAAAACAATAGGTCTAATTAGCAAAAAAACAACTTTGCACGTGCTGCACACTTTTTCTGTACATTTCTTTGCCGTTGTTTTGCACGACTACGACGTGAAACCTCCAGACACTTCCTAGTTACACGTTTTAAGCTGCATGCAAATGGAAGCAACAACCCCCGAAATTGCTGGCGAGTTTCAGCGGTTTCAAACTTTGCGCAACAATTCCCAACAAAACGAAACAACACGCAACAACATGCAACAGGGTGTGCAAACGGACGCAACATGTAACATCCAACATTGTTGCGTCCGTTTGCTTGGGGCTTTATGTTCCTGTTCGCTTTTTTTCACTGCGATCATTTTCACCTTGGTGGCCGCTAGCATTTCTCATTTTCTCACCTTTGCTATATAATTTTCGTGTGTTTTCTTCCAACGAAATTGGTCGCCTTTGTTTTTTATCTCTCGCTCTAGATCTTTCTCAGTTGTCTACGTCAATGTAGACATTAAAATTTGGCCGAAAGAAAGACTCGGCTTTGTTGTTTTTGTGGGTATGCGATTTACCGCCGAAACGTGCGGGTGCTTGAAATGCAAAATTTCACTCCGGCTTACACGAATGGGTGGACGTTCGAACGTACTTACAGCCGATTTTCTCAGAACCAAAATTTCTTCAATGCATAGATAACCAAATTTTCGTACACTTGTTGCTCCGTTATCAATAGATGGTCTGAATACCAGTTTCTCTATAAACTCTATTGATATTTTTTTCCGAAAGCATATTAGCTTTGTTGAGATTACTACAGTTATGAAAATAAACGCCCCTTTTTGAAATGCCTCTTATTTATTAAGATAAAAGCCCCTTCTTGAACCCCTACAATTTAATAAACGTCCGGGGCGCGCCATTTCAAATTGGTAAATTCAAGAGGTCTTCGAAAAGAGAAATTCATCAGTAGATTATCACTACTCATTAGAATACTCCTCGTCCTTGTTCGGTAGCGCTCGATACGATGTTTTATCATCAGTGTTTTCTCCCCGCCATTGGCAAGCAAGAAACAACAACATTACTAAGGCAAGGAAAGCAGCAAACAGTCTGTACGCTACACGAATTCCAGTTTTGCTGACCAGCAAACCGCCAAGCATGGTGCCAGATCCGTTACCAACACCTACAAACAGTCCATTCAGAATACCTGTAAAATGAGAAAAATTAAACAGATAGCTGTTTTTATCAAAAATTGTACTTACTCTCTGTCTTCTCATTGGCTAAGAGCCAACAAGTATTTTTTTTAAATCAGCGCAACCTACAAAAATGTAGGTTGGGTGGGCAGTGCATGATTTCTAACCACAGCGCAAAGTGTGTTCCGTGCGACGCTGTGCTTTCGTTATTTTCATCAAAACAGTGTATAATAAAACGATTAATAGATTCGGTTTTTGTGATATCCTTAATTATCAAGGTCTCAAAAAGTGTTATTATCATTATTCCGGATATCACAAAACTAAATCCAATAACTGTTTAAAATTTCACGGTACAAAAACACGTTGCCAGAGAGACAAACAACGCAGTGGGACCTTTTCAAAAATCGACTTTTCAAATGGTGAAATCTCGTTGTTTTTCTTGATTTTGTTGTTTTACACCTCGCCTAGACTACAAAAATAAATATGAGAGGAAAAAGGACGCCATGATGCAAATGACCTATGGCGACTTGTGCTTTAAATTTCGACGCATTCCCCGTCCCCTCAGCAAAATAAAAACATGGGTGTATTTTACTTTACACCTGACTAACCAGTGGGTATGGTCTAAGTACCCTGATCTATGAATTTTATTTGGAGGAAAACAGGTACAGAAATTATCTGCAACGAACAACAGAAAACTGAAAAGTAGAATCCTGATAGAATTTTAAATATACTACACGTGCATAGATGAATTTTACTATAAGAGAAATAATTGGTAGTCACAACAGTGTGACCTGTACTCGGCCCTTAAGTATAGGTTTCATTGCCTAATTTCAAACCGAGGGTGACGACTAGGAACTAGTCCGTGTATTATGGGGTAAAAAACATGGGACCCACACAGTCAGAAAAAGCACACTGAGGTAAGGAAAATTCTCAAGTTTGTTGTCAACAGCCGATATTGATCAAGACACAGCTATTAAAACACTTGAAATGCCGGACGTCGATATTTCTTGGTAAATTTTGTAGTTTTTGAATGGCTGTATCTCGTTCATATAGGCCCGACAAACACAAAACATGAACTTTGCAAATCTCGTTTTCGTCTTTGTGATTTTGTCGATCTCGAGTGGTTTATCCCACAATAAACAGACTCGTATCCAGCCTCCCTCGGTTTGAAATCAGGCAATTGCATTCTTCAGCTATACTACATTGTCTTTACCTTGTGCTGCTGCTCCTAAACCAATAGCAGTCGAGATTGATCCTACGTAGGCTACACACGCCGTCCACGTGACTGCAAATACTCCACCGATTACTGCAAAGAGGGCAAGAGCCACCCATGGGCTATGGGTGAAAGAGTAGCATATGAACACTATACAGTAACAGGCCATCCCGATAGCGATGGTTTTGAAATATCCAAGCATTTCCAGGAAATAGTTCGCCGCGAAGTAACACAGGGCGCTTGTGGTGAAATGCAAGGCTGCTGCCAGCCCTACCTGGAAGGATAGAACGAAAACTTGGATAAACATATTGGAAAAGATTTTGTTTCATGTGCTATGCATGAGGATGTGAAAAACATCATCTTTTGAGGGAAATCTGAGCTTTACACACCTCTTAGCTGACTTCAGGAGCTCATAATGGGCTTCTGGTGATTGTTTAACTTAGCCTAAGTTCCCTCCCCCCGGGGGGGGCTCAACACATTTTATACAGGCAGGCTCTGCCCCGAGGTCCCACCCCTTACCCTTTTATATACCATTTTTCACGAAAATGGTACCCCTTTCGTGTACTGCCTTCTATTGACAAATGGTAACCCTTTCACAAACCTTGATTAGAACTTTGCATCCCTTTTAACTGCTGTAAATGCACTGTCTTTTAAATAGGAATCAATCGCAAAAAAAAAAAGTTTTCTCGACTTTATAAAGCCATAAAATTCATCTGTTAGCCCTTTTAGGCCCTTTCACAGACCTAACTGACAGATTTTCCCACCCTTTCATATAATTTAACGAGTACAAAATCCCTACCCTTTCATATACCTGAGGCTTGAAAAAGGTCCCCCTTTCGGGCATAGCCTCCCCGTATAGGCCATTATAGGGAGTAGCCCCCTCCCCCCGGGGGTTCCCCCTCGATTTTCTTTTATACTGATATTTACGTGTGGTTTTCATTTGTCAAATCCGTAATCTCACGAGGAGGGAGCCGTGGTAAGACAGCTCCTCCTCGAAGGTCAGGAGCACGAAAAACTTCCAGCCATTTTGCTGCCCTCTTCTCGTAGCCAAATGACTCTCCCGTCCAAAGATTGTTTCGCCAACCTTGTAGGCACTCGACAGGGATAGAGAAAGGGGAAATTCAGGTGCGTGAGGCCCGAAAGACGCGCGAGCGCGTGCGCGCACGCGAGGGAGATGTATAAGACTCCAAATAAAACATTGTCTTGTCTTGTACAAAAAGGGAACCATCTTGCCCATGGTGTTTACGCATAACCAACTTTCTCCCATTCCTTTCGAACGCCTTCCACACCTGCCTCGCGCGCCTGCCACGCACGCTAGAGCATGTTTAAACTAATTGCCTTTACCCTGGTGAAAACTTTGTTTGGAAGGTTACTTTTAAAGAACGTTAAAGAATTTAACTTACACTGAAAATTAAAAAGATCTGTTTCAGCCCTGCAGGCCAGTCTCATTCATCCCTTCCTGGAGCCATCTGTGCACAATTTAGGCCAAAAGAGCTCAATCAAAAGGTTATTCCAGCTCACGGTAGGGCCCATTTCAACCCTGGGACCAAGTCAGCCCTAGCTAATTGGACTGTATTGGCCCTGATTTAAGAGAGCCAAATTAGACTCAAAAATAGGACTGTATTTTACTCACCGAAACGGCCCTATTTTTACGCTAAAACAGATATTTCTGATTTAGAGTGTACTTTAATGTACGCTCTCAAATATAACTAAATCACTATACACCATTTAGAGTAGGCACCGGTCAACCTATATTGTTTACATTTAACGACATTCTGCACTATCACAATTCATTACCTGAAAAGATGTTGCCTTAAGTTCATCAAGAAACCACGAATTGAAGTCGCCTTGAAATCCATCGCTCATTCCAAAAGCAATCGCCACAAACCAGAAAGAGAGTTTAAGGCGAGAATTGAACACCTCTTTGATATCTCTTAGCGACTGTTTTGGTGTCTCAGAATACACGATTTTAACGAAAAAAAGAAGAAGGATCGTTACCCCCATGAAAGCAGCAAATAGGTAAAAAGCAGTTGCATAGTCCTTACGAGTCTGCCCGCAGTAGTGGTAAACGTAATGATTGATTAAAAGGCCGGCCATCAAGTTAGCTATGACCATTCCCACGGAACCCCACAGACGAATCCGCCCGTATGATTTTCTCTCATCACCCAGGTAATCGACGGCGCATCCGTCTAAAAGAGGATGAACTATGGAACCGAACAGCTCGCCCACGAGCACAAGCGCCAGAAAAATATAGAATATACGCGCGAGTTCATCGTTGTCCACTTGCACAAAGTATTTGTATTTGTTATGAGACATGCTTGTGGCAGTTGAAATTGATGGTATAGCATCCTTCGACGGTGCGACCGCATATAGCGACTGAGATTCATTTCCAGGTGATAAAGGCTTTGCAACGCAAACTTCATGGCTCGGCCGAATGGCTAGAATCAACAGGTTCTTGATCAGCCAAGCACATGAACCGAGAAGAAGGACCAGTTTCCGAGCTTTGTATTTATCAGCGAGGATTCCCCAAAAGGGTGCCCCGATCGCTTGACACAAAGGACGAAGACCAATAAGGATTCCGGTCTGCGAGGCGGATAAGCCCAGCTGTTTAAAATAGAGCGGGATGAAAGTATACAAGCAGGCGTATCCAGCATAACAAGCAAAGAATAAGACTTTATAGTTGAGCCGTTCAGGCGTGCATGCATTAATTCCACGTAATCTTTGAAGAAAACTTTGTTTTCCACGATCAGTTTCCCCAGAGCGTTTTCTTTCGAGTTGTTTCTCTTCCATTTCACATGCAGTCTCTGTTTCTTCCTTGGCGATTAGCAGATGAAAGGTTCAGTTTCTCGCCGTCGTGTACATGTATCGACTTAATACCATGGGCTGAAAGAAATGAAGTTGAAAATATTATGCAAATTTCAAACGCGAGTTGAGTGCTTGTAAAAGAATGAATATTAACACAGCTTGATCTGTATTGAACTTGACAAAAATTTCCGTTCAATGAATCAATCAGGCAACAGTCAAAATAAATAAACATTAGACTATGGATCGAAGTTTGAACCTTTGAAAATGAACCTCTGTTTGCCTTGCCGAGAGTAAACACTGAAATGCATATTTAATATGTTTTTAAAAATGCATGAAACATTTGCTCTTTTTAAAGACATGAATACTGATGAGGACCGATGAGACTTTTTTCGGGTTGAGTCTGTGGTGTATCCTCATTGACAGCTTGTGTGTAAGATAAATTTTGCTACACAATTTTAGACGAGAAAACAGCTACATCTAATTGTGAACATAAATACATACATACATATTTTATTTATTAATTTATTTACAGTCATGTAGCAGCTCTCCTAAATCTAAGAGCCAATTGGTTCGATACCCTAACCGTGAAACAGTGGGAAATAATGATAAACAACGACCAATTAATGAGGAAACACCTTACGAGCAGCTCCTACTTTACTGGGGTTTTATTCATACACGGTTAAATCCTCAGTATTACAATAAAAAAACGATAAAGTAATATCCCTTTTACAGGATTGCCGTGTGGGAGCCTGACTGATTGTTGTTGTAATGTCAGTGAATTTCCCCTTTAAAGCGTCTAAGAGAGTCCAATTTCCTTAAGCTGAGGGGCAAGCTATTCCACAGGACCGCCCCGCTGTAGCCAAAGCTACGTTTTCGATAGTTTGCGCAAGGTTTGGGCAAGTCTAGTTTAATCTCGGAATCTCTTAGGTTATACATAGTACTTCGGAAGTTAAATAAATCCTGCAGGTACACGGGGGAAAGCACCCCCGGGGGGGCGACTCCCATATGAAAGGGGTGGGGATGCTCGTCGGAAATTTTGAATTAACCCCCCAAAGGAACCCAAACTGGCCGTGGCCCAACCTTTTTATGACTCCTAAAAGCGATCATTTTATACCTTGGTTACATGAATCGAGTAAATAAACCGAATTGAAAATATATAATTTTTTAATATTTCTTCGAATGCAACCCTTAAAGAGACTTTTACGGCTAAATATAAAGGTGTTTTGCTGAGAGCACCCTAAGCGAGACCAAAATCTGAAATTTACACCCTTAAGCGAAACGACGAGCATCCCCCCCACCCCCCGCGGAAAGCCCATTTCTTCTTTTAAACATTAATATGGCCTTTAGCTTCTTTCGACGCGTGGTAAGATTGTCCCAGTGGAGCCTATTTAGGAGGAAACAAGCGCTCGTATCGAAACTGGACCTGGTAATGACTCTGGCAGCCCTATTTTAGAGTTTTTGCAGCTTATCACTCAAGGCGACGCTGAGTTCATCCCAAACGGAGCTACAGTAGTCAAAGTGGGGTAAAATTAACGCTTGGCATATTTGGAGAGCTGTTCTTTCAGAAGTGAATGGTCTTACGCGTTTAAGGGCGCCTATGGCCGAAGATATCTTCATACTTTTATCGTGTATATGTTTTGACGATGAAAGGTGTTCGTCAATTAGCAAACCCAGAGATTTAGCTGCATCAACTCTTTGGATCGGTTTACCGTCGATCTCGATATTAATCTGATTATTCGAAAGAGCATACATAAGTTGATTTGACCCAATTACCATAAATTCAGTTTTGGCGACGTCTTATAGTTAATTGGATATCAGTCAGCGATTGAGGTTTCGTAACTCTAAATTTATGACATTTCCAAGGTCAGCCGTTGTACTGGTAGCAAAGGATATCTTAGTGTCATCGGCGAGCATTCTCGGATAGGCTAGATTGAGGCAATTAGGCAGATCATTAATATAAACTAGGCGGAATAAGAAGGGTCCACGATTACTTCCCTGTGGAACTCCACAGGAAACTGGGGCAATATTTGACAAGTGGCCATTTATACTGCATTTTTGGCTTCGGTCGCTGTGATTCAAACCATTTGAGGCTACTTCTATCAACACCATATTTTTGAAGCTTCCGTATAAGAACATTATGGTCAATGGTGTCAAAGGCTTTTTTTAAGGTCGATAAAAATTACACCAATAACAAGGCCATTGCCAATGTTGACGGACCATGCAGCTATTCGTGGCTTCGACCAAAGGCAGTATAAATCGGCAATGGGTTAGTATGTTGTTTTCATTAAGATACTCGCAAAACTGGTGCTATATAATTTTTTTTTTTGAAAATTTTAGCAACTGAGGGAATAACAGATATTGGTCGATAGTTGTTTGGGTCGTCCCTATTTCCCTTCTTGAAAACAAGAGACACTCTTGCTAATTTCCACTCAGTTGGAAAAATTCCGGTGTAAATAGACTGCGAATATTTGTGTGAGCGATGGTGCAACTATATTGCCAGCCAGTTTTAAAAGTTTAGTCGCAACACTACCCTACCCCGCAGCTTTCCTATCGTTTAATTTAAGCAACAGATTGCAAACCACATTAACTGTTGGAGCTTACAAAGAAAACTAGTTTTTGTGGGTTTAAGAAAGGACTGTGGTTCTACATTAGACGACGGTATTTCAGAGGCCAGTTTCTCCCCTATGCTTGAGAAGTGTGGATTTAGTTCTTTAGCAATCTTAGCAGGTTCGGTTATAGTTTGCTCCCAAACTTTAATGTCAGAAATGTTGCTGAATTTGTCTGGATTTCGCGCGAACAATTCATTAAGTTCCACGTCTTTTTAGGATACGATTTGCTAGACTCCCGGTTTTCTGTGAAATATTTTCGCTTTGCCTTCTTAATTTCGTTATTAGTCTGGTTTCGGGCTAGTATATATTGGTCCCATGTCAAATGGTCGCATTCCATAACTGCTTTCAAGAAATCTCATTTACGGATTTCATTGCGTAACTGGTTATAGTAATCCATGGGGACTTTTTGTTGCCAACCCACTTGGATCTAAGTGGTGAATCTTTGTCAGTAGATTCCATTAGCATACCCTTAATTCCATGTTGACCACATCTCATTTGGATCGTCAAGTGTTTGTATATTTGGCCATGCCTTTTGCTGTATGTCCATCAGAAAGTTTGCTTTATGGAAATTTCTCATTTGACGGGTTTTGATTATCCTAGAACCCGTGCGCTGATAATGGGCTTTATGTGGATTATAAATAAGTGCTTGGTCACTAATTTGAAGTTGCACAACGCCACACTTAGCAATCTTTAAAGGGGAATTTGTAATGAATTTAGAGTGATTCTTGTGGGCTCTGTGATTAGCTGAGCTAGGTCATAAATATCAAGTATATATTTTAATTTAACAGCATTAGATACTGTCGTATCTGGCAAAAGATTAACGTTAATATCACCCAAGACAAAAAATTCCCAGTTACCTGCGTCAAGTTTACGAACTAATTCCTCAAATTCGTTAAAACGACTCACGGGTCTATACCAGGTACTATTAGAAATGGTTAGTTTTTACTACCTAGAAATGGTCTTGACATCGTTAACGCCAGAGGGAGCGAACTAACCACTATTATAATTAGGTTAACCCTACTCGCCAATAAATTCACTTTTACCCGAGCTTTTTAGACCACAGAGAAAAGTGAAAAAACAGGGCACCTTTTTTCTGTAAGACTGTCAACATTAAAACGATTGTTTTGAAAAGCTTTGATTGCAGAAGAAAGTCTGTGCAAATAGAACCATGCAACCTTTCAGCTACAGAGAATAAACTCGTTACCCTCAAATCTAGGCCCCAGAAGTAACAATTAGCAATTATTGAATGAGGCTCTTTTTGCGATGTTTTAAGCAGAAGTTCAGTTATCTATTCTTCGCAAAACATGTGAAATGTTCCGCCATTTTTACTAACTCTACTACATGGTTCGTACAACTTCACAAAAATCAAGGACTTGTCAATCAAGGATTTTTCAAGGACAAATTACATTTTTCAAGGACTACGATTTATTAAATAAATAGGCATTATTTAACCCTCTTTTGAACACCTTATTGGCTAAAAAACGTTATGGAGTCATTTACGATTTTTAACTTCTTCAGCCATGGTTGATTATATTTAATTTACAACTTTCCGCAACAAGACTATGCAAAATGACTATGACAAAATGACAAAATGACTATGCAAAACAACCAAGCTAACTCAGCCTTGTCCCCAGGGCTTCTCGGTTGCAATCCCTTTTCCTGGTAACAGCTTGTGCTACTAACGTCATTTAACAGGATATTGCAAATGTCTTCCAAATTTAGTCAACGCCAGCTGGCTAATTAGCCAGAGGATTTGAGCCAATTTGAAATGGAGAAACATTTTGGATTACTATTAACAAAATTGCCAATAATCCCTAGAGAGAACAAGCTGACGGCTAAAAAAGGTCATGACTGAAGCTTGAATAGCGGAAAACAATGATCGTCAAAAAACACTTTTTTTAACTGATCGCACGATTTACACCGGAGGCTCCATTACATTCATTTCTCATGAAGCTCACGCTTCATGCCAATGTGCTGAACTTTTCTGATAACCTTAATACAATATACGGACTCTCAGTTCTAATTTAGAAAATTTAATAAAAAAATATTATAAAGTAGCTGCGCTATGATATTCAGTGAATTTCAACCACTGGGCTACGGAATCCAACTCAGTTGAGGTTTTAAGCCTACGAGCTTTTTGAATTTTTTTTTCTGCTGTATGCAGCTTTAAATTCAACATAAGGGAGACATATTTGTTTGTTCCAGAACTGAGATTTTGGCATTTGTAAGCAATAAGTAAGTAATTGGAAAACTAAACAAAGCTGAACCTGTTATGACAGAACTCCCTGAAGGTAATCCGCAAATGATTAGCTTCGCATGAAAGTTATTAAAAGTACATTAATTTTTTCAAATTTAAATTTAAGAGCAAATTAAATT